GCAACCGGTGAACAGGAAGTGACCATATAAAAGGACTGAGGAGGACGTAGAGACACTTTATATATTTCTGATAGAGACCTGTCAATCAGCGCGTAGCCCCGCCCTGAAGCGTCCCCTGCTTTATGATCTGTTTGACTCTAAATGGACAATAATTCACTAAATGAGCATCATGTTGTGTTGAAGAAGACTTGAAACTAGAGACTGAGACATAAACTCATGTTTACAATGTTTACTGAGGGAATAAATCCAGAGAGAAGTAGAGTCATTTCCTCATAGACGTCTATGGGAGCAGAGGAGTCGCCCCCTGCTGGTCACTACAGAGAAGTAGAGTCATTTCCTCATAGACGACATAAACTCATGTTTACAATGTTTACTGAGGGAATAAAACAAGAGAGTGAGTAGAGTCATTTCCTCATAGACGTCTATGGGAGCAGAGGAGTCGCCCCCTGCTGGTCACTACAGAGAAGTAGAGTCATTTCCTCATAGACGTCTATGGGAGCAGAGGAGTCGCCCCCTGCTGGTCACTACAGAGAAGTAGAGTCATTTCCTCATAGACGTCTATGGGAGCAGAGGAGTCGCCCCCTGCTGGTCACTACAGAGAAGTAGAGTCATTTCCTCATAGACGTCTATGGGAGCAGAGGAGTCGCCCCCTGCTGGTCACTACAGAGAAGTAGAGTCATTTCCTCATAGACGTCTATGGGAGCAGAGGAGTCGCCCCCTGCTGGTCACTACAGAGAAGTAGAGTCATTTCCTCATAGACGTCTATGGGAGCAGAGGAGTCGCCCCCTGCTGGTCACTACAGAGAAGTAGAGTCATTTCCTCATAGACGTCTATGGGAGCAGAGGAGTCGCCCCCTGCTGGTCACTACAGAGAAGTAGAGTCATTTCCTCATAGACGTCTATGGGAGCAGAGGAGTCGCCCCCTGCTGGTCACTACAGAGAAGTAGAGTCATTTCCTCATAGACGTCTATGGGAGCAGAGGAGTCGCCCCCTGCTGGTCACTACAGAGAAGTAGAGTCATTTCCTCATAGACGTCTATGGGAGCAGAGGAGTCGCCCCCTGCTGGTCACTACAGAGAAGTAGAGTCATTTCCTCATAGACGTCTATGGGAGCAGAGGAGTCGCCCCCTGCTGGTCACTACAGAGAAGTAGAGTCATTTCCTCATAGACGTCTATGGGACCAGAGGAGTCGCCCCCTGCTGGTCACTACAGAGAAGTAGAGTCATTTCCTCATAGACGTCTATGGGAGCAGAGGAGTCGCCCCCTGCTGGTCACTACAGAGAAGTAGAGTCATTTCCTCATAGACGTCTATGGGAGCAGAGGAGTCGCCCCCTGCTGGTCACTACAGAGAAGTAGAGTCATTTCCTCATAGACGTCTATGGGAGCAGAGGAGTCGCCCCCTGCTGGTCACTACAGAGGATGCAGCTTTAACACTTGACTCTTAACGTGAAGAACCAGGGATTGCAGATGAGTCACGAGGAATCGTGTTTTTAAATGTTTCAGTATGGACCACAGCCACACACTGGCATTGAAACAATAAACTGGACGTTGATCCTGGTACCTTTCGGCTACATTACACCAGGTTGTATAAGGAATGCTTTGTTGCCTCCACAGGTCCTGTTCTGCTACATGTCTTTGATTTTTCTGTGATTAAATGCATTCATTTCAGCTTTTCTTTGTCTTGCTGCAGTTGGTCGTATTTTGCAGTAAGCAAGCCAGAATGCTTTTCTTTCCCACAATGCTGTGCACAGCAGATATATGAGCAAACAACCTGGAAGAGTGTTAATGCAAAGAGGAGGTACCAATTGAATGCATTCTGCATGTACTTTGTCAACATGCCGCTGGAACAAAGCGAAGAATCAGGGATCAGACCCTTTTCTGTCCTACTGGTTTTTTTAGGTCAGCCAATCAATGAGTCGTGTTTACGGTAAAATAAACATTTTAATTAGGAAAATTAAGTATCAAGGGAACTGAACACTGAGTTCTTTCTTTCTTAAAAACATCCCACCATGTTTACTCGTTTCCCATCAGTGTTGATTCCTCCTCCACCCAGAAGTCAGGTTTATTGTGCCAGCCTTTGTGAAACGAAAGCCGCCCCCCCCTACCCCCCCCCAAGGTTACACAGAAAAACATACAATTACAACCAGATGCTGGCTTGCTTCTCAGAAGAGAGCTGCTCTGGGACCAGTCGGTTGCTCACTGTGGGTTGAGCATCTTATTGATATGTGACCTGAGCGGTGGTCCTAAATCAGCGCCTTGTTCGTGGAGACCTCATTCGTTGACTCTTACTCCACCTCCTACGCGGAGCAGCAGGGACACCCCGCTCCCCAAAACCTCCTGAAGCTTCGTTCCAGAGCAGAGCGACCACTCCGCAGCCATGAGGCGCTTCTTCCTGCTGCTTTGGGTTCTGCTGCTGCCTCCTCGGCAGGCGCTCGCGGCCAACTGCAACCCGGTGACGTCCAGCTTTTGCCGAGGTTTGGGATACGCCACGACGTCCCACCCGACCGGAGCGCCGGGCTACAGCCTGCAGCAGGCCGCTCAGCTGGTGGAGACGGCGTGCTCGCCCAACGTGGCCGCGCTCGTGTGCCGGGTCGTGGTGCCCGAGTGCGGCGCAGAGGAGAGCAGCCAGAAGAGGCTCTGCAGGGCTCTCTGCGAGAAGGTCAAGGCGGACTGCGAGTCCGCCCTCAAGGCCAAGAGGCTGAGCTGGACCACCAGGCTCCGCTGCGACGCTCTACCGGAGGCCAACTGCGTGCAGGTCAGTGGGACGTCACTTCAACGTGCCGCTTATACAAATGCATCAGATATACTGCATGGTGCATGTAGGCTGATGTTTGACACAAGGGCTACTGTCACTTGTCTATTTGGATGCGTACTTGACGCCCGTAGAAGATGTCGACTTCTTTCACCCGCTGGCGCCTGAATCGATTACCTGGACCTCCCTGGTTTGTCTTCATTTGCTCTCAGGGTCCACCTGCCAGCGGGCTTCACCCGCCTCCCGCCTCCTGTCAGCCGATCACCGTCCCGCTCTGCGGAGACCTGTCCTACACCGAGACCGTCCTGCCCAACCTCCTGGGCCACGCCACTCAGGAGGAGGCGCGGGCGGCCCTGCAAGCGTTCGCATCGCTCATGCAGGTGGGGTGCTCCACCCAGCTGAAGCCTTTCCTGTGCTCCGTCTACACCCCTAAGTCCCTTTCGGGGAGCCCTCGGCCGCCCTGCAGAGCGCAGTGCGAGCAGGCGCGGACCGGCTGCGGGTCGCTGATGAAGAGGATCGGCTCGCAGTGGCCGGAGGCCCTGAGGTGCGAGGCCTTCCCCACCGAGTCCTGCGAACACGTGAGTCCCACCTTCTATGGCGGCTGAGGAGGCCTCTGGGTAAAGAGTGTCTCCCAAAGAAACTGTTTAAAATCCTACCATGTTAGCACAGAGTGCAGAAGGAGAGGACGTGGTCATCGCGACGTCCTCCGTTGGTTTGCTGACTACAGTTTTCAAGCCTTGAGCTCAGCATTTTGTCAGCCACCATCCTGGTTTTTGTCAACGTTTTTCTTCAAAGGGAGCAAAAATGCAGGTTCTAATACTCCTGAATTGGCTTCGTTTAAGAACCGGAGGTATGTTTGTGTTTGAGCGCGAGCCAACCCGCGGGCTGCAGGCGTGGCAGCGGTTTAGTGCGGGGCGGCGTGGTAGTGTTATTCAATGGGCAACATCGGCTTCATGAGTTAAAGCTGCATTCTGTGTAGTGACCAGCAGGGGGCGACTCCTCTGCTCCCATAGACGTCTATGAGGAGACGGTTTACGGTCTCAGTCTCTAGTTTCAAGTTTTCTTCAACACAGCACGATGTTCATGTAGTGAATTATGGTCCAGTTAGAGTCATACGGACCATAAAGCAGGGGGGGGGGGGCTTTAGGGCGGAGACGTATTGTGACATCACAAGCTGAAGTTGCAAACGGAAATAACATCATATAACAGCGGTTCTGACTTAAACACAGTAAACCACGTAAAGGAGAAATAGTGGCACAGACATGAATGAAGAGAGAGGGGGGGGGGGGGGTCCGGCAGCAGAGAGAGAGATAACGTTGGCGAGTAAGAGACATGAGTATTAACTCCCGATTTTACAGTACATTTTTTATTGTAACCTTACGAAGGGTAGGTTTACAAGCCCGCACCCCACTTTCAATCCATGATCGAGAAGAAACCCCCCCCCCTCGATTTGTGTTTCCTTTCTCCCAGAATCCCGGGCTTCGCTCTCCTCAAACGTCCGCGTGTCAGAAGATTACGGTGCTGTTCTGTAGAGAACTGTCGTACGCCGACACCGCTCTGGCCAACGTCCTGGGCTACCAGACGCAAGACGCCGCGGGCCTGGAGGTGGTTCAGTTCCTGCCTCTCGTGAAAGTGGGCTGCTCCCCCCACCTCAAGCCTTTCCTGTGCTCCGTCTTCACCCCGGAATGTGTGTCGGAGAGGCCCCGCCCGCCCTGCAGAACCCTGTGCGAGCACGCGCGCTCCAACTGCGAATCCCTGATGAACACCTTTGGGTTCCGGTGCCCGAGTCCCTGAAGTGTGAAGCGTTCAGCACGGAGTCCTGCGAACACGTGAGTCGAGCCCAAGAAGAGACATTCCACGTCTGATCGTGGACCTCGTCTTCTCTCAGTCACAAACTAGACAATGAACATTATCAATGATAATGTTACTGCTTGTCGATGTGAATCTGACTCTCCCCCTCCAGTACGGCGTGGGCCGCGGCGGGGGCGTCTGTGAGCCCATCACCATACCCATGTGCCAGGGCCTGGCCTACAACCAGACCGTCACTCCCAACCTCCTGGGCCACACCAGTCAGAGAGAGGCGGTCGTGAAGATGTCCTTCTTCAACGCCATGGTGCAGAGCATGTGCTCCGTGGACATCCGCCTGTTCGTGTGCACCGTGTACGCCCCCCAGTGCTCGGCGGGGGAGGTGCAGCGGCCCTGCAGGTCTTTCTGTGAGAGAGCCAAACGGGGCTGCGAGGGTCTGATGACCAGCTTCGGCGTCTCGTGGCCAGACGAGCTGCAGTGTAACGCGTTCCCAGAGGACGACTGTATATCGGTGAGTAACGGAGATGGAAGAAGCTTCCGACCTGCTTGTCCGTCTCCACGTGACATTCTTTTCTTTCTCTTTCACAGGAAGACCGCAAGCCTGAGGTAAGGGTTTATCAAAAAAATTATATATACCACTTATTCTCATTTCCTGCATGGAATATTGCATGAAGGCAAGGCGGAATGTGTGACCCAGCCAGCGAATAAAAACGTACAACTCAACTCGTCACAGCGTGGAAAAGCAAATATAGCGTGACGGGAGGACGGAATTAGAACGCTAGCTTAGCGAAATGTAACTGCATCCAAACCAAAGGCGCTTGTACACGCTGGTGCCAGACAATCAGCCAATCACAGCACGGTGGGGCGGGACTAGCAAGGGTTGTGCTGCAGTAAAAACAATACTCAGCAACTTCCCTTCAAGTAACCTGTATGTGACTTGTGAACACGTGTTTTGTCCCTGACAGATGTTGTATGCCGAGGGAGTTCTTGCTAAGCTGATCGCCGGCGGCTTCTCTGTTCGTGGCAAAAGTGAGTTCCTCTCTTTCTCTCATTTTTAACATTGGTATCTAATCATCTAAATGAGGAGGCTTGTTTTCCTCCTTCCTGATTTAGCGCTGAGTATCAAAACCGCCCGGCTGCTGCTGACTTTCATGGACGTATCCTTTGCGACTTCACACCCGGTTCTGATGATCTGCTCTGGTGTTTACAGCCATATTTACCCTCTGAACCCAGAGGATGAAATATTTCACCTTTTTGATGCTTCATTTGGATGTTGCTGATGCAACAAGGTGCTGAGCTACAGGTTCTCTGGCAACATTAAGGTTACTGTTAAGCTCTTTGAACAGCCCTTTCAGACCGACAAGACCGGGTACCTGGACGTGGCGGAGGTCTTCAAGCTGGAGCACTATGTGGCTGTTGTCAGAAGGGAGTACGTGGAGAGCTACGAGAAGAGGAACCCCCCCTCCATCCCCCTAACCCAAATGAAAAAGGCTCTCCGTGGTAAAACCTCAGCCGAGAAGTCACCTCAACACGTTATCCAGGGAGGCTTTGACTGGCTGAGCGCTTCGATCAGCCTCGTTTTCTCTGTCTTCATTGTGCAGAATTTGAGTTGGACGATGAAACCTTCAGAGTTCTGTGGAGCGAGAACAGCAGCGAACGCGGGATCGACTACGACGAGTTCGTGGCCGTCCTGACGAAGCTTCAGATCCTCAGAGGTAATTTATCCATCCATCTGTCCATCCATCTATCCATCCATCTTTCTATCTATCCATCCATCTATCCATCCATCTATCCATCCATCTGTCCATCTATCCATCCATCTTTCTATCTATCCATCCATCTGTCCATCTATCCATCCATCTTTCTATCTATCCATCCATCTGTCCATCCATCTTTCTATCAATCCATGTCTTCAGGACATCAGGATTTCAGGAGTTTGTCACATTTCCAGATGTTGGAGACATTTTGGTGACTATCACCATTTCTTCCCTGTCAGAGCGTTTCCATGCCAACCTGCTGAGGCTGCCGTGCGACTGCCAGGTCGCCAGCTTCTCCTTCAAGCAGGCAAGTTCAACCGTTTTCCTCCATCCGCTCACCGAGAGACGGCCGTTTTGTTCACCTGTGCAGGTAGAAATAGTCACCTCCCAGGACTCTGCTTGCTACAGACCTGCTTTATATTATAACCATGTAGAAGTTTATTGTCTCATAACACTCTACATCAGCGGTTCCCAAACTCAAGAACGCCGCGGCCCACTTTGAAATGTGAAAGTCTTTTGCGGCCCAAACCTTTAATCACAACTCAAAACATAAACTAGGGATGATTAAATGACCTTAAGAATTTAACCGATTAAATATGTATTAACCGACAATGTATGTTTTGTGTACCATTTTCTCTGGAGCTCATATATATTTACTTTAATAGTACAGGAGGCGAGGCGCCTCTTGACATTTGACATTGTTTGGTTGAATAACGCCAGGCGGACAAGAGCCTTATTGTTTTATTAATCTGTTCGTTTGAATTGTTTGTGCTTCATCAATTAATGTTTCACATAACTAATGTGCCGCTAGAATTGTTCAAATAATACTTAAACTGAACTGAACAGCTTCAGGAGCCAACAATAAAAAACAAAACCCCTCTTACTTTTAAAAGGAAACTAAGTAACCTAAGCAGACAAAAGATAAAATCAGTATTCACCGCTCTTCCCTATCTAACAAAAACAGATCAAACTTCCTTCTTCCCTGCACAATATACAAGTGTTACAAATAGGTCCAAAAGGGCAAGGCAAGAATCAAGGCCGGAATAACATCATAAATATTTTTATATTAATTTTAAACTTTTCAAAATTGAAAATTAAAAACATTTTATTTATTGTTTATTTACCACCTGCAGTTCCTTCGCGGCCCACACTTTGGGAATAGCTGCTCTAAATAATATATATTTGTCTCTCTTTTCAGTTCATGAAATCAGCGATAATTTGAAGACCAAACCGGAGAAAAGGGATCAGGAGTGAATCTGTTTGCAGCTTTAAGTCCAGATGTGCTTATTGAGGATTGTTTTCATCATCCTCTTTCTTAACGTTCAGGAACGTTTTGTCATCGATGTCTGAATTTTGTCTTCAGTAAAGTTTTCTGTGTGTGCGTTTGTATTTTGAGATCACGCTTGAGACTTCTGAAAAAACTGTTTCCTCTCACTTATATTAAAATGTTCTCTGTACTTTATAATGTACGTTCAATAAAAAACATCTGAAGAAATGACCTGTCAATCAATTAGGGCATCTGTATTTAAATTAAAGGCATTGACGTTAAATTAAAGTGTATATATATATATATATATATATATATATATATATATATATACTGTTTAAATATCTAATTATTTAATTATATACATGTATAGTATATTACTCTATTCAATTTAACATCAATTTTTTTTCAATTCATTATTTTATATTTGTAAATGTATATCAACTGTGGGTTTTGTAACATTATCCTTATTATTTATTCTTATTACTTTTTATCAGTCTAGGTCGACTTATTAATAATGTAAACGCAGAATCACTGTTTCAATGACTCCTGCATCCAACTTACGGCAACAGGAAAACACCCAGAGAGCCACTTTGTGCTGAATAGGTTTGTTTTATTTATGACTTTCATACATGCAGCTCGTTGGTTGCACGTGGTTCGTCATTGGTACACATCTTATTATACTCGTATTAGTTTGGTACGTTACAGCTGACTTTGTATTAAAAAAAGGAAAATCATTAAGCAGTAAAAACACATACACAGTGAAAGTAGACGTGATGATTTATAAGATGGTTTTAAAAGGCCGCTGTCTCCCTTCTGATCGGTCCTTTCCTCTTCATATGCTCATGGTGACCTGGATGAACTAGAGGCACATATCCAGTGTTAGTGTACAGCCCTCCACCGTGTATCAGTCGCCTACCAGCTACATGATCACCTGGAGTCACGTCTGTACGCCTGATGCACAGAAGTCAAACTGCTGCAGTCCTTTTAGCTCTAGTTTGGTCGCCACCATTTCTCTAGCTGCTAAATGCTCCACTTATAGTCTCTTCTAATGAGCATTGAACATGAAGGTCGTGACCACTCACATCGTCGTATTGAAACAAGGCCGTGCCCGTCTGCTGTTGGTCTCTTCTTCTGAACTGGTCTGAAAAACAAGAGTTAAAAAAAAGACGTTGACCTTTCTGAACACTTTCATTCTCCACCAACCAAACGCACGTGTTTTGTTTCATTTTTGGGGGCCGTTCACCAGTCAGAGCACGGAGTTTTGTGCAACAGCCCACGAAGTCATCGAAGCCGACCCTCCCGCCGAAGCTGTGGCGCTTCATGATGATGTTCATGGCCTGAGGGCTCAGGTTAAAGCCTGAAGAAACATGAATAAAACCGACATGAGCGCTGGCAGCTCGGCGTGACACGCCTCATACGTGTAATACACATGTAATCGTCTTAATAGACGGATTAAGACCAGAACAAACACATTCATTCTCATTCTAGAGATTCACATCCAAACGTTGTAATTTAATTGCATATTTAAACCCGTGCTATAATAAATAATGCTCCCGATGTCCTTTACCCCTGTTGCCCTGCAGCTAAGCCAGGAGCGTCCTCACATTAAACCACGCGTTATGGTGTTAGGTGGGTAAGTCAGAGCGCGCCGGTACCCATGGCGTTGAAGGCGTGCTGCAGCTCGTGGCCCTCCACCGTCCCGCTGCGGTCCCCGTCGTAGGACATGAAGGTCGTCTTCCAGCCGCTCAGCACCTGCCACAGCTCCTTGAACTCGGGGAAGCCCATGCTGTTGGAGTGGTCCCTCTGAGGAACGAGGTCGGTCAAGGACACGACCAACACGTCTCCAGTATTCACACCACTCGCACGAGAGATCATCAGAGAAAGAGCTCGAGGTTCAGACCCCAAACTCATGTTTACAAGGTTTACTGGGGAATAAATCCAGAGAGAAGTAGAGTCGCACTTGGGGACTTTGGGACCAGAGGAGTCGCCCCCTGCTGGTCACTACAGAGCATGCCGATTTTGCTAATACGCACACAGGTGTCACTAAAGCCTAGTTTATGCTTCTGCGTTTTCAGAGAGACGCAATAGTCCCTTGCGTGTCTTTTCACACCTCCTTGCGTGCGTCGACCCATTTTTCAAAGCTTTTCAAAGTCGTGGAGGAAAATACGGGACAAATGTGTCCTTGATGAAGAGCAGCAGTGTGGATGCACGGGGCAATAAAGTCTATGATCGATAAATAAAGCAACCAGCGACTTCCACACACAAAGACGTGGCTCTCTAGGTCGCCTTCAACAAAACACGTGACTCCACCTGTTGTTCTGGAGGTGAATCGCTCTGCAACACACGCAGGACTTTACAACCAGGAAGTGAAACGACGCAGAAACACGCGGCGGCCTTTACACTTATCTGCTACTTGTTCTATTCAAGGGTCCCAATGAGAATGACAGTGAGCCGGCGTGCACCACCCCAGGAACCCGAAAACAACAGCATTCATTCCTCCATCATTTACAGCCGTGCTGCCTGTCTACTGTGTGAGGAAGAAGAAGAAAAGGCCTGTAGGCCGATGGGCGCAGGATACATCCAACATGCTGACCATCAGTCTGCAGGTCTCCATGCTGAAGGCTGAAAAGGAAAAAACTGATATAAAAACACTGTTTACCCGTCAAACGTTGCATTATCGATAAACAGTAAGACAGGAAAGGCCTGAGGTTAAAATAGATTATTGTTTAACTCTGCCTACTGCCTACTCAGACAATTGAATGATATTTAATTGGTCTCTACCCTGGATAGCTTGCCTTCAAATCCCTATTTTGTACTCAAATTTTAATAAAAAGTTGGTAAATGTCGGGCGGCTCTTACGCTTGTATGTGCCCGAGATGCCGGAGTGTGTGAGGCAGCTCTGCAGCTCCTCCGCCGAGATCTGTCCATCCTGAAAGAAGACAGAGAGAAGATGATGCAGGTCAGGTGCAGTCCGATCACAACAGGAATCTGCATCCAGAGAAACGGGGGCCGGGGGGGCTTTACCTGTCCAGCCACAGCTGAGAAATACCCATAGAGAGGGTCCTGCTGCATGGCCTGCAAGAGGAGAGGCTGGTCAGTGCTGAGACATCGACTCGAGTTCTTCATTTATCTCACACCCAGTTCTTAAAATGGATCAACTTTTAAAAGACACCAGAATATGATGCTTTGCTGTGGATTTACATCATTAAACTAATACAGCAGTAAAATGCAACGTGCTAATTAATACAGAAATATCGCTACTTTTAATACTTATAATGAATAATGAAGTGCATTAAGCTAATAATATCGCTCTGCACAGCGCCTCGTCGAAGCACCAGTCGAGGAAGCTCCAATGAATGGAAATGTCAAACTAAGTGAGATAACGTGATGAAACAATGTTCAGGAAGCCTTTATTTTGTCGTTTTTGTAATTGTTGTTTCCTGTAAATCGACTGGAAGGAACAAAGTCTGCAGGTTGAGCAACATCTCCTCCAACTTATCTCCTCATAAATGGAGAATCATTGCACAAAACTCTTTTTCACTGGTTAGCGTGTGTATGTGTGTGTGTGTGTGTGTGTGTGTGTGTTCCTCACTGGGCTACTATAGAAAACCCCACCCTACACACACTTGTTATAATTGATCACGCTTAAATAGCTTTAAAAAAGCTTAAATAGAAAATAAAAATGTAGAAAAGTGCAGATAGCTAACACCTCTATAGATAAATATAGATATATATACACAGGCTGGGTGTCTTACGGCGCAGTCTAGAACGTTATGGGTGAGCGAGCTGCCTGTGGCAAGATGGCCGCCATGTGCGGGCGTTGCACTCCGTTGTCCGGCAACGCGGACAGACATCTAGCCTTTATATATATATCTATGAATACTTCTATTCTAGTACTCAGGAACTTCACCTTTAATGATTCTAACAGACAATGGTTGTTTGAGGTATTGAATATATTGTATAACGTTATACGCTATATAACCGGTTAAATACCACTGTAAACATGGAAACATTTGTTTGTGACTAAACCCTAAAATCACCGATAAAAAACAACGACTTCCGCCATCGGACGGGGCCTCGTCCCGGGAACGAGTCGGCGGTCCTCGGCCTCTGGCCGACGGGTCAACGCTTCTCTTACCGCGACTCCACCGGGAGCAGCGCCGTATCCTGGAAACGCCATCACTGTCGCAGGTAAAGGTGTATCACAACTCTACCACAGCAAGAGAAAAGGTGGGAAATGGACAGCGCGGTTACTCCCGTAGCCCTAGTGGGCGTGTCTACCCGACGTAAAACACGTAAAACGCCTAAACGAAGCAGCAATGGAGATACACGTGCGATAATAACGTTTTATAAATGAACCTGGAACAAGCGGGTCCGAGTGGAAATATATGCCGCAAATAAGCGACAAGACGACGGACAGAAGAATGTCAGTTAAACGTTTCGTCCCGTTTCCTCCGGTGGTGCCTTCTGATTGGTGGCGAGGGACCTCGTGACTGGTAACGGACCAATAGGGTCGCGGCTTTTTGCATCATTGAAAAACAATGAGTGATGCGACTTACAGCGTAAGTGGTGAACGAAGTATTCAGATACTTTAATGGTAAAAGTACTAATACCATACTTTACACGTATTTAAAATGTTACCACGCTCAAAGTGTATCAGGAAAATCATTGATATCCTAATAAAAATGCAGGATGTTACTGTTGTATTTGGTTGAAGGGAAGTTCATTTTAAAGATTCATCTAATTATTATTTTATCCATCAAACAAGTGATCATTGTGTTTGTGAACAGACCTAGAGGATACGTTTGTTTAGTCTAAACATCAACATTATTACTATACATTAGCATTATAAACAATATTAACCTTATTACTAATGGGAGTAATGATAGATTACCGGAAAGTATTCTATTCTTGAGCTCAATAAATGGAAGTCGCCTTGCTTTAAAATGTCATTAGCTCGCAGTAAACTGCATTACGTCACTAACGGAGGTGAGGTGGCCCTCACTTCGCCCCTCCCGGGAGGAAGAGGAGGGGAGGAAGACCTCCGTAGATTCCTCCTCTCTGCCCTTAAGCACTCGGAGGCGGCTGCGATGGACGGACTGAATCCGGACTGTTGGGTTCGGTCTGCGAGACCTCCGCTGTGTCTCCTCCCTCAGCACCCGGGGAGCCTCGTCATGCAGAGGGAGGAGGAGGAGGAGGAGGAGGAGGAGGAAGGACAGCACCCCGCTGCTTGCTGCTGCTCCACAGGTAACATGAGATAAGATTAAACAAAAGGATGTGAGTCATGATAAGAAACAAAAGTGAAAAAATATGTGGTCGAAGATGTTTTATTATGTTATAATGTTAAATGTCATGGGAAAAAATTATTTTAGTATTTTATTATTTATAATTTTGTCAAAAAGGACTTTCAAGACGGTTCTCAATGGGAACCAAATTAAATTATAAAAGAGCTTGTTGATCCCGTCAAGGTTGTCTTTTATTTTCACTCACTGGCTGCTTGTTTTTGTCCCTGCAATGTGTGCATGCTCATCGTGTGTGTGTGTGTGTGTCTGCACGTCCTTCCTGGTCCAAACCCAGCAGGTCTCAGCAGCAGGTCCAGGAAGCAGGCGGCTGAGACACACGACTCATGACTCTCTGAGCCAGAAGTCATCAACCAGCCGTGTGTTCTTTGTGTCTTTAAAGCTGCAAAATGCTTCTTTATGGAAATGCTTTTTAAGATATAAAATAAGCATTTGATCCACTGTGGTGACTGGGGTGATAACTACTGTTTTTGGATGTTTAATTTATTTACAATTTAGAGAGAAAAGATTTGTTATTTTGAAAAATCAAAATTAGCAAAGACAATTGAATTTTTTTTTTGAACAAGTTGAAGTTTTTACATTTGAATTTGCAGATACGTTTATTAAATGAAGCAAACAATAACTATAGACTGGACAATTTTACATTTGTGACAAGATCCCTCAAAAAGGCAACGCCATCCCCAACATCATCACAGCATGCTTGTTCTCCATAAGTTGTTTGATTGAATTAATCATTTCTCATTTCCTTTGGTTTTGGTTTTTCAATTTCATTCCAATTTACAGCTTTACTGCTTAATCCTCACAGTTTCACCTCATGTAAAATAAAATATTCCTCACATCAGCTGCTGATGAAGATGCTTAAAGAACTCTAAACAGTCTCTCCAAAATCAATCTTTTCTGTTTTAAATTTAATTGGTAAAAATCAGCAAAAATCCTCAATTGGTAAAAATGATCTTGATAGAATTCGTGTTGGTTTTATCTGGCAGCTAGCTCCTCCCCTGCCTCCCTCAGGTTGCCATGGTGACGTGGGTCAAGCTGTCGAGGCTCAGTGGTCAACGCCCCGACCTCCAACCCTCTCTGGGATCCCCGGCGGCTACGGACCGGCGGCGGGGGGTCCTGGGGCTCCCCGGCCCCGGACTGTGAGGGATGGCGGTGGTCGTTGCTGGGAGGGTCCACGGATGGAGACCCGGGGCTGCGTCTGTGTCTGCGGGCAGAAGGGGGCGGGAGGTCCAGCTCCCTGCTGGCCTGGATGTCCATACGTCTACGGAGGTGAGGAGCCACGTGCACAATCTGATAATATTTTTAAAAACATCATCGTCCACCAGACGTCCCTCAAACCTGAGTTTGGACCTGGTGAGAAGATACAGGATGTTCCTGTTGGTTTATGTTCTTGTGTTTGTCTCCCGCAGTGAGGAGGAACCTGGTGGTTGCATTGGAGGTGGTGGAGGAGGTCGCTGTTGAAGACACTCTCGAAGTAATGTAAGTAGGATTTATTATGACAGTTAAATCTACTAATGCAATCGTTCAGACTTTGATTCCTTCCTCACCCTTTGTCTAACGCAGCGTCACTGTGATTCACAGAAACACAATCATGCGTGTGGGTTCAGGAACACGTTTGCATGTCTTTTCTCTTCTCAGAACAGAGGACATATACACACATGATCGGCTGGTTCCCGAGCTGCCACCAAACGCCCAGACGTTCCCCACATGAGACGCAGCCACTTCCAGCATGTCCTGCTGTCACTGGATACCATGCAAACAGCTTTTATTTATATGTTTGTCAAAGGTGTTTGTATTCTTTGTATTTAATAAATCCCTGTCTCTGTTTGTCTTTATAGCTCCTTTTTTTTTAGCTGCACAGCTACAACAGAAAACAATATCATCAAAAATACTATTTATTTTGACTGTTTTCATTTAAAGGAATATAATATAACATGACAATAATGTATTCTATGATATAATTTTGCGTAATGCATTTATAGCGGACTTCAAATACCAGCATGCATCACCTCCTTTGAACTGGCAGCAGCGTGGTGACGTCATAACACCGCGCACGACATATGGCTGCCGAAAGAGAAGCGACGGCAAAACACGGATGATTTCGAGACAAACCGTCCTTAAACATCCACAATTTGGATACAAAACCTCAAAATGTCGGACCCGCTGGGAACAAAAACCCTCCAGGACCGCCTGGACCGCCTGCGCGAGCTGACCGAGTTCACGGAGAGCTGCCGGAAGCAGCTCGACGACGCGTTTGAGGCGCTGGGATGGTCCGAGGACCGCGGCCAGGTAGCGTCGGACGCGATGGAGCAGTGTCCCTACGACTCCGACCACCGAGTCCCGGCCAGGAGCCTGGAGACGCACAAGGCCCGCTGCGGCCGCCGCAAGATGGGCTACTGCGCTGAGGAGGAGGTGACGCGCGCACGCACACACGCACACACGCACACACACACACACGCACACACACACGCACGGAAACTAACACAGCAGCCTCAAGCATGTCGGGCTTTGAAGATATAACTCGCTGCCACTTTACTGCCTCAAGCATCAAGGAATCAGGAAACATTTATTAGCCAAAATATGTCAAACATACAAGGAATTTGTCTTGGCGGTTAGTGCGCGACAGTAGACAGACAAGACAACAGTGCACAGGTAATAAAATAAAGTGGAATGAAATGCTAATGCAATGGGTTAGTAAGAATAAGGCTAAGGCTATGGGTTAGTATAAAACAGGGGAATAAAGTTAAAATTTTTAAATATAAAAAAAAAAAAAGTTAAAAAGAAAAATATTAAGCATAAAGTGCACTAACAAGTAACAAAGTGACGAGTGACGACAAAGTGATGAATCACAGTTAAAGTGGCATGTGCAGTGTGAGGGGGAGTGACTGGTGGAGTGTTATAGTCAGTCAGTGGGGGACCGGCTCTGTTGATGAGCCCGACTGCCGACGGGAAGAAACTGTTGGTGTGGCGGGAGGTCGTAGTCCTGATGGACCTCAGCCTCCTGCCAGATGGAAGGGGCACAAACAGGTTTTGTCCGGGGTGAGAGGGGTCGGCCGCCATCTTTTTAGCTGCTTCAGGGTCCTAGAAGCGAACAAGTCCTGCAGGGACGGCAGATTGCAGGCGATCACCCTCTCTGCGGAGCGGAGGACACGCTGCAGCCTGTCCTTGGCTGTGGCTGCAGCGTACCAGACGGTGATGGAGGAGCAGAGGACGGACTCCATGATGGCCGTGTAGAAGTGGACCATCGTCGTCTTTGGCAGGTTGAATTTCTTCAGATTAATCAGGGATTAATGCAACGTGTCCTCCGGCAGGCGGAGATGTTCGACACCTCTGCGTGTTACGAGAACAGCAGCGTCAGAAGCTTCACGATGGGTGAGTCTCCGCCGAGGACCGAGTGCCTGAACGAGGTCGTGGTCCCGTGAACCGGGGGGTCAGTAGTTTCAGCAGCCGTCACCAGAAAAATGTCCTGAATACCATGAAAGTATTATTAGGATTTTGTTCCTAGATGAAGAAACGTGTGTATGAATGAATGAATAAATAAATAAATAAAGCCACTGTTGTGAAACGTGGCTGCTTGTTAGGCACAAAATGTTTCTGCTCAATTGAAGAGCTTTAAAATGGTCGGCGGATCAAAGTAAAGATGTACTGGAACCCTTTCAAATAGTTTTCATCCATCCTGGATAACGTCTACAGCAAAGAAAAAAATATAAAAAGATCCACAAGTCGGTATCAAATACTACTGAGCTCTAACAATATTTAACTCTTCTTTGTTATGGTTTTAGGTTTTTACGACCCGACAAAATTCTTGATTAGAAATCACTGCATCAAATGTAGAAGTTGAACAAACTGTCAACGTTTCCTCAGTTTGTCTTCAATTCAATCTCCTTCCTGCAGACAAATCGGCCCAGCACCAGGTGATCCTGCAGGCCCGCTCCGCCGCGCCGCTGATGAGGATGGAGGGAGTCTTCTGGCAAGGTGGGAGCTTCGTCAGAGGGGTTCCCCTCCGTACTATCAATGGGATCGGATGAAATTACTCCTCCGATGAAAGTTCCTTCTTCAACACGAAACAATAGCAGTTTTGTAAGTTTGTAAAGTCTCCCCGGCCCCCTCACCAGGTCAGTACTCGGGTCAGCCCGTCGACGTGCCTCAGAACCACAAGCGCGCCGTGTGCGACCTCACCGTGGCCGACCGGCTGGCTCTGTACGACCACGTGGTCCACGTCCTCGGCCGGCAGAAGGAAGCCGTCGCCGCCGGCAACGAGGACCTCTACGTCGACCTGGTGTCCAAGCTGCAGAAGGGTGAGTCTCGCCTGGCGATCGTAGAGGAGCGCTTCAAACGCACGGCCTCATCGCGCGGCTGCGCGGTGCGTTTTACCGGTGAAGCGGTTTCCATCGGCGTCTTTGTCCTCCATAGATGAGGAGCAGAACGAACCAAAGACTCACCTGGAGCTCATGGCAGAGATGAGGGACTACAAGAGGCGGCGCCAGTCCTACCGGGCCAAGAACGTTCACATCACCAAGAAGTCCTACACCGAGGTAATGGCGTCATCGCTGACCTCCGGAGGTCATTTCAAGTGGATGTGACGAAACGCAAAGTAGAGATCTCTTCCCTGCGTGATTAATGAGGTGGAAACACATCGATTGATCGCCCTGCAGGTGATCAGGGAGGTGATCAATGTCCACTCGGGGGAGCTCACCAGACAGTGGAAAGAAGAAGAGCGAGAGGAGGAGGAGGAGGAGGAGAAGGAGGAGGAGGAGGAAGCCACCAGCTCTGAACTCTCCTCACAGAGGTACGAGCGGGACATGGTTTATTTGGGACATGGGGACGGCTTTTAAGCGGCGAGCTGACGGCTGTTGTTGTTTCCCGCCAGGCGGCGGCCGGACGAGAAGCGCTCGGCGTCATCGGAGTCTCGGCGCTCGCACGGCCGACGCCGTCGCAGCCGGGAACGAAGCCAAGGCCGAGAGAGCAAGAAGAAGAGGAAGAAGAGAGAGAGGTGAGCGGTTGCATCTCTGCTTCGACGCTGGACTGTATGTGAGAAGTGGACCTCGTCGTCGTCATGGTGACGTGACCCGTGGGTTTGGTGGCCGCAGCCTCGCGGCAGATGAGTCATTTTCTCGTAGACGTCGATGGAGCAGAGGAGTCGCCCCCTGCTGGTCACTACACAGAATGTTACCTCACTGGTTGCAGCCTGGATACAACGTGTTTGTCAAGGCAACAGTTATTCAAAGTTAAATCTTGTCATCAAAGTAAAAGAACTTTCTCCCACCTTTTGCTTAATTGATGTTCTCAGGGATTCCTGCTCTCCGGACGAACACCATCGAAAGAAGAAGAAGAAGAAGAAGCGAGAGGAGAGGGAGAAGGAGAGGTGATGCAGTCGGATCGGATGAGGTCAAAGGTCATCGGGCCCTCGCGGCTTAAAAGGTGTTACACGTTTGAAATTCATATACAACGAGATTTTGTAAAAATAAAAATAAATAAAGTTTTGAAAAAGCTTTTTTTGTGCTTGTCTGTCTAACATGTCCCGCCCCCGCGCCCCCGCCTCATTGGCTGGGAGCAGTTTTCCTCCGCAGACCACATGGAATGTTGATGGGGAGTGTCATAGCTGGCACACTTTCACCACGGGGTCAAAGGTCACTCCTGTTAGGAGTCTACACTTGGTGTGTTCACACAAGGCTTCTGCAGAAGTGGAACTTTTATTAACTTTTGATAACTAAACAGTTTCATCTCTACTTCACAGCAGTTTGAAGGTCATCCTCACGCATTTAAATCAAATTGCTTTAAATCTTTTCCATCTTTATCAACTTTTTCAATGTCGAAGAAAATACTAAAGTGCTTTGATGTTGCCACGGGTTTACTTCTTCTGATGTGTTACTTAAATGTTTTAACAACATTTTAATAAGCAAAGGAGACGTTTTTGTGGATATTTCAGGTATTAAAATGATCCACATGACAAATTAATGTCTACTTCACAGCAAAGTCTTTTCTTCACAACCCCCCTCCTCCCACTGTCTCTCTGTCCGTCTCCTCTGCCGATGATGGTATTTCTCACCATGGCGAGAGACTGAGAGAGAAAATACCTTCTGCTCCTGGGACGCCGCAGGGACGCCGGGAGGACAAAGAGGATCCGGAGACGAGAGAGGACAGTAAGGAAAGGAGACAGCGAGGCAAAGAGGGAGAGAGACGGGGAGTAAGGGAGAGAGGGAGGACATAGAGAGACGGAGGACATGACGCTGTGAGCAGAGCTGCTCGGGTGGTTTTTGTCCTCGTCCTGAAGCTGCCGTGCGGGTCGGTTCTGGTCTGAGGAGAATCTGCAGCATGAGAGCCTCCAGCGCCACGGTGAGGATCATTTAAATAGGATTCATCATTTCTGGAGGTTTGTTTGCTGTTTAAACATGTGTTGTTTACAGTCTTGTTAGTCCGGCGCTTATTATATTTAATTAGTTATTAGTCCTGTAGTAGTTATTATTATTATTATTATTATTATTATTATCATTGGCTCCAACCAGCTCAAAGTCTTTGTTTCCTTGTTTGTTTTTAGCGCCGACATCAGATGTTTAATACCATCATAAACTTAAATATCTTTTTAATTATCATTTTAAACTGTTGTGATCTGCAGAGAGAATCCAGCTGGAACCACAAACGTAGTTCAAAGGTCTTAAGTTTGGTTTTGGAATTAAAACATTAACAAAACTCTCTGCTTGTCCTCTTTCAATTATTCTGATTCCTTCAGTTCTAAATGCGCCGCCTCACGCGGGACGTTATGAGCTTGTTTTGGGTCTTTGTGCTTTGCGGTGGAGGATAATAATCATCATTATAACAACAACAGGACGTTTGTATGAAGGAGTGAACGTCTTCCTTTCACGTGAGGACAGACGTCTCCGCTCAGCTCCCCGGACGTCCTGCAGACTCGCTGCGTTTTCACGCCATCGAGCTGCTGAAACCGACCGACATCACTTGTTCAGTGGGACACAAACTCAGTGATGCTGCTCTGGGATTCCGTAGAAGGATGAAGGGACATTAACAGAGACGAATGCGTTCAAGCTCCAAAGGACACAAACTCCTCTCACCCAAATAACTGGATCGGATATCCGGGACAACGGGGACGATCTCTTCCGTCCAACTTTATCTTCATTTGTTCTATACGTTCACGTTGAATTGCAGGCGTTGTGGTTTAAAGTTGCTGGTGTCCCACTTATTATCTGCACTTCTTCTGTCCTGATATTTGTCCACATGTGTTGTTCGCTCTCACGTGAGTTCATTTCTCTGATTTGTGTCACACGCGACGTAATTGACCTGTCGTTTGCAGACGTGTCCCGTCTCGGGGCTGCTGGTGTTGTCTCTGTGCGTCCTGTCGTCTCTCTGCCAGGACGAACACTCCGGGTCTCCCTCAGGTCAGAGCCGACGCTCATTAAACGCCACCTTTGGCCACATGCTGTGAACTATTTCCACTGTGAGACGGAGAAACGTGTCGATGCTCAATATGTCTTTGTGTCCGAGACGTTTCCTCTCAGACCATCGGAATGTATTAACCAGTTAACAAGTTAATAAGTTAACAAGTTAATCATTATTCCTGAATCATCTTTATGGCTTAAAAGAAGAAGTTGGTGTTTGATCAACACAAGAATCATTTCCTGAAATCCAGAACTGCAGTTTGACTTTGATTCTTTGTGATTGTCAATCGTTCATTTTGTGTTTTGACCAACGAGCCGCCACATAGTCTGTGTGTGTGTGTGTGTGTGTGTGTGTGTGTGTGTGTGCGCGTGCAGGTGAGGAACGCACCTATGAAGCCTCCGACCGCTACAACAGTGCAGCTTCCCCTCGACCAGGTGAGCGCCGTTACCTGATGATGTCATACGCGTCCGAACCCGAGTCCTTCGTTCTATATTAGTTTGTTTGGGACTTTGCTCACATTATCTGTTTGATGAGGAACGTTTTTATCAAAGGAGTCTGGCAGAGAAAGTATGAGAGAGAAGTAAAGCGTTATGTGGAGTACCTGGTACGCAAAAGTACCTGCTACGCAAAAGTACCTGCTACGCCAAGTACTTGCTACGCAAAAGTACCTTCTACGCCAAGTACCTGCTACGCAAAAGTACCAGGTACGTGTAGAAGAACCTCGGGTTCTCAGGACTAAAGGTCTGAATGTCGTCCCCCTTAGAGTACCCGCCTGAGCCGACTTACGACTACGACGAGGACCAGAGGCCCACGGGGGGGGACCAGGACCCCTACGGACCCCAACCCACCCGGGTCACCATGATCACCGAAGACCCCCTCCCCTACACCACCACCGTCGAGTCCCACTACGCCAAGGAGGACATGGAGACCATGCAGGTACAGAGACTGGTCCATGTAGAGGATCAGGACTACACTGAGCCTGGTTCACGTAGAGGATCAGGACTACACTGAGCCTCGTTCACATAGAGAATCAGGACTACACTGAGCCTGGTTCACATAGAGAATCAGGACTACACAGAGTCTGGTTCATGTAGAGGATCAGGACTAAAGTGAAACGTTATCATGGAGGATCAGGACTAACCTGAGACTGGTCCCCAGGTCCCTTATGACTCTGAGGGGTCTGGAGCCGATGCAGGTCTTGGAGAAGAGGGGCCCACTGAGTGCGACTGTGAACCTGGTCAGCCTGGATTCGCTGGCTTCGCAGGTCCGAAGGTACCGACTCGGTTCTTCTCATCATCTGGAGAATAAACAACTTTATTAGTTATTTTCTATTGTTTTGCTTTAACTCTTGACTTTGTTCATCGGTCAAAGCACTCAGTCATTATGGTTGAATATATATATACAATATATGTATTTATATATATATATATATATATATATATATATACACACACACACAATATAAACCACTATGTTTGTACTTCCTGTCAGGGGTCCAGGGGTCTGCAGGGTAAAACTGGGCAGCCAGGAACTCAAGGCCGAGAGGTGAGATACCGACACATTGTAACATATATATACATACATGTATGTATATATATGTACATGTATGTATGTATGCATATACATATTTCTAATGATGTAGCCGAGTGCGTCTCCGTGAGTTTGACCTGTTTGTTATTTTTAGGGCTACAAAGGCACCAAAGGAGTTCGGGGGAGAGGAGGAGACACCGGACCAGTGGTCAGTACATCCATGATGTGTTGTCACTTGATAAATATTATATATTATTATAAGAAGCAAACAGGGAGGAAGAGAAAACACAGACAACAAGCTGCAGAGAAAATGAAACCAATGTTTCAATGTTTTAAATGCTTTGATCAACAAACAGGTGGCGTCCCGTCATGTGTGTAGATGATTGAAACATTCGAGTTCTCACAGCAAACAGCTGATCGCCTTCTCGGTTTAGTGTCTCACTTTGACCTTTGACCCATCGACCCTCAGGGCGGCGCCGGACCCGAAGGAGACGACGGAGCGTCGGGCTTCTCTGGAGCCACGGTGAGCATAAAGCCTTCATCTTAACATTTTACGTACTGTGATATTTAAATACAACTTACATTTAAGGAGACCTGGATGTGCTTTTCTGAGGAAACGATAGATTTATTTTAAGTTTCTCAAACTGGCTCCACGTCGACAAGTGAAATCCTCTTATGTGTAAAAAGATTAAATAATATTCTTTAATAATGAACCTCCACGCATTACGACACTTTAAGTTCATTTTACTAACAATACTTTCTGTTCGCTGGTGCACTTTATTTTACATTTTTAAACATTTTTACCTTTTTAACTTTTATATAACCTTTATTTTAAACTAACCCATAGCATTATATTTTATTTTATTCCTCGTGCACCGTTGTCTTGTCGTCCATTGTCGCACTGTCTGCTGTTACGCACCAACAGCAACATGTTACGGCGATAAACGTTTCCTGATTCCTGAACTTCAGATAGAATATCATTTATCGCTGTTAGTGACTCGTTTGAAACATCAGACCTCATTCATCGTTCTCAGGGAGAAGCCGGACTCCCAGGAGACCCGGGCGAACGGGGAGAGCTGGGAACGAAGGTACGCTCACGTGCACTCTCACGTGCACTCTCACGTGCACACAAGGCGGCCCGAGTCACGACGACATCATACCGTTCACGCGCAAGCGTTCTGTCTGGATGAGTGTTGTGTGCCTTGTTAACACGTGCCTTGTTTCACGTGTCAGGGGGCCATCGGGATGGACGGACCCCGCGGGGGGGTCGGGGGTCCCGGTGAGACTGTAAGGACTCAACCTCCCTCTCCTTCTTCGTAGCGTCGTCGGTAGAATCAAAGATGAAATAAAAACTGTCAATCAGAAAAGAAAAGGAAAAATCCGTTTAATTAGTTTGAATGATTTCCAAATTAATTTTGAAATGTGGTTTTATTGATTATTTTAATGAAATTTGCGCTATTGAGTGTTTAAGTTATTATAATGTATTTGACTTAGTTTTTATGATTACATTTGACATGAAATAATCATAATACTAATTGTACCAATATATTAAATGATGAAGCTCTTACAAAGGAACGATACAAAATGCTTTACAGTACGAGAGAATTACACAACAGAAACATTAGAATATCTGAAGAATAAAAAGTGAATAAGAGTTACATTCTAAGTATAAAGGTTAAGACATATAGTGGAGCAACTACAGAAACACTTACAAGCTAAGTTTACAAGTGAGAACAGAAATAAAGGAAAAATAGAGATTATTGAAGGATTTGTATAAATGTTCGTTTTAGTCAAAATAAAGCATTTTGTCTTGTAAGTGATCAGTTTATTATTTATTTTGTTATATTTTATTTTAAGAAAGAAAAGTAGTTAAAACATGGCATTTATATTCACTTTAAAGTTACTTTTAGTAACTTAGAATAAACTTTACTAGTAAGTTAACGTCTATTAAAGCTCTGCGTTTTGTTACGTAACCTCTACAATGATGATGATGTCATTTATTCGGCTGTATTTCAGGGTCGTCTTGGCGACGTTGGGCCTCCAGGACCAAACGGAGGTTCAGGTATCAAGGTGAAGAAAAGTCCTAAACAAACTCATTTATGCTTAAAAACGTACAGAGGTGACTGACGTGTGTTTCGTGTCTTATTGTTCTCAAAACTGTCCGAAAATGTCAGCTTTTATTTTGAAATATATAAGTTGGAAGTTTGAGGACAAGATGTTGTGTGTCATTGTGTCTTGTTCAGATTTCCTCATCAGGTTGTTTTATTAATTTGAATTTTAATGTCGGTGCATTTGTGTTTTCCACAAAACAAATCCGCTTCTGGATGTTTTGGATTCCTGTTTTAGAGATCGATGTTTGTGTTTTAGTCACTGGTTGTGAAGCGTTCCTTCGTTTTGTGTTCAGGGGTCACGAGGGGTCAAAGGCTCGGAGGGTCCTCAGGGACGAGACGGAGCGAAGGTACGGAAACGCAGAAGAAGCAGCACTTCCTGCGTAACCAGCGGGGAAACAAAACAACAAATGTATCAAATTTAACAAAGATTTTATTTCATGATGTTTGATTTATTTATCAAATCAAACGCATGATTTACTTTCCTGTATCATTTTGTGTGTATGGATTAACAGTAAACTGTAGATGTCACACGTGGTTCCTCTGGTGTTAAACGAGCGGGCGCCTCGCTCGGACCGGTAACCTCTGAGTCTCCTCCTGCAGGGTCAGACCGGAGCTCCCGGCTTCCCCGGTGACCTCGGCGACAGCGGCTACACCGTGAGAGACCCCCCGCCATCTTTGTTCCTTTCCTTTCTACGTCTAAGTGTTTGATACGTTTCATTACTGATTACAAAGCTTCTACTTTCAGGATTCGTTTAAATCGTCTGAGAGCTTCAGCGATTTTTCCTTAATTGTGTTTCCATGGCGACGATGACGCGATTAAAAACTGTTAACTCTGATTACATCACTCAGATTGAAGCCTCTGAAATGAGGATTCATTAAGCAATCATTCATTCACTTCTCTTATTGAACATTTTCCCTTGATCAGTATTAGTGATTTACTCCTGAGTTATTAATAATAAATACTTGTTAATGTTTGTCCTCCTCAGGGTTACCGTGGACAACCGGGATCCATCGGACCGTCTGGATCCAAGGTACAAACACCGTTTGATATCCGTTATTATTAAACATCACTGATGCTCAGTTCCTCGTGTGTGTGTGTGATAAACATCTTTCAAAGGGAGACTTTTTAGTTGGGTGAAAAATGAGATGTCACCATTTTAAGCGTCGTTTCGGCTGCTTGTTTCAGTGGAAATCTGAGAAATGTCTCTAACTGAATCCGGGCATTTACATTCAGACGGACGCTGAAAGGTGGATCTCCGTCCCTGGTAGATAAATGAACAGATGCGTACATGCTGGTTGGTTGAAGGCCTTAGGAGGAACCGTGAGGAGCACTGCGGCCTCCAGGGGGCACCGGAGGGATTCCAGATGTCTGTCTGTGTGAAGAAGAAAAGATCGCTAGAAACATTTATTAAATTATTATGTTTTAAGAGGGAAACCGTTGTTATGGTAAAAAAAAAAGAACTGAAACCACAGCAATGTGAAAGCTGGTGTTTCTGTTATTGATCACAGGTCACAGGTTTGACCTTTTCCCTGCTGAGGTGCCTTTGAGCAAAGCACCGCCTGCTGACTGACAGCGTGACGTCTGTGTTTAGAGCTGCTTCTTATTGTTCCATGAGGTTTTCCAGGGGAGGGAAGAACAAAAAGACCCTTCTGGATGAAACCCCCCACGTTGCCTCGAGGGGCTCTGTGGTTTTTATCCTTTGTCTCCTCGGTCAAAGGTGATGTCCTCAGAGAGACGCCGGGGAACCTCGCAGACGTCTTCCCAGACGTGTCCTCAGTGTCCTCAACTGCGCTTCTTTCATTTTCCCTCATTGATACGAAAACACAATAAAAGAGAGAATCTCCCCGAAACCAAAACGGCAGTAAAAGTGAACGTGAGAAAAGTTTTGTATTCTCATGACGTTCTTTATGGGGGGGGGGTCGCCTGTCAAACTGGTCCACTCCCAGTTCCTCTCTGGTCCAAGATGAACAACAGATAACGGACTGTTCTCTCACCACGTGGACATAAAGCGGATGTAAAAGCTCATAAAGGGACATTAAAGTAAAGACAAACCGCCCATAAGTCACCTCCCTTCATCAAAAACCGACATTTCACCTCAATGATGTCGTAATCAAATCACTGCTTTATGAAAAGTTAATAGGAATTCAGAGGTTGGTAAAATACTGCAAACTTTCATTACGTGTGATTTTTCTCCTCCGATCAAAACATCTGCTCCCATCAGCCTCTCCGCTCCCATTAGATCCAGATGTTTTTCTCGGCTCACTTTTGGCTTTTTTTCTCCCTCAGGGGCCCCGGAGGTTTCGGCGGCCTGCGGGCAGCGGCGGCGACCCCGGAGAGAATGTGAATTCTGATGAGAGTTCTGCAACCCCCCCACAAACTACCTGTGCTCACCCCCTGCTGTCTGTCCTCCTCAGGGGCCCATCGGCGTCCCGGGTGTGATGGGAGAGCCGGGACAGTTTGGAGCCAAGGTGACAAACGCAGAACTCTCATGATCCTCATCAGCACCTTCACGGACGTTCGGCCGCCACCGCGGCGCTCTCGTCTTAAAGGGACAGTAGCGCCGTGTGAAGCGTGTGTGTGTCGCTCCATTCACAGTACTTTTTACAGCTGAGGACACGGCAGGAGCTGCTCCGCCTCCGCCTGTGTGTGAGGTGGTGTTATTGTGTGATTTAGGTGTTTACGGGTTACTTTACAATCACCAAAGTCACGCCAGACGGAGGCCGCGGGGCAGCAGCTCCGCCGTTAAGCAGCAATGTGTGTTGTTGATTTTTCTTTGGTTTCTGGCATAGTTTTTGCTGTTATTATTATTTATTAAGATATTTATTACCTGATATCCCCTCAAATAGTCTGAAGTATCCCTTCCTCATCCTTCCTCCCGTCTCCTTCCCTCAGTTCCAGTTAAACTTGAGTTCATTATTTGGTTTAACCGGTGTTTCAGTTGGTCTTTTCTTCTCCCTCGACGTTCTGCAGCGCGTGAACATAAAACTGTTACATGTGTTGAAGCCGCAAACCTCTGATCGCCTGTCGTCCTCCTTTAGGGCAGCAAAGGCGACGCCGGCGTGAGAGGACCTCGAGGCCGAGCGGGCGCCGCGGTGCGTTTCATTCCTGCCCGGTGGAGCAGGACCTCCACGCAGCCCACATTCACATCCACCCGGAACCGCAGCCAGCAGCTCACCACTGATTTGACTTTTAAATACTTTAGAGGCTCAGTTTAAGGAACAATGATGCCATCAATCTAAAACCAAGCAAATGTCATAGGGGCTTTCCTCCTTTTAGAAAAGATATTAATGACTATTACAAGTCAAATAAACAGTTACTTTCACCTTTGACAAAGAAAGCCAGAGAGAGAAAAGCGTCAAAATACAAAGAATATATATATATATATATATATATATATATATATATAATGCAAAAGTTGAGAGATGGGAAGTTAAACTGTTAAAATCTAAGTGGTGGAGATATAAAATCTGTCACTGGCTGAAGGAAGGAAGGAAAGAGAGAAACAAGAAATATTTATCACTTTATATCTGTTCATTTTATTCTGTTTGTTCCACAGGGAACCGAAGGAGAGCGAGGAGATGGCGGAGTACCCGGGTTACTCGGATCAAAGGGCCTGCAGGGCCAGACCGTTAGTTATCAATACACAGATCTCCTATTGATCCCTTATTGGATGAGCTTTCCCTTTAAGTGCAATAATAACAATACGTAACGTGATCAACGAGTAAAACTGTAACCTGAATGTCTTCCAGGGGTCCAAAGGTGAGACGGGACCCGATGGGACCGCGGTGAGTGTTCGGCCCCACATCAGGTTATCGGTGGCAGGTGGAGAGGGAGGTGGTTATTGGTGGAGGGTGGTGGTTATCAGTGGCAGGTGGAGAGGGTGGTGTTAGTTATTGGTGGCAGTGGAGAGGGTGGTGTTAGTTATTGGTGGCAGTGGAGAGGGTGGTGTTAGTTATTGGTGGCAGTGGAGAGGGTGGTGTTGGTTATCAGTCGCAGGTGGAGAGGGTGGTGTTGGTTGTCGGTGGCAGGTGGAGAGGGTGGTGTTGGTTATCAGTCGCAGGTGGAGAGGGTGGTGTTAGTTATTGGTGGCAATGGAGAGGGTGGTGTTAGTTATCGGTGGCAGGTGGAGAGGGTGGTGTTAGTTATTGGTGGCAATGGAGAGGGTGGTGTTAGTTATCGGTGGCAGGTGGAGAGGGTGGTGTTAGTTATTGGTGGCAGTGGAGAGGGTGGTGTTGGTTATCAGTCGCAGGTGGAGAGGGTGGTGTTAGTTATTGGTGGCAATGGAGAGGGTGGTGTTGGTTGTCGGTGGAGAGGATGGTGTTAGTTATCGGTGGCAGGTGGAGAGGGTGGTGTTGGTTGTCGGTGGCAGGTGGAGAGGGTGGTGTTAGTTATTGGTGGCAATGGAGAGGGTGGTGTTGGTTGTCGGTGGAGAGGGTGGTGTTAGTTATTGGTGGCAGGTGGAGAGGGTGGTGTTAGTTATCGGTGGCAGGTGGAGAGGGTGGTGTTGGTTGTCGGTGGCAGGTGGAGAGGGTGGTGTTGGTTGTCGGTGGCAGGTGGAGAGGGTGGTGTTAGTTATTGGTGGCAGGTGGAGAGGGTGGGGTTCATTGATGTGGATGATGTCATGCTCTGTCCCTGCAGGGTGCGGTGGGGAAAAAAGGCCTCAGAGGTGTTAAAGGTCAAAAGGTAACGTCTCCCGTTTGCGGTCCGATGATGTCATCATTTCACTTCCTGTTTGCGTCACTGACCAGTGTCCTCCTTGTCTTTGTCTCCTCAGGGAGGCAGAGGAGACGGGGGAGACAAAGGACAGGTAGTGACCTCATTTATTATACTATAACTCTGTCACGGAGCAGATTAATATATTATTATTAAATGATAAATGTTCATGAGAGAAGTTAAAGGTGTAAAAGAAAGTTGATTTTTTTTTAAATATATATACATTATTTTTTTAATGTTATTATATAATCGGCGTTCTTTCTGGCAGCGTGGACCAAAAGGCGCGGCGGGTCGCGGTGGCGACCCCGGACCGGTCGGCCCACCCGGCCTGCCGGGCACCAGGGGAGAGCGCGGGGCCATTGGTGACCTCGGGGTCAAAGGGCAAGCCGGACCCAGAGGAGGCCCCGGTCCCTCTGTGAGTGAATGTCTGAATGTCGTTTGCAAAGGAGGATCCGATTTAGACAAACTGTCCCCTTAACGCTTTTAGCGGCTTTGTCCCACTCCCTGTCCCCGTTCCGTCCCTGCAGGGTCCCGGTCTGAGCGACGAGCAGGTCCTGCAGCTCTGCAGGGGCGTGGTCACGGCCCAGATCTCCCAGTACGCCTCCTCCATCCGGGCCAAGTGCTCCCAGGGCTGCCCCGTCAACAGCCGGACCCTCATCGGACCGCCGGGGCCTCCGGGGCAGTCAGGGTCCCCGGGGAAGACGGTGAGTCCCTCTGCTGGTGGAGATGTGTCCTCCTGGGGGAGAGGCGTCGATGTCAGGCCGCTGCTTTTAGTTCAGCATCGAAAAAGCACACATTTATTCTTAATTGTATTAGTAACTGTGAGCCCCTCCTGTGTCTCCGTGTGTCTCCGTGTGTCTCTCTGTGTCTCTCCCTCGTCTGTCTCTTTCTCGCAGTAGTTTCAATAGTTCAGAACTTGCTGCTCAAGAAAGAATATAATACAAAGTAACGTGGATTATTTTCCTAATCATTTGACTCTTTCTCACAAATAATCAGAAATAACCCATAAGAGTATTGATGGTGAACCAAACTGATCAACAATCAATAGGGTTACTAGTCACAGTCACATGTTATTGCTCTCCAGTGACGTTGGATTTCGATGGTCGCTGATCGTCTTTCACAGACGCCGACGTCACGACATCAAACGAATGAATGAAGCACTAATTGGATCGTTCCTATTTCCTCCAATCAGGGAAAAGCTGGAAAAGCCGGAGCAAAAGGAGCCAGAGGAGCTGAAGGAGACCGAGGACTGGAGGGACAGACGGGAGCTCAGGGGGACAGAGGTGACGTTTACGCTATTTGTCTCCTTCATGTTGACCTTCAGCAGACATTTACATCTTCCACCTGTTATGGACTGAGAAACGTCCCGTGTCTTCGTGTTTGTCTCTCCACAGGTCAGAAGGGGCCTAAAGGCAGCGCCGGTGATCCAGGTGAAGGCCTGGCGGGACCCGACGGGCCACAAGGCGTCAGAGGTGCGGCAGGTGTCCAGCTGCACACAGACACGCGTCTCACGTCGTCTCACGTTGTCTCACTTGAATCTCCTCGTCAGCGAGCGGCCGGTCGCCCTCATGGTTTCGTACATTTTGTCATTTCCTCTCCGCAGGTTTTCCGGGTCACCCGGCGGAACCCACGAACGGCACAGAGGGCCCCCGGGGGCCCCGCGGCTTCCCCGGTGCAGTCGGGCAGTCCGGCCCGCTTGGCGGGGCGGGCGTGCCGGGTATCTGCGAGGTGCGAGACTGCAGCATCCACGCGCCAGTAACTCGCAAAGAGCAGGGTCTGGTGAAAGGACCAATCAGCTCACAGATGTGATGACGACCACGAAAGAAAACGTCAGTCGGGTTGAAAACGTGACGCTCCGCTGGGGGCGGGGCTCTGCTGGGGGCGGGGCTCCGCTGGGGGCGGGGTTTGTTGAGAATGTGGAAAAGACTTTCACAGCTTTGATGAAATGTGTTTGTTTTATTTGATAAACTCACACCACATTTTTCCCCATTGGATCCTTCGTTTGGTTCCATTTTCTGTTTCCACAAACTCACGATGAAAAATACACAAAAATAACAAAGAGCAATGTAAATATTTTGTACATGAACTGTGCTGTGCATTATGTTTCAGATAAAATTATTTTAACCTTTGAGCAAGTGTTCTGCTTTTGTTTCTGAAAATGAATATTCCAGAAAAGTAATAAATAATAATAAACAGTCATATTGTGATTATCAAGTTTTCGAAGTGAACCAGTCATCTTATCGTCGTTTTATGTATTTCTAAGTGTTTAAGCATTTACTATTGAATATATAAATATTTGTTGAGCACCTGACAAAATAAACTCCAGTTTAAAGAAATAATTTCAGTTCTTTAAAGAACGAAATGGCTTGTTTAAATATTAATGGGGCAGGCAGACACGCACGATATGCAAGGAATAAAAAGAATGAAACATACTAACGTGTTGTTTGAAATACAAGGTTAACAGCAAACATGAACGGATGAAACGAAACCGTAAAGACTGCGGACACCACAGCTCGCCTCGTCACAGGTGCTTTTACCTTTGTCTCGATATCACCGCTCTTATTGTGAAAGAGCTTCCGGGTGAGTTGCATTGTGCCGCCGTGCGCCGTCTTTACCGTGTGTATCGTGTTTATTCTGTTGTTTTATACAATGGACTGTCGGGTTCTCACAGCAGGAACACAAAGACCACATCGCAGGATTTATACTACTAATAATTCTACTCATTTTCTCTCAAAATATCAGAATGTGCAGATCCGTGATCCGAAACCCGCTCTTATGTTTATAGATAAACCCATTTATTAACTTAAAATCCAGCGGACAAAAAATAAGAAATGCTTGTTTTAGACTTTCGGGACTTGTTGCTGGTTCCGTTAACTTTCCTCTATGAGTGATTCATGATATTCGGATTAAGTTAATTACAGAAAGGGGATTTCTGGGGATGTTTCGGTTTCGTGGAAACAGAAACCGCCTCCAGTTTCATGGAAATCACGGGGAATCCCGCGGGTTGTTTTTACTTTCGTTCCGCTTAATAATGTTTTATTTGTTTATCTTAAGCAAGAGGCGAACGCATAAAATGACATTACACAAACATGTTATTGTATCAGTAAAGTATTAAAACTTCTATTAAGCATTCTGCTCTTTCCTTTTCTCGCTGTCTCGTCCTCACAAAGTAACGCGAGACTTCACTAAAAACACTATAAACGCGACATAATGCTTTTACGCCGGGTTAAACTAGCGAAGCGGAATACGGACAGAGGTCGCCGCACTGTGACCTTTGCGTGGAGCGCGAGGACGCCGCGTCGCGTGCTTTTGGTTTCACTGCGTTGGCGGAGTTCATATAAATGGAGCCGCGTTGGAACATCTCACATCGCCATCATGCTGCCACGTACCAGGACGCTGACCCTGCTGCTGTCACTGAGTGAGTGCAACCTTTAACCTTTGACCGTAGGGCTCTGATTTATTGTTTTATATTATGGTATGTATGATAAATATCCGGTATTCTTGTGTGTTCACTTCATATATCTTTAAGTGCATTATGGGCTCTATAATAACTTCTACTCTCCTGTGTTCTGGTCATATCTTCATTGTAGGCTCTATAATAACTTCTACTCTCATGTGTTCTGGTCATATCTTCATTATGGGCTCTATAATAACTTCTACTCTCCTGTGTTCTGGTGATCTCTTCAGGCGTGGCTCTCAGCGAGGCGCTGCTGGAGGTCCGGGTGCTGCTGGGGGACGACTGTGTTCTCCGGTGCCCCGCTGAGGACCGGCCCGGCGTGCAGTACTTATCGGTGAAGTGGTTCAAGGTAAAACCTGCCCCTCACCTCGCGGACAGAACGCTTCCCGTGCTCGTCATTTGATACGTGTTGTAGTGAGCAAATGTTCCAGGAAGGAGGAGACACGTGACATTGGCTTTGTTTAAATTCAAATGTGTGCAGATGTCACTTCCTGTTTCATTTCCCTCCAAAAAGAGCGTTAAGTGTAATAGATAAGATACAATATGTTCACAATAGTTCCATTGAGAAACCAAAAGATTTCATTCAAATAAAAGCAACTAGTAAGAGACTTTTGAAATAAACAATATTTATATTTATGTATTTTTCTGAATACTGCCTTTGTCATAGAATTCTATCAGCTGTATTTGTATCTTTCTCTTACTGTGGTTGTAGAAGTACTCTGATCTCTTTTTGGAGAAAAAGTACATGGTGTAAAAATACTTTGTTACAAACACAAGGCCTTCCAAGTAGCTTGGGATCAATATAATCCCTATATATTGTCTATAATATCTTTAATATCCCAGGATAAGGTATCGATTGATTGTATTTGGATAAATATTCTGAATCATAAAAGTCATCAAGTAAATGTAGAAGTATAATGTTAAATAAATAAAATGTTATTATGTCATTTATTATTTTAGATTTACTCTCTATTATTTTATTCCATCCTCTTTATATTTCCACTTTTATTCTCGAGTTTTTATTTGAACACACTCACACAAGTTACTAGTTACTGCGTCACAGACGACAAAGCTAACGCGTCACCGATGATGTCACAGGAGGGAACGCCGCCGGCGTCCCGCCTCACCGGCGTCCTGACCCGCGACCTCGCCAACGGCACCGTGCGGCGATACCTCGGCATGCAGCGAGCGGCGGAGCTTCGCGGCGAGTCCCGCGACCTCCACCTGCCCAACGCCACGTGCGCCGACGCCGGCTACTACGTGTGTCACCTGTCGGCGCCGGTTGGCGAGCAGAACCGCGAGGGCCGGGTGCTCCTCACGCCGACAGGTGAGGACCTCGGGGTCAAAAGTTTCCTCTTATCTTATGGGACACTGGGGGGGGTCACGGTTTAGGGACTGACTTCCTGTCTCCCTTATTCAGATTGTCCCGCAGAGGACCGGCTGACGGACACGTACCTGGTTGTCCTGGCGATGTTGGGGCTGATGTTTGCCCTGGTGATTTTCCTCATCAGCTACGTGAGTCTGACCCCCACAGCCGCCCGTCCGCCGTTCCGCTGACCCGGAGGCCCTTTCTCATACCGCTCGCTTCTTCCTTTTCTTCATCACAGGTCATTTTAAAGAACGTCCTCAAAGACAGAAACAGGACGCCGAAAAAAGTGACTTTTCGGGACGCGCCGCTCGGACCGCTGAACGAGGACGACCTCCGGTCCATTTATACGCTGGGTCCTAAAGGGTCCCACAAGGTCCTCAAAGGTCTTCAAGGGTCCTCAAGGGTGCTTGTGTGAGAGTGTGTGTGTGTGTGTGTGTGTGTGTGTGTGTGTGTGTGTGTGTGTGTGTGTGCGTGTGTGTGTGTGCTAAAGTATTTATGAACTTGTTCTTTCTCAAACCCGTAAAATGTGAAAGCTTATCTTTGTATCAGTGTATTTGTTAAACATGTATATACATACATATTTTTTTTACGTCATTGACTGCTGACTCTTCGTTTTTTCTCTGAACGGCAAAAACCGCCGGCGTGATTGAAAATAGCGTTTTCTTTAAAACTACTTGTTCGTCCTCTTCAGGTTTCTACTTTACAATTTAATCAGATCCTGAAAGAAGTTTTAATCCTGAGCTACTCGACGTCAAGACTTTCGTTGTGGGACAAATAAAAGAATATCTTATTTTATTGACTCAGACCAGCTGTCATGTGACCATAAATCAGAGACATTGCAGAAGGGACCACAGACAGGAGACGCTGCTATTTAATGTTAGTAGTTAAGTATCACTACTACTCTACTTCCTGTCTCCAAACAGAAGCCAGACTTTTATGTTTTATGTTATGAGTTCTAAAACTCCCTGTGTGGGCAGCAGAGGGGAACTCGGAGGAGGCCACGGGGGACCCCCTCAGTGGGGAGACCCCTCAGTGGGGAGACCCCTCAGTGGGGAGACCCCTCAGTGGGGAGACCCCTCAGTGGGGGACCTTTGTGATCCCATGAATGCAAAATGTGTGACTTCTGCTGGTCCTCGTGTTCTCTGCTTGACTTTGCATGTCGAGCATTAATAAGGAGAGAAGAAGAGGAACAAGGTTACGTAGTTTTGCACAAAAGGATCCGCTGAAACGTTTGGACTCCTCATCATTGTTGTTGTTTATTTGTGATCGGTGTGACCTCGTGTTCTTGTCTTCATGGATGGTGGCGGCTGAGATTTGAATCTAGAAATCACGTTGAATTAAAGACGCTAGCATAGAAATTGTGTTTGACATTTGAATAGTTTTAACATTCTGACCCCATAAAGACGAAGTGTGTTGAAGAAGAAAAAGCTGTTTGTTCATAAAACGTAAATCTGTATTTGAAGTGTGTTCACTTGTCATTAGTACAAACACTGCATACTACATATCCCACAATGCAACATGACAACCTTTTCACCAGCTACAGTTGGTGGAAAACTAATAGAACCAGTTTTTGTGCTCAAGGGTCACCGTTTCATTTTGTTCTCTCTTAAAGTCCCCGGTTGACCTTTGAGCAACGTGAGCCTGGTGACCTTTGGGAGGTTCTTGGAGATGTGAAACCTGCAATGTTTATGAAGTTAACAGGAAGTAAAACCTTTTTTTCTTCCCTTTCCTTCTAAACATAGTTTAGTTTCCACCCACGCTTTAAAACTCTCAATAGCATAAAGAACATTATATCCCAATGTCTTTATATCTTTTCTTTAATCTGTGTGCTCATGTGACACATTCTGTGACTTTTACACACACACATCACAGCCGTATAGTCTGTAACAATAGTCTTATCATTTAGTATAAAAGACCCAACTAATGTTTAACGGTGGTTAAATGGTATAATTAACAGTTTTACAAAATGGTATTACTATTATAACCTTTATAAAAGCGTTCTTGATGTTTATATTCATCCTTAAAAAATACATGATACATTAAACTGTCAAAATAAAATCAATAATATTCATAAAATAAATTGAAGCTTTATCAATGTATACATACGTTACTCCACAGCTGTTGACCTGTTTGTTCTGGTTCCGTGTCTCTTTGTGGTGGTTTTGTGTCTGTTGTTACGTTCTATTAATTCTCTGATTCTCTCAATTCTCTCAGCTCTTATTATCTTTCACCAGAATGTGTTGTATGCACATGTATTGTATGTATGTATGTATTTAATATAACTTGCTAACCCCAGTTTGAGACACTGGATTAATTGCATTCCCAGTCAATACACTAAATATTCTGTACAATATTCAGTGCTAATGTCATATTTTGAGCAGGTGTGAACAAGATGAATTGATTTGCATGCGTCACAGTTTCCTCCAAACACCAGAAAGCATCACAGCATCAGGAGGAGCCTGGGACAACATGGTCCATCTGGGAGGTTCTGTCGTTGGTTGTCGTGGCCGAGTGGTTAAGGCGATGGACTAGAAATCCATTGGGGTCTCCCCGCGCAGGTTCGAATCCTGCCGACAACGACTGATCTTTTTCTCGCTTGATTCTGTCTCTCGGACGTTGCCGATAGTGTTTCGCTGACATTTAAACCTTAAATGTCTCTTCCGACGTGGCAGCTCGTCGGCTTTAACGAGTGACTGTATTTCCTTAATGCCACATGACTAATATTTACAATAATGTAAGGAAACGTTTAGTCACGCCAACAGCCGAATGTAACGATACAGGAATCCAGCGGTCATACAGTCTTAATTCACGAGCTTTTTATTAAGGCAACAAAACTGTCGAAGAAAGTCCGTCTCCGTCGGAGCTGACGTCACAATCATTTTGTCACACTTATTTTGAAAGGCGTCGCTCCGTTTCCGGTCCATTCTCGCGTTACCGAGCAACGACGAACGCTACGGGAGAGCTAGCGGGTGGCCTGGCTAGCGTTAGCTGCTGCGGGGGTTAGCTCCCCTGAACATGGACGAAGACGCAGACCTGGACGAACTGCTGGACGAAGTCGAACAAAAGTTCTGTCGCAACGTCTCCGTCTCGTCCTCGGCTCGCGTGGACCCGGGCGAGGCGGGAGAATGCGGGAGAGACAACGCAGGAAGAATAAAACACAAGTAAACAATGATAATTTAGCTAGCCAATGCTAGCTAATGCTAACTATAACACTCGATAATGAACTGTATGTTCTAGGGCTTTAAGTTCTTCAACGTCAACTAATGTTGTGTATCAGGCTCTATGCATCCTAAACGCAGATTCACCTTATTATACAGTTTATAATATGTTATAATGTTGTTCATCAGCCTCTATAACTACATCCTAGACTAATAGTAACCTTGTCATTGTATAGTTCATAATATAATAGTCTGTATCGTGCTCTATAAACCCTAAAGTAACGCAGGCTCCTTTAAAGCGAACGTCGGAATTTACTGCGTGGTGAAGCTTCTCTGACCGGTTCCGTTTCCTCTGGTTCAGGACGACGAGCCCCGGCCTCGCCGCCGACATCGACGTTCTTCTGGAGGAACTCCTGGCGGAGGACTTCCCTCAGCTCAAGGTCAAGGTGTACTTCACGCGTACCCCACCGTGTACTTCACGCGTACCCCACCGTGTACTTCACGCGTACCCCACCGTGTACTTCACGCGTACCCCACCGTGTACTTCACGTGTACCTCTTGTACGAGCCGTACAAATACACGCTGTCACGTTCTAGTTCTCTCCGCGTGGTCAGCTTCTAAATATTCACGTAAGATAAAAGTGAATTGAAAGAAGCCAAGTTACATTTTTAGTGAAGTTAAAAGTATTCAAAATAACGGGAATCACCTGTTGTTTTTTATTTAGGTGTTATTAATAGTTCCCTTTTTTGTTGTTCATTCAAAGAAATACAACTACATGAAGTAACTTTGGCATCTCACAAACAAGTGCAGTACACTTTCTCCCCCGTAAAGTATTAGACATCTTTGAGTATTTTAAAGGTTTTTCTTTCTTGCCTTCGCTTTGCAGCACGAATAAAGTCACTAGTTTTAACATGAAAGTAAATGCAACTTGAGATCCTTTTAGAACACAAACGTGTTGTTTTACTGTGCCGTTTCATTCCAGAGGGAAGCGTTTCCCGAAGGACCCCAAGTAGAGACGAAGCCTTCCGCTCAGTCAGGAGGGAGAAAGTGAGTTCATCAATCAACTCTAAATAATATATAAAAGAAGTACAAGTGGGAATAATAATTGGAATCAGAGGCCATTTATTGCCACATATGTTACACATAGAGGAATTTTACTTGGTGCATTGGTGCAATATAAGAATAAAATAAGATACAAACATAGAAGCAAGAATGAACAGAGAAACCACTGTGCATACACAATAGCATGTTATAAACTATTGGATTTATGTCGAATATAATTGTCTTTTAACAATGAACCGAAGTTAAATGAATCATTGACTCATAACGATGAACGATTGTTATTCCCAAAGAGTTTTTTTGTGTCGTAAACACGTGCGCATCGTAAACAAGTGGGACTCGGTCTTTGTTTTGCTCGTCCAGGTGCTGCCCCGTCTTCGTCGGCGGGAGCGCCGTCGCGAGCGGCGTTGGCACGGCAACGTCCAAGAGGTGAGTTCCCGCCCCGCCCCATTTCTGCTCCCGTCGCCACACGGATCTCACCATCGCGGATCCGCAGGTCATGTGACCAGCTGAGGTGCACGTCCTGCGACTTCCGGGTACTGACGTTTGACGACCGCGCGTGGGACCCGTCCTGCGACTACCTGTTCCTCAGGTGGGTCTGAGGACATGTGTCTCCGTTTCTTTTCCCTCCGGTTTGAGTTCCCCTTGGGACGCGAGACGCAAACTTGTGTGTGTGTGTGTGTGTTTGTTTGTGTGTGCGTGCGCGTGTGTTCTGAAGGAACAACGTCCCGGACCGGGAGAAGCTGGGGGCCCGGCTGAGGAGGAGCGGGGGCTCTCGGGCCTTCGCCTGCCAGTGCAGCTGGTTCTCAGCCGACGAGCCGACGGACCTCAGGGAGCAGCCTCGGCTCCGGTGGGTCTGTGGGAAGCACCAGGCCTGAGGCCGGAGAGTCTGCTACGTCCCACGGGTCAGTGAACGTAACAAGGGCACGTTCCTCTTGTCTCCTTTTTATTGATTAAAGGCTGTGACTTTTTTCACACTTTCTTTTTTTTAGATTTTTAAACAAGAAGAACACATTTAGAAAGTTAACCAACATGTGGTGAAATCAAACTATAAAAAGCTATTAAACAGTAATATAACAGGGATAAATAGATCAAATGGAGACCAAGAGCATTTTTGTTTATTGTATTATTTTAGAAAAATCAAAACACTAAACGATCAAAATTACTATCAAAATTCTGTATTTTAAAAAAATCCATTATAAGAGGATCCATTATAAGATCGCACTCTGTTTCAGGACTGACTGACGCTCTGCCGGAGGACAGCTCCAGCAAACCTCACGTCACCTGACGAGAAGAAGCGTGTGACGCTGATTCAAAAACACACACGTGTTTATTGAAGAGCGAGCAGCTGTTCAGCCACGTTTTCACTAGACTTACAAACCCCCTTTTTCCCTTAAAGATGAACATTTATAAGTAATACACATTTTTGGACTGGGTTAGTTGTACAGATGCCGAATTGAAAAAGTAAAAGTTGTATTATTAACTACGATTTGTGTGCCTAGCGCTACAAATGTTGTGTGGCTCCAAGTTTAAAGAGCAAAGGAGCCTGAAAACTTGAGTTTTTGGATCGATCAACTTGGTCAAAACGTGATTTTTACTGAATCCACTCTGAACATTCATGTCCCTCAGAGGATCCTCTCGGTACAGATTATTATAAATTAGAATATGAGTGAATGTGTACTGTGTTTTTTTGTTGATTTCGAGCAGCATTGTGTTTGTGGCCTGAAGTCTTCTTTTGGTGAGTTTTTTTGTACGTTAACCGAATAAAAGGAGAAAGCACCGAGGTACTTGTAGTTTTAGTCATACTTAATACTTTTAACTTCTTATTTCATCCTGTGTGCTGGTTACTTTGTAGCTTCCGATTATAATGAAAAAACCTGCTGCAGTTGCGCTGTGGCGCAATACCACGTTGATCCACAGGGGGCACCAACACCAACACTGAATGCAAGTAAAACTGTTTCTTTGCTAGTATCAGAGTATTTCTACACTGGTATTTGTCTTCTTTTTAACATCAGAGTACTTCGTCACAGATGCCCTTCTCTGATTGGTCGTCATAATTCAGGTGTGTTAGATCTTCTCCAATGAATTTGGATTCCAGTACTTATCGACCTGATTTTTCAATAATTCTTTTTTAAAACATAAATACCTGACAGGATGTTCTCACAACTTCTCCCAAAACAACATTAAGTAGAAAAAGAGTGTTAAAGGTAAATTTGAGATTAATTTCTGATAGTTTTACAGCGTATTATGATTTCGCAGTAATCCTCCTGTAGTTTTACTAAATATAACTAACAGTTTTACTGTAAAATATTTACGTGTGTATTTACAGATAATTATTGGGAATCCCAGGACAGTGCTGTAAATATACACTTAAAAAATACATCATAAAATACTATACATTTTATATTTTCTGTTTATTATCTGTAAACAATTGACTCAATAACACATAAAACCTTAACAGATATGTTACAAATCAAGCAGCTGTCGTCTCTCTGAGGAAGAGTGACTCAACATCGCTCCTCTCAGACAGCAGGAGGAGCAGGACAACCGGAGGAGGAGGAAAAGGACATGGAGCTCTGCAGGAAGGATGATGCTATGAATCATAATATTAAGTTCTGTTCATATTATTTCACTATATTTTTCAGCTGCTTTTTATATTTGATCGTATTTAATATTAATATTCTACTTGTAATATTTAGTAACTTTTTACAGATTTGTATTAATGCAAAATGAACTAAACAGTTCATTCTGATATACTAAGTAAGATCAAGTTATCTGGCAGCCTATGAATTAATTAAATTGAGCTCCACTTTTCCTTCATCATTAAAGTAATAATATTCAGACATTATTCTACATAAAACATTTTGGTACTTCATGTATGTATTTGTATTTTAGTACCTGTGCTCTTTAATACACTATTCCCGTAATAATAATCCTCTGGTAGTTGAACATTTAATGTAGAAAACTGTTAAAAGGTAAAACAATTCCCTCTTTAAACAATAAATATATAAATGAATCCGGTAGCTTCCGTCCAGCAGGCGGCGCTGTTTCCGGTTGGATCAACCACTGAAGCAGCTGCAGAAGAAGAAAACCCGGAAGTGAACAGATGAACGGATTTGGACCGAAGCGGCAATGAGAAGCGAGATGGAAGCGACCGACTTCCAGGATGCTTTGGACGACTGGTTCATGGAGTCCATGAAGACGTGAGAAGAGTTTGAACCGTTTCCTTCAGTCCGGCTTTTATTAAGTTATGAAGCCTGACGATGAATCTTCCCATTAAATGCATTACGATCTGTAGAGTGGATTATATTGCTAAGAAAAATAAACCGTATTCCATAGTTACGGTGTGTTTACTTGTCCCTGAAGTAGCGTTGTATCATTAATACAACCTTCAAATGTGAATATAGACTAAACTCAAGCTAACAATGGCGCGTACATCTGGAAATATTAGTGTAATGTTGTAAAAGTGTGTAGATAACGTGCTTACTCTTGTTGTAGGTACAAAGACCTCCATGTGTATCAGCTGGAGGATCCCACTCAGGTGCTGGAGTGGACCTCAGGGAAGAGTGAGTTCATTAAATACAGAAAATGTTACACTTCAAAAACCTCTCAATGCAAATTCAAAAGTAACCAGACTGTATTGGTTTCTCTTGTAATGATAATGTTTTGCGAGCGTTGCATGTGAACTAATGAAGCTCTTTGTGTTTCCAGCCGTGTGCGTCGCAGGATTCCATCCCTCTAAGAATGAAATCCTCCAGCTGCATTTGCCTCGGAAACTGTTGGCTGATGAAAATAAGGTAAGAGAGATTATTGCACACGTGCAAACACAACGTCCTTATGTGGGTTAATGCCTCTAATCTGTGTGCTGTTGTGTTCAGGGTCTCTGTGCAGAGCGGGACTTCAAAGTAGTCCACGGTGGGTTCACGGACGGTCCGGTCCGCTGCCTCACTCACGTCCCAGGAACCAGGCGAGTTTCCCTCCGTTTACTCGTTAGAAGCTTGTGCTTTTATTCTGAAAGCCACGTTTAGTGTGTGTGTTTGTGTGTGTGTGTGCAAACAAATAGAAAGTATACACGGACAGATATTGTACACAATATGCAAACTCATTTAGATGTAATTTAGTAAATCTTTGAAGTGTTTCCTGGATTCACGTCACGCTGTTCCTGCAGGTGCATCGTCACCAACGACGGGCTGACCTCCGACCTGCAGGTGTGGAGCGTGGGAGGAGACGACAGCGGTTAGTTCCAGTCAACAGAAGATAATTTGACGTTGAAGTTTCCAGAATACAAAACAATTTAAAATGAAATAGGAAAAGTAATAATATACATTATCTCGTAAACTTTAATAAAACAGGTCATAGTATAGAAAGTCAATAAGAAATGCCTAAAAAGTCATAATATAATGTGGAATAAAAACTGCGTCTCTTCGTCCAATGACAGACGCGATCAAGTTGACGGGGCGTGTCAAGGGGAGGAGTAACCGGAGGAGGAGGAGCTTACCAGGCGCAGTCTGCAGGGTCGCGGCTACACGCTCCTCTCAGGTTCTTCACGGCGCTGCGAGCGGCGACGTGCGTCTGACTGAGCTGACCTCGGGTCAGGTCCTCTACACGCTGGGTAACGCTCGCAGTTACACGTAACAAGAGTTTATGAACCCGTGACGGTAAAACATTCCAGCGCAGCGTCTGTCTGCGTGGCCATAACGCTCTGTGATGAACGCACAGAGACGGACTCGGACGAACCTCTGAGCTCGTTGCGTTTCGTGGGCGACGCGGTCTTCCTCGCCGGCTGCTCCAACGGGAACGTCTACGTGGCCGACACCCGGACTCCCGCCCCGCCTCGGCTCCACCCCCCACCAACGTCCCCGGGTGACCCCGCCCTCTGGCAGACGGAGGCGTCCCCTGGCGGCGCCGTCGTCAGGCTGTCGGCGTGCGGGCGGGCCGTGATGTCCGACACGAGGAGCCCCGGGGGGGCCGCCGGCCGGGCTCGGCTGGAGGTCCCGCCGGGGGGCCGTGGCCAGGAGGGGGGCGTGTCGTGGGCCCCGGCGCTGGACAGCTGCATCGCGGTGTCGGGTGAGTTTAACCAGCTAGTTAGCTTAGCATAGGGACTGGAAACAAAGGGAAAGGTTAGCTTTGTCGGCAAACATTGACTTGTATAAAAATGAAGCTAGAGAGAAAAGTTGCTCATATAAACTTTTGCTACGATCTTATTTATTACAAATCCACACATTTTTGGATCAACCTCCCAGACGTGACCCGTCAGTTCGATTCCCCGTCTCTCCGTGCAGGTTTCGGTGCAGCCGTCCGGATCTACGACACCTCGGCCTGGCCGACTGAGCCACGGGACGTCCCGCCGCTGTTTGAGCACCGCGGGCACGCCGTTTCTTCACAGCCCGCTGCCGCCGCCGTCCTCGTCACCGCCCACGTGTGGCACCCCGAGCGGCCTCGGACGCTGCTCTCCGCCGCCTCGGACGGGTCGGTCCACCTGTGGGACTGGATCGACGGGTCACAGTGAAGAACGGAACATCAAAGTCCAATGAGAAGAGAAAGATTAAAGAGGGATGAAAATAAAGTTTGTAATGAAAATGTAACGAAAGGAGCCTGAGTTCATTCATGAGTCACTGTTCAATATTCTCTGGAGGTCAAAAAGGTCACGAAAAAGTCTAGAAAGTGTCCAAACAATAAATGTCCTTTCAACAGATAAATCCAATGCATGAAGCATAATTTAATGATATTTCTAATATTTATTCTGGGAATATCATAGGGATTCTTCTACTATAATAAAGGTCCAATATTTTAAAACCTGAATATATATATATTCAAGTTTTAAAATATTGGACCTATATATATATATTATATATATATATATATTTTATATATAATATATATTTTATATATTATATATATATATATATATATATATATTATATATATATTTTATATATAATATATATTTTATATATTATATATATATATATATATATTTCACTAAAGCCACCATTGTATTCCTGACAGAGGAAAAAGTTAGTCTCTCTCACACACACACACACACACAATGCAACAACATGTTAAGCTTTTTAATGCAATTTGTTAACCAATTATATGGAAATATGACCAAATAAAATGTAACTTTACCTAAACTCATTACAATATGTACGCAGGTCCAGTCTTCTTATGGACATTATGGGGAAATGTTGAATATTAAACCTTTAATCTGAATAAAAGTGTAATCACACTCTCATCGGTAGAAGAACTTTTGGCCTCAGAGGAAAATGAATATATTTGAAGAGAAGCAGTTCTGTGGAAATTGTAACACTTCATAACTGCTGCAGAAAATGTGACCGCTGAGTGACCTTCATCATCATCATCATCCAGCAGTTGTGTAATGTATGATTAACATGTCTTTAAAATAACCTGTGTGATTACTGCTATTATCCTCCATTAGCTCACCCAACCGCCAAATCCTCTTCATTTACTGTCATTTTAATATTTAAAGCAGTGACTCACTGTGGAAACATTTTGAATCCATGTGAGATAACGTCTGCAAACTATCTTTTATTAAAGATATTTAGAAGCTAACGTTTAATATTTATCTAAAGTACTGTTTTGGATGCAGGACTGTTTTGTTAGCATTACTATTTTTACTTAATTAAAATAATTTTAATTTCCTTTGCCAACCGTGCCTATATACACACACACACACACACACACACACACACACACACAGTGTGTGTATAAAGTAAATAGTTCTTAGTTATATATTCAAGTGTTAAATCACATTCATTTAGTTTGTGCGATTTATGTCTAAAGGTTATTTTATTGATCATTCTTTTGTTCTCTCAGACATTCATTATTGTTTTTAGTTATGATTAAAAATCCAAAGAAATAGTCAAGCAATCCCAGTTTGTTGGATTTTAGATTAAGTCTAGTTGGTAAAAAGATTTTTTCTCTTAACTTAAACAGACCTGAATTAAGAAAACACCAAAACACCTCCGTTCTGTAAGCAAAGCATTTATATATAATATATACTCAAAGATTTCTGAAGGAATTAGTATCAAACAACGATATTCTGGGTTACATTCTGATTCAAGCCCTTTTTGTTTACAAAATACAAGATAAAACTAAAGAGAAAAAATGACAACAAAGACAAAACATTAAACAACAAATCAACAAAACAAAATAACATCCCGTTTACACACTCGACTCAATGAAATGCAGCTGTAATTTGTGGTTTTCGTGCCGTTGACTTCCATTGGTTGTTATTTGAGGATCAGGAGAGGACCCGTTGACTTGCACTAATTCAGACCTCCAGCAGCTTGTAGTCGTACAGTCCGTCCCACACACACTAAACGCTGACTTTGCATCATTGCGTTGACAAGGATGGCGCTGGGCCTCGGGGGGCGGGGCTTAAGGAAACTTTGGACGACCCCCCCCAGTGAGGAGATAAGGGTGCTGGGAGCAGCACCCTGAAACACCCCTGATGTAGTTCCTCGCCATAGAGAAGTAAAGCCCCGCCCCCTTCAGTTAAAACAAACAAAGTTAACAAGAAAATTTAGTTAGAACTGAAAAGATCATTAACGTGAGGAGACAGACGGTGCGTTCATGTGCACTCTGGGAAGCCCGTAAATCCCTCCGCTTTGTGTTTATTTAGGTTTCTCAGAAGGAGCAGAAAAGCTCCAGATTTAACAAACGTTTAGTCAAATAAATTTAACAGCAAGAATTATGACACAGCGTAATTTGAGAGCCGATCATAACTGTACAACAGAAACAAAACAAAACCTAATTCTGTACAAATGTACAAACAAAAACAAGGATTAAAGTCACTGAGAAAAAGTCTAAGTCATCGGAACAACTGACATGCAGTCCTCCATCGTCATCATCTTCATCAGGACAGTTGTTAGTTCTGATTCCATCAACATTAAACCTGTAAAAAGCCGATGGGATTTTAAAGAAAGTGGAGATAAAAACAGCAAAAAATAAACGTTTGAAAGCGTCAACGATGAATCCTGCAGATAATCGAGGCGGAAGGAAGGATCCATCTCTGACATCATTGAACACCTGGATTTCAATTCTCCTCTAGTGATGAAGAGGAGGCTCAACCATCATCTCAGCGTCGTCATGGAAACAATCAGTTGGGCTGGTCTGAGACGACTAAAGGTAAAGTAATATTATTCATAATATATAATATAGATAACGGTTGTCGTGGAGAAGAAACACGATGTAGCTCATTGTGAAAAAAAAAAAACCCGCTGATATAAAGACCAGCGTCTCTCAGGAAGTGAGGCGGTAAAGCCCGCCTCCCGCTCAATTTGATTGGCTGCCTGCATCGACGACAACTTTTTACTTGGGATTTTTTGTGTGATGATTAAATCAAATATAAATAACCTGACAGACCTGATGGTAAATCAACTAAGAACTATAAAATTATACACACATTTGGCGCAAACTATTAGACTGAAACCTGCGGGGTTGAGGGGGGGGGGGCACACGGCGTGCTGGTCCATTTCCCTGGTTGAAAGCTGCTGCTGATGTTGTTCCCTCTCTCTCTTTGAGGGTGGGGGGAAGGCGAGCGGTGGATTTTTGGCTTCTACTCTGTTATTTAGAAAAATAAATCTCTACATTTTGACAAAATAGAGAAATAGAAACCGACGTCTAAAATGAATAACGAACCATCCGGAGTGACGGCGGACGAAGGGTCCAGCATGCCCCCCCGACACAAGGAGCCCTTTAGGGGGTCTGGGCAGGAAGTAATAGTTGGAGGAGGAAGGGTTCGACCGTTAGCTTCTGTAGTGACTCATCGTCCAATCAGGAGTCCCGAGACGAGAGGAGGAGGTCACGTGTATTTGGTTCGAAGTGACTCGGGCAGAGAAGAACAGGAAGAAGGATCCTCAGTCGCTGCTGTCGTCATCGTCGTCGTCGTCCGACATGTTGTGGAACTTTGACCCCAGGCGGCCGAGGGAGTCCGAGCGCGCCGCCGCCCCCTCCGCCGTCAGCTGCACGAAGCAGAACTCGCAGACGCGCACGGGCTTGGAGGACTGGCTGGGCAGCAGGTGCTTCCTCTCCGAGCACGGCCCGCACACCACGAAGCCGCACTTCCTGCAGTGGTGGCGCCGGCTGACCGGCGTGAACTTCACCTTCTGGCAGCGCATGCACACCGTGGCCTCCGAGTCGGGCACCCACACGGCGGCGTGCTCGCCCGTGGGCGCCTTGCCGCTCTTCAGCAGCAGGTCCTCCACGCACTTGCCGATGTGGTTCATCCACTCGGACTTCTCAGTGGCGGTGGCGGCGTACACGGCGAAGGACTTGGTGGGCGTCTTGATGAGCCAGCCGTTGCGCAGGTCGCCCTCGTCCGGCACCTTGTCGATGGTGACGCTCTCCAGCGGGATGATGTGCTGCTTGTTGTACTTCTTCTTCTGGATCATGATGTTGCCGTAGACCAGGATGTCGTTGAAGAGGAAGAACTGCCGCGCTTTGGGCTTCTTGCGGCACAGCTTGGTGAGGACGCCCTCGCCGATCAGCACGCGGCCGGGGATGGCGAGCGGCTGGCCGGCGGCGCCGAAGCAGCCCTCCACCACCGCGATGCGCTTGGAGTTGGCCTCGCTGTTGGCGAGCCGGTCCACCATCTTCAGCTCACCTGGAGACGCAGAGAGAGATCAGACTTCTCTGAAAACACCCGAAGACACAGAGGCTGCATTCGAAGGGAAGACTGAAGAACACCGAGAACACGCTGCACGCCTAAAACCCGAGCAGAGCCTGAACGCATCACAAGCAACTGAAGCGCCATTGGTTAGCTCTTAGCGGTAAGCTAACATTGCTAGCTCCTTGAATAACTTCAACCTGACTAGTTGCCAAAACAAATCGAATGAATATCATTATTGATTTGTTGTGTCGCGCAATTATTACGTCACTCAATGAGTTGCGGAGATGCGCGCGGAGCAAAGATAAAAAGGCGAGCGGAAAGAAGTGTCCCTGAGCCTGAAGACACCAAACCCCTAATTGCTCCCCAGGAAAAATGTAAAAAGCCACGGGTTAAAAATGTAATGCAAGTCGCTTTGGATAAACGCATCAGCTAAATGACCTGTAATGTGATGTTTTGACGTGAGGAAAATAAAGAGCCTCCAGCAGGCAACAAGCTAGCGTTAGCTCGCTAACAACGGCAGTAAAGCAGTTAGCACGACTAAGACACGTTTTTGTTCACTCGCCTCTTTTGGATTTATTTTTCAATCCGTTGTCTTGTTTATATTTTTGGTTATTGTTGACCAATGTATTTGTGTGTGTTGTACCTTTTAGTGCTGTCACATACGGTAGTGTACATACTGTGGGTTTTACGGTAGTAGGTGTTATAAGTGTTACACTGTGATCCATTAAACCAGCGCGGCAACTAAGACGCCTTTAATACATTTATTTACAAATGCCATTTGAAATTCATCTCATAGCACGTGGTTGTTTTTTAGCTGTACTTAGATGGGGTGTATACATTTATACACTTTGAGTGTCGTCTGTGAGTGTAGAGAACAAATTCTGACGTTAAATTTTCTGATTTGTATTTTTCTTTATTTTTATAAATTCTTATCTTCAAGGAGCAACTTGTACTTTCTGAAGTATTTTTGCAATGTGAATTTGCAGTTCTGTTTTAGAATGAAGGGTTGAAAAGTGGTTTAATGTTGTTTTTAATCGATTAATCAATTATCAAAATAATCTTTAGTTGCAGCCCTAAACCTGACAATTAAAGTGTGTTCACCATCTTGGACGGACTAGGAGATCTATATTTGAAGAACACGGCACTGAAACATAAAAACTAACTAAAAGGTTTCACTTCTTCTATAAAGACACCGGGCGGCAGTGGGAGTAATGTAACCCTGGTAACCACCGGTAACCACGGTTAACCCCCGGCAACGCAACAAGCCTGTCAGGCGCTTTGGTCTCTCGTCCGTCTCGACACAAACCGCAGAGCTAAATGAACGCTAAGTCGCCGGTAGATGCCCAGTGATCTGCACACAGACCCCGAGGGGAACACAGCCGGCAGAACCCAACCGCAGTCATCACAGGCAGAGTGGCATCCACCCAAGAGGAAAATAGACTGTATGTTTGTACATACACAAAACTAATATTTAATTACTTCTACAAGTGCACGTTGTTTTTCTTTTTCAAAGGTCAATATTTAAAAAAAATTAAAAAAACAACATTTAAGAGGACTTAAACGATGAATTTGTTATCTTATAAAGGTTAGACAAGCTCAATCACTATTTGTTATTATGCTCATAGTATGAATCCAGCAGCTTTTATCCAACAACACGAGCCGCAGAGATGCTTCCGTTGATTTTGAACAATTCAGAAAAAGAGCAGAGGCACAAAATGAAAAGGCTGTTTGTTGGTGTTCTGAATCCGAATCAGAGTGAAAGAGTAAAGCCTCATTGTCGATTATTAATGATTTACTTTAGAATATTCTAAATAATATCTTAAAATCATCGGTTCAAAGGGTTACTCAAAGTTACTAAAAACCATTGATTTTTAAATAATCCTTTATTGACGGTTGAAAAAGAATATGAACTCAAGTGGTTTGTAGTATTTCTGTAGCAGCTTTTCTTAATTGTTTATAGAATGTTCCTGTGTTCATAACGTCCCGTCAAGCTTCACCGTGAGAAGTTCAGTAAAACACGGACACTTGAACTGGTTCAGACCTGAACAGCCCCACAAACCTGCCGGTAACCGTGGAAACCGTCCTCTTTGCAAGACAAGCCTGGATCGGCCGTAATGTTTTTCTCAAATATGTGTTTGTGCTGAAGATGTTGTTCTGCTTAGCAACCAGCAGGAGGCGCTTATCCTGCCTAGCAACCGCTGCGTTCACCTCCTCCCAGTACACATTCATTCCAACATGTCACCACGTACTAACATACAACATAACCCTCCACCCGATGGAAGGTTAAGGCCTTACTGGTTCTGGAGTTTCTACTGGGAGTCCTGACGGGACGCATGAGGGAAGAACAATGTTGAGTTTCTCACATAATGTTTTCGGCCCAAAGACACGGAGGTTTTCTTATTTAATGCGATTTAGAGCGTGATGGTCGCCGCTAAGACACAAGTAAGAGAACACGTGTTCATATGTGGAGAAGACGTGTCGTCGTCCTCAGCGTTTCTCTCTGAATGAGAAGCAAAATAAAGAAGTGAAAGTGGGACTTACTACGACACAAGCTGCTGTTAAATAAGCATTGCAGCCAGATTGAAAGCAGAAGTGTCCGTATGTGGCAAGTCCTCAGGGACGGCCCTTATTAGGGCCTCCACTGCTTATATCCAAGGAGCCAATCACACACAAGCGCAATCGAATGAAGCGCTCCCCGCTCCGTTTACCTGAGAACCACCTGACGCGTCACACGGAAAGTAACCTGCTCCTCTTACGCGTCTAATCTGCATCCATTTATAAACAGACACATGTTGGATTATGTGTTGGATGACAGGAGGGAGAAGAACCTGGAGGGGGGGGGATTATCCGACAAGTAGTTCTCTTCTCGCGGCCTAAACCGGTTTAGTTGTGGCAGAACTGGTTCCACAGCACGACACGAGCGCCGGACTCTTCAGTCTGGAGGTTTCTTGACTCTCTCTGATCTCTGTTCTTAAATCCCCGTTAATTGATTATCTGAAGATGTAAAGTGAGTGAAAAGCAGCTCACTTTTCAGCCCAACATGAAACACAAACAGTATTATCAGTACAATTATAAAATATATATCCGGTAGTCAGGGCTCATAAACCAGGAAGGTCACAGGTTGGATGCCCGTTACTGGCTAAGCAACCAGGTGAGTCACGTGGGACAGCGGTTACGTCATTAAAGGCCTCAGGCAGCAGCTTTAAAACAGAAACTGACCCCTACAGGGTGGTTTCAGTCTCATTACCACAAGCACTTCAATGCAGCGACGCCTCATTGCACGTTTATTGTCCGGTTAGGTAAGAGCTTTGACATCAAATAAACATTAAGGGGACATTAAAACACAGCCACAGTGCTGCAAAAAAACAAGAATATAATTAAAGAAAGAGGAAAATGGAATATAAATTAGATACTGTAGTAGTAATAGTACTACTAAACTAATAGTAAGTAGAAATAAATAAAGCATTTCCATATTTTTATGTCTAACAAGCCTTATGTGTGTAATTTGTTTTTTTCCAATAAAATGATTGGAAATGAAAAAAACAAACTGATTAGAAAGCCTGTTTTAGGTCAGATTAAAGCCAGCCTGGTAAACTAAATGTGAACGACCTTTGACCTTTGGCCCAAACACACGAGAGTGTTCCAGTGAAAAGGCCTTCAGACAAATCTGACTCGAGTTAAAACAGCCTACTTAAACGGTGGAAAGGTCACCTGAGACCTTACTGCTTACCTGTGCAGTGGCGTGCAGGTGGGCGGGGCGCACAGACACTCAACTTCGCCGTAACGTTACTTTGAAAAGTACTCATTAGTACTCACAATCCACACGAATGGTGCGTTTTAGTCCGTCGAGAAGTGTCGTAATTGACCAAACTATAACGCGTTTAACACACCGAGCGAAGAGAGAGGCACGTAAAGTCATCGCGAGTTAACGTCTCAGTTTATAGACATAAATATTCACACTTTCGGCCAACAACATTATCTGAAGTCTCCTCGTGGACTTTCAGAGTTATCGACCAACTTTGACGTCAGTTAGCCGCGCTAGCAAAGCTGTTAGCATGCCAAAACTCATTCGTTGCTACTTGCATCGAAGCTACGCGATATTCTGACGCCCCCCCATACACATCCGGGTATCTCCACCTCAAAGTTGACACCTTTAAAGAAGCGTGAAGGAAGTGAAGGACTTCAACCCCGCTAGCTTCTGTGAGCTAGTTAGCCGTTAGCATGAATGGGGAAAAGTAGCAGCGACACACGGAGGGAGCTTCAAGCTAGCCTTTAGCATCGAGTGGCATAACTGCGGCAAAGTTTGTAAAGTAGAGAAAGAATAGACTTACACACGCGACGGCTGCTCTGTCGCTCCGATGGCTTTAGTCGGCGACCTGACGCCCGGTTGTAATTCCAGATAGTGGCTGTGAAGCAGTGCCTCTCCCCCCTTCAGAGACCGCAGACAGCGACCGCGGCTGGAAGCTCCGACCGACCAAACGGACGACAACATGGCAGCGCCGCGTTCAGGGCACACGCTGGACAGTCGGGAAATACGAGTACTCAGCTGCTCGCTTCGATGTAGTAGGATATCAACGTCGGTGCTCTTTTTTTAACAACTCTAATCTCACGCTCAAACTTTTACGTAATCCAAGCAACGTAAAACAACAACAAGGGAAGGGGTATTGAAATATTTGACATCCCTTTTGGGGTATTTTTATTGGCTATATGGTAAAAGCATACATTGCGCAGTGGGTCAGAGTTAAGTTTTAGTATTTCTATTTATAAAAGTTTGTAATTCATAATAATTAATATCTTATTTTGTAGCTCTCGTCGACATATTTCAAATGTAGGAACATGTTTTCATTTCCCGGACGAGCAGTGTTTCAGCAGTCTTTATTTTATTCCGGCTAATAACATTATATCGGTGGAAAAACATTAACCAAAGTATTTGCACCGATCAGCAACACAATTTATACATTTATTTATTATTTGAGTCCAGGGCTCTCAAGTTTTCAAGTAAACTTGGAGTGAGATTTTGTCGGGGGGGTCGGACCGGAGTCCGACTTCTTGTTGTGAGGAATTGGATGCGTGGCGTGAGTGAGAGCCCTGTTTAAGTCAGGGAGCAAATACTTCTGTAGAGGTTTGCTTTACCGCCCTTCTTCTCGAATGACTAATAAGAACTTCTAATCCTCCGATGTGGGAGCAGCACTGTGAAGATCAAGATCTCTTTTTGATAAATAACTCGGCGCGTTGGGACAGATCTCCTCGCGTTTCTCGCGGGAGTGAAGGAGCAGAAGTTCTTCACTGCGTCCTGACGCATCGGAGCGAGTCCCAACAAGCGGCACCAAATGCTCTGCTCACTTATTCCCACGCCCCGTGAACGCAGCGCACTGGGTGGAGACCTGATCCCGGATCGGAGGAGAACAGGACCCGCTGCGGCCTCAAATTACGCCAAACTACAGTCAAATAAAGAGCCACGCGGCCTCCTCTTCGCTTTCTCTCAGTGGTGTTTTATTCTCCGTCACCTGGACACAAATAAAATGTATTAAAAAGTGGCAAGTTGTGCAGAGAGCGCATCTCCTCAGGTGCGTCTGAATGACCTCGGTGGTATTTTCGCATAATTCCGATTAAAACAAAAGAAAACTCACCATGTTGTCTGCATTGGAGCCGCACAATTTAGTTACGCACGCACGCACACACACACTAAACCGGAAGTGACCGCCGTGCTAAAGTTTTCATCACGCTGGTTAAAGCTCTATTTTGTTGGATAACAGAAACCACTTAAATTCCAATGGGGAATCGGTCGATGAAAGCTTTTGTATTTTTCTTGTTTCAGTCTTGATTAACATCTTTTTCCACTTGATTATGTGATTATTCACTTCAACAAGTATTTTCTTCTGGTTTTATATTCCTCCATATTAAGAGAAGACACCTTAGTTTTCTTATATGAAAAGAAGACGTCTTATTTCCCACTATAAAAATGATAAAACATATAAAACACACAGCTGTCCATTTCCCTACTGGGTCTCGTTGTGCCCGCAAAATTTCACCTGAATTCTTTTATTATTATTATTTTACTGTATTTTCGTCCAGTAGAGGATGTTTTGAACCTCCAGGTGGACGTCAATCGCTGTTTTCTGTTGTCATGGCAACGGTGAAATGATTCTGCGTCTTTGCTCAGTAATAAAATCTATTCTGAAGATGTGATGGTGTGTGTCTGTGAAATTGTGTGTGTGTGTGTGTGTGTGTGTTCTTTCCGTGGATGCAGTGGGTTCTTCCTCATCACACCTGCTACTTCAGCTGTCCGCTCCCAAAATGTGACCGTGTGTGCAAAATAATAACGGTGATGATTTGTTTTGTTCTCCAGCCGTCTCACTGACTCAAAGGAAGAGTCGACAGTTTGTTTTGTCCTATTTTAATATTTATTAATTAATTAAATATTTATTTATTATTTATTTATTTAATTTAACATTAAATAGTCAACAGGGAGAACACACACACACACACACACACACACACACACACACACACACACACACACACAAACACGAGGGCGTCGTTAATACACATGGGGGCAAATTAATAAGTTATGAGGATTATTCCTCTCTGGTAGAATGAAAACACAAACCTGCTGCACAATCTCAAAAATAATTTGCACCATATGTTTATTTCCCTGTAAATCTACTCGGAGGAAAACGTCGGCAGGCAGGTAGGCCCCGCCTCCTCTTCATTTTAATAAACGGAGCAGTCAAAGCAGCAGACTGTGTAACTCCACTCGTTTAGCAGATCCACATTCTCTGCGAAGGCAGCTGGAATGTTCTGGCACCACGTGCACGTTGAATTTGTCTAAACGCTGTTGTCTGTTTGTCTATACATTTAAATTCCACTTCCTTGTGACTTTTCGGTGTTTTGTGGCTCACTGACACTGCAACTGCTATGGAGCACTTTGGGTGAACGAGCTCTCCAGGTGGGAGCGGTTGATTGGGTTTTTGTTTTTAAAGATGATCAGAAAATGTGTCCCCCCCCCCCCCCCCCCTGCATGCGTCTCTATTGCAGTCATGCGGCATGTGATCATGTGACTGCGTTGCCTTACAAATATGCACGTAAACGTCCGGGTGATTCACGGGGAAGCCACAACGTCACCGAGGAGAAAAGGAAACTTTGAAGCCGGTCAGCAGCAGCGAGGAGCCTCTGCATGATGCAGCGAGAGGCTTCGGAGGAGGAGGGCTGCTACTCTTCAACCACCATCCTCATCCTCTGACACCCAGTGAGGGATGGGGGGGGGGGGTCCTCTGTCATCAGCACCCTCAGCCAGTGGAGACACTTCGAGCGTCTCCTCGTCCACCTCCTCGGCGTCACTACAGACTCTTTGTCAGAAGGGAAATACTGAGGAGCTCGACAGACGGAAGTGAGTCGATTTGTTATTGATTTAGATTTATTCTGTTATATTCCAACTGACTGTAAGTGTGTGACTTTACCTTCTGTCATCGTGTATAAAATCTGCTTCTGGAGAGAGTCTCACTGGAATGCAGAGACGTGTAATAAGTTATTAATGATGAGTTGTGTTCAGTAATGTCACTGTCACGTGTTTAAAGTGTCCAGTGAGACGCAGAGACGAGGGTTTTATTTCTCTTTTGGTCTTTTCAGCGGACGGATGGGAAGGGAAACAAAAGCTGGAGGATACGACGAGTGAAAAGACAAACACGGTACGGCAGCAGAGCCCGAAGCTGCGTCTTTGTATTTGTCTACACACAGAGAGCTACGTTTACATTTTATTTAACATTTATTTAAGAAATATGGACATTTTGACTGAACAGTATTAATAAGCAGGATATTTTAAATCAAATTGTGCTCTGTGAAAGGCTTTTAAAAGCTGGTGTAAATGTTGCTGATCCTCAACACTAAATAAACAAGCTGGCTGTTAAATATTTATAAAATTAGATTCATTGACGGATGTTTGGGACCCGCTTTAACCGGATTAAAGACGCCCCCATGGCCAGCTGTGATTTGTTTACTACGTCAGCTGTTTTTGAAGGCCGGATTATGATGTCATCTGTCCTCCTGCTGATGTTGGTAGAGTCCACCATCCATCCATCATCCATCCATCCTCCTTCCATCATTGGATGCGTCATCCATCATCTATCCATCATGCATCAATTTTACATCATCTATCCGTCATCACTCATCTTTCATCCATCAACAACCCATCCAGCTGTCCATCATCCATCCATCATCCATCACCCATCCATTTCACATTATCTATCTATCCATTACCCATGCGTCACACATCCATCATCCCTCCATCCATCATCATGCATCCTTCATCCAACCATCAACAACCCATCCATCATCATGCATCCAACCATCAACAACCCATCCATCATCATGCATCCTTTATCCAACCATCAACAACCCATCCATCATCATGCATCCTTCATCCAACCATCAACAATCCATCCATCATCATGCATCCAACCATCAACAACCCATCCATCATCATGCATCCTTCATCCAACCATCAACAACCCATCCATCATCATGCATCCTTTATCCAACCATCAACAACCCATCCATCATCATGCATCCTTCATCCAACCATCAACAACCCATCCATCCATCCATTACTCTCTCTTTGCTCCTTTTATTTGTGGTAAAAACACCAGTTGTGTGACTTTAGTGTCTCTGTTGCTTTTAACTTCAGGTTACCATCGTTGCAGCGTCGGGTTCAGCCGATGATCGGTACCGGCACTCCGACCGTCATGGACCAAACCGAACCGGCGCGCTGCACCGTGTGCTGCTGCACTCTGGCCAACAGAGTCCTCATGGTGGTCTTCATGGCGCTGCTGATCCTCGCCATCTTGTTCGGCAACCTGGTGACTCTGGCGGTGGTTCTCGGGACCAAACACTTCCACACGCCGCAGGGGTACCTGAAGGCGTCCCTCGCCGTCGCCGACCTGGCGGTGGGGATGTTCGTGGTGCCGCTCTCCGTCTACGCCGAGGTCCACCTCATGGCGACCGACTCGGCGCCGGAGTGGACCTTGCATAACTCGCAGTCGGCGAGTTTCCACCCGTGCAACGTCATCGGCCCCGTCTTCGCCGGCTGCACCCTGGTCTCCATCACCACCATTTTCCTGCTGACCATCGAGAGGAGCATCGCCGTGTTGAGGCCGCTGCACAAGGGCTCCGTGATCACGCGGAAAAGGACTACGATCCTCATCGTCCTCTCCTGGGTGGGGAGCTTCTTCTTGGCGGTGTCTCCCATGGTCTTCAGCGGCGAAATCGTCCTGGAGTACAACTCCTGCAGCCGGATGTGCAACTACGCGCTGGGCACCATCGGAGAGTTCCCGAGCCCGGCCTGGAACATCCTGCTGCTCTTCCCGGTGTTTGACTTCACCCTCCTCGGTGGGACGGTGGTCATCAACGTGGTCTCAATGTCCAGCATCAGGCAGCACTCCAGGCGGAGGAAGCAGCTGGCCGAGAGGGACCACCAAAGCACCACCAAACCCACCTTCTCTGACATCAAAGCGGCCAAAACCATCGGGACGCTGACCGTGGCGTTCACCGCGTCTTTCGCCCCCATCGCCGTCTTCGTGGTCGGAAACGTTTTGGGGAATAAATGGTGCAACTTTTCCTTCTTTGCCTTCTGGATTTTAGCCACCAACAGTTGCTGGAATGTCATCATTTACAGCGTGAGGGATCAGAAGTTCAGACTTTGCGCCCACAAGCTCCTCGTGCCTTTCCGGAGAGACGATGCAACAGTGAGCTGAAATCGGACGACTCGGGTCGAGCGTCGTTCAGCTGCTCACCTGTCACTCAAAGTCGTTGCTCCACACACACGTGTTGTGTTGTCGGGTTCAGGGGCGAGTCTGCATGTTTTGTGGATTGCTGTTGTGAACATACCTTGATAAAAAGCATGTTTTTAGACCAAATCTGTATCCTTATGGACTGTATCACTACATGACATCATTCACCCTTCTGTCTTGCCCAAGGACACACGGACAGGCGGGTTAACTGACTTCTTTAAGCCATCAGACAACACATGAGAGTAAATACACGTGACATACTTATTGGAATACATTCTTATACTTAATTCTTATATTAACGTTATTCATGGAAGCATGTACATTTCATAGCGCACTTTCTTTGGAGTGAAAAGACCAAACAGATTACTTTACAAACATGGTGGCGGACTAGAAAAGAATAACTGTGTATGTAGATACAAGGAAACAAAACAAAATCCAGGTTTCCTGAAAAGGAAACTTGTTGATAATTTACTCAATGTCTTTGGATAGATCCCCTAAATACACTGTACCTTGAACACAACTTTTTGTTGAATTTGTTTAGCACATTGTTAAGTTTGGCTGAGCGACGGATAATAAATGTACACTTTGTGTTTTCAACATTAAACTGAAAGTTTGAATTTCATCTCTTTGTCTCATCGCGTCAGGTGATTGTCTCTCAAGCACGAAGCACAGCGGCTGATCATGTTAACGGTGTCAGATATCAGCACACTAGACGAGGTCGGGACGGCGTGGCTACGTGAGCTTCTGTTCTCACGCCCATGACACTGCGACGACATTTACCCCCCGCCGGTAAAATGTTGGGAAGATGGAGAAAGAAGCTGCAGATCTTTGTGTCGAAGTGACCCAGAGTTTACTGTTAGAGCATTGAAATAGAGTCAGCAGGAGGCTGTGAAGCACAAGTTGCACGAGCTCATATCAGCAGATGTGCTCAAAAAGACCATGAAAATAAACCCGTGCAGCATCTTGTGTGTTCTGATGTTCTGGGAGAAACATCAAGGCTGTCGAATTATTTCAAACACTCGATCACGGCCCTGAAAGCACATTCCTCTCGCTCTTTTATTTTCTGATTCAACACTCGACAAGCTACGACGAGTCCCGTCACAGCAGAGCGGTGACCTTCATCCCGCAGTCACCGCGGAGCGAGGACGGGAGGAACCCGCCCATCGCCGCCAGCGGCTTCCTGTCGCGCAGGTCGACGCCGGTGACTCACAGAGGAGATGAAAGACCAAGAGCGACATTCAGCTTCAACGTGGATGAAGACGATGACTCATTCTGGAGGTCACAAGACAAGAGATCCGCTCAGGGCGCTTTTGATACGGGGAAGCTCTACGTAGAACCAGGACCGGGACCAGAACCAAGACCAAAACCAGGACCAGAACCAGGGACAGGTCCAGAACTAAAGCCAGAACCAAGACCAAGACAAGAACCCGGACCAGGGCCAGAACCAGAGCCAGGTCCAGAACTAAAGCCAGAACCAAGACCAAAACCCAGGACCAGAACCAGGGACAGGTCCAGAACTAAAGCCAGAACCAAGACCAAGACAAGAACCCGGACCAGGGCCAGAACCATAGCCAGGTCCAGAACTAAAGCCAGAACCAAGACCAAAACCAGGACCAGAACAAGGGACAAGTCCAGAACTAAAACCAGAACCAAGACAAAAACCAGGACCAGCATCAGGACCAGGGACAGGTCCAGGACCATGAGCAGAACCAGGACCAGGGTTAGAACCAGGTCAAGAACCAGGACCAAGACGAGAACCAGGAGCAGGGCCAGAACCAGGGCCAGGTCTAGAACTAAAGCCAGAACCAGGACCAAAACCAGGACCAGAACCAGGGACAGGTCGAGGACCATGAACTGAACCAGGACCAGGGTTATAACCAGGTCACAAACCAAGACCAAGACAAGAACCAGGACCAGGGCCATAACCAGGACCAGGACCAGGACCAGGACCAGGACCAGGAGCGAGAGGGGCGGACCCTCAGACCCCGCTGCAGTGGATGAGGGGATTCCATGGAGGGGGCGATGATGATGAAGATGAACCCTAACGCAGCAGAAAGCTGAGCGAATGGACCTCCAGCACCGCGCTCTCACTTCACCGCCGAAGGATGAGAACAATGAAACAAATGAAATAGTGTTTAGAAACCGGAACAAATGGTAAAAAAAAACATCGTAGAAGACATTTTTCAATAACAAGATGTTTCCATGTTCCATAAATGCTCCTCGCAACCTCAGTGGGAGGAAGTGGACGTCAATCAACCGATTAACAGGAAGTCAGCAAATAAGGACTGAGGAGGCCGAAATGACGGAGTACATGGAAGAGACCTGTCAATCAGCATGTAGCCCCGCCCTAAAGCACCTCCTGCTGCAGATTATTAATATTGTTATTGAATAATTTAAAGCTTTAATCAACTTTGTTTTAAATCATCTCTCAGTCAGTTTCAATCAAATCAATGAACTACTTCCATTGGACTTCACTTCACTCTGCTTCTTACATCCTGCAGAGACGTGAGTGACTTTCTGTGAAAAGTCTGTCTTCGTCCAACAAAATGACAAAATGATGCCAGTGACTCTCAGACGATCTTATGATTAAGATCCTGTTAGGTCACATTTACTGAGTGAACCTCCTGCAAGCAGACGAGGCCTCAGCGTGTGAATTCAGCTGATCAATGATCCAATCAACAACCCAACAACCAATCGATAGGGCCGGTACTGACACCCGGTGTCAACGTCTCTTCAAAATCCAGAAAAACGTTTCCAGTCTTTCTCGTTACGTGAATACCTTTCACAATAAAAGTCTGTCTTCAGAGGAAACAACTTAGTTCTGTGTATTTGAGGTGGTGAAATACTTAGTCGTGTGTATTTGAGGTGGTTCGGATTAAGAGGACGGAACATGTGCTGTGTATGTGCTCCAGCAACAGAGCAGCGGAGCTCCGTCCGGGTGGAGTTTGATGAAGAAGCTCCAGCAAACAGCTCTCAGCTCTTGGAAACATCACAGAGATGTCGGGGACGGGGAGTTTCGTCAGTCATGTGTTTAATTTAAATCTGATTGACAGACTTTAAGCTGCTCCTGGTGAAGCCAAGATTACAGTCTGAGAAAGAAGCAACTCAAATATTGAGCTTGTACAACTTCTCTTTAATCTGGAAAATAAATTAAAAGGACCATAAAGCAGGGGATGCTTTAGGGGCGGGGCTACAGGCTGAATGACAGGTCTCTAACAGACCATAAAGCAGGGGATGCTTGAGGGTGGGGATACACGCTGATTGACAGGTCTCTAACAGACCATAAAGCAGGGGATGCTTTAGGGCGTGGCTACAGGCTGATTGACAGGTCTCTAACAGACCATAAACCAGGGGATGCTTTAGGGCGGGGCTACAGGCTGATTGACAGGTCTCTAACAGACCATAAACCAGGGGATGCTTTAGGGCGGGGCTACAGGCTGATTGACAGGTCTCTAACAGACCATAATGCAGGGGATGCTTTAGGGCGGGGCTAAAGGCTGATTGACAGGTCTCTGCCGTCGTGTTTCCCGTGGCGAACAGGCTCTGTGGTTAACAGAACTCCATGTTTTACTTCACATCAAAGGGAGGCTTGACTGTGATTGGCCGATGCAGCTTCCTTCGCCGGGTGACATTGTGTGGTAGTTAAAGTCTGTCCCCTAAACGCAGTGAGTTTGTCTATAAGTCTATAAGACGAGTTCAGTGCAGAACCTTTTACATCTTTCAGATGTGTTTCATAGATTTTTGTGGCTTTGAAACACCAAACAATGAAGGATCATTGCAGCTCCCCCCTGGAGGGAGCTGCTATTCATCTGGGAGGCAGCATTGATCAAGTGGCAGAAGGAGACTCTGTTAAACCAGCAGCCATGGAGAGTCTCTGAAGAGCATCGTGCTGCTGGTTCGATTCCAGCGATCCATAAATCTCACAGAGCAACGATTCTTCTCCTTCTTCCAGTCTGAGGGACAAAGGTGTGAGACGCAAAGCGGCCTCTCAGAGGCGATCGCTCCCTTCAAGTGAAACCAGAAGAGATCAGTTGTTCAAATACTAATGCAATTATTATTAATGCAACTAGTATTTTACACCCAAGTATAGATAAAAACACAAGATACGTTGTATTCACAGTAGTACAACTTTGAATAAATGAATCAAACTGCTGGCGACCTCCAGCAGATGTTCAGCTCTTCTTCACTTTTCCTGCTTCACTTTCTCAACTCAGTTTTTTTTAGAGTCGCAGTCCCGATATTTTTGCTGTAGATTTCCAAATGATTTTAAAGTATTTCATTGACTGTAACATCTATAATATTTAGTGACATGTTGTTGGTTTTTGTTGACTTAACCCCGCCTTCCTTTTCTCAGATGGTCCTGCGTGTATTTCATAAACTAGAAGAAGGGAAATACACTGAAAGCCTGAACCTTTATTTGACTTTTAGATTCCCAGGACTCTGTAGAAGAATGTCTTCACAGAGCGTGCGTCTCTTCAGGTGCTACTAGACGCAGGTGGTGTGTTTGGGATGCTTTCAGGGTCTAAAGTCTATTGAATATGTTTTTCATCCTCTACATTGTGTGATAAAAGCTAATACTGTGAACACTGTGTTCCTCCGGGTTTAGTCTTTGTAACTTGTTACTTTGGTAGAAAAGGGTCACTTTAACTGATTAGGAGTAAAAAGCAGCTTCCTCACACTCGTTTACCCGTAATGTGTTTGCACATTAGTTCTGACTCAACGGCTGCAGCCATGAGAGCCAGAAATGGAGTTTTCATTACGGAAAAGCCCTCACTAGTGCGGGAGGCTTTCTACCGGTTCCTCTCACTGCGATGCTTTAATGTACCGGCGTCGAGGCCTCGCGGCTCCTGTGACTTATTACGTGGAAGCGCTTTGAATGAAACACAAAGAGTGGAAATAATTGCGTGTCAGAATCAAAGGCGCCTTATCTAAGCAATTATGTCGACATGTTTCGGAGGGTCCAATTAAAAGTGTCCGAGCGACGAGCCTGAAGCGACGAAGTCAGGATTCTGCACGATGACGTTTGTGGAACGATCATCAACCAATCAGGTTGCAGGACGGGTTCATCTGCGCCTCGACGCTTCAAAATGTCAGTCGACAAACCGGCGACTTTATTTCCTTTTTATTCAGTGTGTGAAATCATTTTACAAACCAGTGAACAGGAAGTGAACGTTATGAACTCAGCAGGACATCTTGACCTGTCAATCAGCCTGTAGCCCCGCCCTAAAGCATCTCTTCTTTATGGTCTGTTTGACTCTAAATGGACTTTAATTTACTAAATGAACATCATGTTGTGTTGAAGAAGACTTGAAACTAGAGACTGAGACCATAAACTCAGGTTTACAATGTTTACTGAGGGAATAAATCCACAGAGAAGTAGAGTCATTTCCTCATAGACGTCTATGGGAGCAGAGGAGTCGCCCCCTGCTGGTCACTACAGAGAAGTAGAGTCATTTCCTCATAGACGTCTATGGGAGCAGAGGAGTCGCCCCCTGCTGGTCACTACAGAGAAGTAGAGTCATTTCCTCATAGACGTCTATGGGAGCAGAGGAGTCGCCCCCTGCTGGTCACTACAGAGAAGTAGAGTCATTTCCTCATAGACGTCTATGGGAGCAGAGGAGTCGCCCCCTGCTGGTCACTACAGAGAAGTAGAGTCATTTCCTCATAGACGTCTATGGGAGCAGAGGAGTCGCCCCCTGCTGGTCACTACAGAGGATGCAGATTTTAAAGATGAAGCTTCACCAAAACGAACTAGAAGTTCCCTCTCAGTCCGTATAAAGAAACATTATCTTTATCTCTTCTACCTCGGGCAGACCGGATCCACTTTGTCCTTTCACAATAAGAGCCCTCAACATACAGCTTTCTGCAGGTACTGATGCAGTACTACATTTTCGTGTGGCACCCTCGTGTCTAATGGGCTGTGATTGGAGAGCGGCCCCCGTGCGCGTATCAAACAGACCTCCATTACAGGTCGGCGGGTCATACATTAGTGACCAGCTGGCGCTTCCTGTGGACTAATGCGTGCTCTCAGCGTCGGTGTTTCTCTGCAGAGACGGAGGCGGTGAGATGGAGGGGACAAAGAGAGGGCCCCGTGAGGCGTTCAGGGCCCATTAACAGAGCGCACCGGAGCAGGGTCAGGCTGCGGGAAGACAGACGGGTTTTCTTCTTTATGGATCATTCTGTCAACTGTGTTGACAGAATGATCTCATATTTCATGGAAACGTAATGTAAACCTCTTCTCCTTGAACCTCGACGTATGTATTATTATATGATTGGTGTATTACTAAAAAGGCATTTAAATGATTTTAAATGGAACCTGAATGGCACTCTGGTGGCAGGTGAGGTCAGAGGTCAGGCCTAATTGTGGCCTAACAAGTCATCTGTAGGGTGAACAATCAAGAGGACCATGAACGCACGGCAGACCTGCGACCTGCTGAGGTCACCTGTGTGGTTTATCACTAAAACACATCCGCTCGGTCCAATAGAGTTCTCCTGTATTATTGTAGATTATTATAGGAGATCGGATGAGAGACGTGAGGCTCCATCATGTCGCTATGTTCTGAAACAGATTCTAAAATCCCTCTAAGGGAAATGTGGGATTTTGGATTGTTGAGCTATAAAAATATCTAATTGATTATGATATAAGAGAAACGTTGACCAAGTCACAAATCAATTAGAAAATAATGAATTCAATTCAATTTATTTTATTTTGTAGAGCTAAAATTGCAAATTACAAATTTGCCTCAGTGGGTATTAGTCTGTACACATGTGACATCCTCTGTCCAGATACCCTCACAGGAAAAACTCCCCAAACAATGAAACCCTTCCATGGGGAGAAAAGGGAAGAACCCTCAGTGAGAACGTCAGAGGAGGATCCGTCTCCTGATGGACAGACTACGATGATGTCATGAGGACAGAATGAACAATGTGGAAGATGAACGATACATTCAATTCATATGACAGAGATGATTCAAATAATGGGAGTAGTGAGCAGGTGTACTGCAGGACCACTGCAGGGACCACCACCATCACATAGAACCACCATCACATAGAACCACCATCAGAGAGAACCACCATCACATAGAACCACCATCAGATAGAACCACCATCCCATAGAACCACCACCTCATAGAACCACCATCAGATAGAACGACCACCTCATAGAACCACCATCAGATAGAACCCCCACCTCATAGAACCACCATCACATAGATCGACCACCTCATAGAACCACCATCACATAGAACGACCACCTCATAGAACCACCATCAGATAGAACCACCACCTCATAGAACCACCATCAGATAGAACGACCACCTCATAGAACCACCATCACATAGAACGACCACCTCATAGAACCACCATCACATAGAACGACCACCTCATAGAACCATCACATAGAACGACCACCTCATAGAACCACCATCAGATAGAACCCCACCTCATAGAACCACCATCACATAGAACGACCACCTCATAGAACCACCATCACATAGAACGACCACCTCATAGAACCACCATCAGATAGAACCACCACCTCATAGAACCACCATCAGATAGAACCACCATCCCATAGAACCACCATCAGATAGAACCCCCACCTCATAGAACCACCATCACATAGAACCACCATCCACAGAAGCCTGTGGGGAGGAAAAGCACACGCCTTTAGGAAATGGTGGTTTATGTGGACAGTAATAGTAATATGATTCATATTTAAAATAGTAATAATACTGATGATGGCAGCAGCAGGTGTCAGCAGGGCCACGGCAGGAGGCAGGAACAGGATCCAGATAGAACCATGATGCATGGAAACCTGTGAGTCTAAGCCTACAGCAGCTTAACTAAGGGCTGGTCCAGACTAACCTGAGCCAGCCCTAACTATAAGCCATATCAAAGAGGAAAGTCTTAAGCTTTATCTTAGATGAGCTGACCGAATCTGCCCCCTGGACAGAAAGTGGAAGCTGGTTCCACAAAAGAGGAGCTTAAGCGGATTAATGAAGTCATTAGTTGATTAGAGACGACTACAAACATGTGCCGCTGCTGTGACCCTACGGCTGCGATGACTCCAGCTCAGTATTCCTCTTATTGACACGGATGGGCCGACGGTAAACGCATCCTCCTGCAGCCCTTCGTACCGCGTCGTGGATGGCACACCCCCCTCGTTGCCGTGGTAACCGTGGTAACCGCGCAGAGCCTCTGCCAGCAGGATTAGTCATGTTGGCGACAGATTGGCTCTGTTTCTTCTTAAAGATCTTTTGAGTTTGTTTTAAACGGAGTTGAGCTCCCGTCGAGAGGCAGCCAAGTGTTTATATATATAAAGAGCATTTACTCGTATCTGCACCAACGTGCTGGTGATTACATGTCATGTGATGAACAGCTTAACTTTATATCTCCTGTTAGTTTCATTCCGTTGGTCCATGAACTTCACAGAAAACAGAATATTAGTTCATAGACATTTACAAACACTTTTTCTCGTTTTGTTTAAACCCGTTTAGAGGAATCAATGTTTGGAGTCACACGACTATGTTACATTCACTTAGTCCACAAATAATAGTACGCCTAACAAGCTGTTTACATGAATAATTAAAAGATTCACATTTACAGCATTGTTAGCTGTAAATATTCATATTATGTTGACATTTATACTTATCGTTTTATAGAAACTAATATACACCTATGTATGTGTATATGAACCCATGGGTGTACATAATATACATAAATGTACACACATTTCAAAAGAATGATGCTAGAACTTGAACTATAGCAACATGCCAGAGAGGATTTAGTCTCCATGAACTAATTCAGGAGATATAGATTATATATATATATATACATATATATATATATATACATATATATATATATATACATTATTTATATATATATATATATATATATATATATATATATATATATATATATATAATCAAAAAAACTAGAAAATACACAAATTAACCAAAACGACATCTCACATTCAAGGAACCCATCCATCCATCTTCACACCACTTATCCTGCTCACAGGGTCGTGGGGGGCTGGAGTCCGTCCAGCCTACTTCAGGTGATAGACGGGTTCATCCTGGACGGGTCACCAGCCAATCACAGGGCTACACAGAGACACACAACCATTCACACACATCCACACACCTACAGGCCAGTTAGAGTCCCCAATCAACCTGATCCTCAGAGCATGTCTCTGGACTGTGGGAGGAAGCCGGAGAACCCGGAGAGAACCACGCAGACACGGGGAGAACATGCAGAGTCCACACAGAAAGGCCACTGGGCGGAGTGGAACCCAGGACCTTCTTGCTGTGAGGAGACAGTGAAAACCACCACGTCGCTCCACATTCAAGGAACTAAATATTATATTCAGGACTGAGGGATGAAGCTGCTGTCAGAGCCGGAGGGTTCGTGTTTTTTTATTAAAGAGTTCAAAACAAGTCCACATCGCTCCCTGGACCTCCTGGAGGCTTCACAACGTCTCTAATGTCCAGAAGATCAGCTGGAGGAGGAGGAGGAAGAGGAGGAGGGGGTCCGATCTCAGTAGGTCTTCCTCCAGGAGCGGAGGTACATCTGGAAGGGTACGAGGGGGTTTCTGTTCTTCAGACTCGGGTGGAAAACGTCAAAGTCGGCCCTCCTCACTCGCTGCAGGTAGTCCTCCAACGCCACCTGCAGCACACGGCACCACAAACCACAGGCTGTAAAGAAAGGCCGTTGCCATGGAGACGTCCCCTGCTTCGTGGTCTGTTTGACTCACCGTCTGGAGGAAGGCCAGAGTCGCAGCTGGTGGGACGTTGTTGCTAAATGATCTGGCCTGAAGGAGCGAGACAAAGACACAAAGTGGATGAATGCGTCCGGATCCCTCTGAGCTGTTACACAAGTTCACCCTCTCGGTGCCTTTTCAGCACCGTGTGAGTCTCTTTGCCATTGACCCTCTGAACCCCACGTCTAAACACATTCATGGACACGGAGCTCGACTTGGAAACAGGAAGTGAAGGAGAAGTCCTGGTTTTAGGCTCGTCAGGGTTCTGCTCCTGAAACGCGGTGGAACCTACGTGTTCTAGATGCACGTGAGCCTGACTGGCGACGTCGTACACCACGTCACGGACCTTCTGCTCCCGGCCGCCTCGGATGAAGTCCTCCTGAGAAGCTCCGTGCTGCAGAAAGAAAACACTTAACAACGAACGACAGCCGGCCACAAATTATAATCACACTTTACAAAACAAATGTGTAGATTTCTGTGAATCTTAATGAGAACAGCTGCCTGATGGAGGCTGCTGCTTCTCTCTGAAGACACCAGACTGCATCGATAAAAACGGTAGAAACACTGTGTGACTTTTGTGTTCACTAAAGTATTTGTACACATACTCCACCTGTCCACCAGAGCATGAGTGCTTCCTGTGTGTAAACAGCGGCCCCTTCAGGCGCCAGACGGGAGGCAGCGACCTAAATCTCTGTGTGGGACAGATTACTATTGGCTGTGTGTGTGTGTGTGTGTGTGTGTGTGTGTGTGTGTGTGTGTGTGTGTGTGTGTGTGTGTTTTGTTCTTTAAACCACTGGACTCACAGCTCAGCTGGTTTTCTCAATCAATGTGACAAAAGTTAACTTTCCTTAATTGAACTTTTCTTAAGTTGGTGTTTTTCTGTCCTGACTTCATCTAAAAATGTAAGAAGAATAAATATGCCGGCGGCCTCTGGTGTCACGTTGGCGAATCCCCCCCCCGGTGGGACTCACCAGCATGCAGACGTCCATGGGGAGGTAGACCCTCCTCCGGCTGCTGTGGTACGGCGTCGCCCTCAGACACGTCACGATGCCCTGAGCTTTACCGATGTGACTCGCCGCGTGGTCGGCGTGGACGTTCTTCAACCCTGTAAGACCACAACGACTGACCATTGACCTCCATCCTCCTCACACATGCATACCAACAGCTGTGGATACGGGAATGCAGGTATTTGATTGTCTGGTATCCTCCATTTACACGAAGGACTTAATCGTCTAAAGATCACACATAATCGGCTCTGATAGGGCGTGTGTGTGTGTGTGTGCGTGTGTGCGTGTGTGTGTGTGTGTGTGTGCGTGTGTGTGTGTGTGTGCGTGTGTGCGTGTGTGCGTGCGTGTGTGCGTGTGTGCGTGTGTGCGTGTGTGTGTGTGTGTGTGTGTTGGTGTGCGCGCAGCTCCTTTTGTATAAAAACATGAAACTGATTTAAAACCAAGACATGAATAAGTAGCCTCTTATTGCATAAGGATGAGATAAGAAGTAAAAATACTTTTATATGTATAGTAAATATTTGGCTATATGTATACATATATAATGTAATACATATATAAATAAATGTAATCATAAATGTAATCATACAAAATACAATATGTATAAATAATTCAAGCACATTATATATATATATATATATATATATATAAAGCTCGAGAACTCAGAATAAATTCTGCCTCAAAACACATAAAAGTCCTTAAACAATTCAACGGGGGTCGTGGTGAGGTGCTGGTTTGGCGTGGTGGTAACTACTAGTTACTACGGTAACTATGGTAAATGGACTGTACTTGTATAGCGCTTTTCTAGTCTTCCGATCACTCAAAGCGCTTTAACACTACACGACATCATTCACCCATTCACACCCATTCACACACTGATGACAGGAGAACCGCACACAGTGACACCTGCCATCAGTAACTAACAGTCACACACTGTAGTCGCAGCTACAGGAGCCATGTTGGGTTAAGCGTCTTGCCCAAGGACACAACGACATGCGGGTTAGCCGGGCCTGGGATCGAACCCACAACCCTCTGATTGGAGGACGACCTGCTCCCCACTCACCCACAGTCGCCCTGTTACTGTGGTAACTACAGTAACTACGGTAACGGATACAGCTGCTCACCCAAAGACTCCAGCAGCAGGTAGATGAGCGAGGACTGCGTGTTCTCCGAGTACGTCTCCAGCTCCTGCAGGTTCCTGTAGGCTCGGTCATCCAGATCCTTCTCCTGGAGAAACAAGTTTCCCCGTTAACATCTCGTTTCTGTCCGTCATCATCCGGGTTTGGACCGCAGCCGCCGTAGTTTGAGGTGGTCGCCATCTTGGTTTTTGGCCCTTTCCCCTCCTTGGCTTTTAGGTTTTAGGACATGGTAATGTGGCTTTGTGAACTGTGAACACCAGTTCAACTTGAAAAGGCAACGATGTCGAGTAAAAGAAACCCAGCTGGGAACCTTCTGGGGGAAAGAAAAAACCTCCACAGACTGAAGTCCGCTCCAACGGCATGACTCACCCTCTCCGTTATGATCCTCAGCAGCCATCTTTTTGTCAGCTCATGCTTCCTCACCGCCTGCAGAACATGGTGCACACTGTTAATCTGTCCCTCCAGACACCGGACACAAGGTTCCGCTCTCCGTTTACCCGCCACAGCTCGCCGCTGACCGGCTGCTTCGGAGGCTCGTCTCTGTAGATTTCTTCCACGGCCGTCTTCCAGAACTGCATTCGCATCAAACCGATGGTCTTCTGGGAGACGGAGTCCTTCACCTGGTGGAGAAACCAACACAGCAGAGAAACGCTCGATCCAGAGCTTTCATCGCAGCAGCGTTACTATCGGTAAGAAGTCCTCGTCTACGACTACCTGCCTGTGCCAGCTCCACATTGAAGGCTCTCAGGGCCAAAGAGGAGCGCCGCGCCTCCTCCGGGAGGAGCAGGGAGGACACGTAGCCTTCATAGTCTCTGGACCTGAGGAGGAGGACAGAAAGAGGAGAAAGTCAAAGTCTTCCCCCTAAAGCTAAAGATGCTTTTCATTCCTCATATTCTAATCTTTTCCAAAGCACATAGTTGGTCATTTGTTAGTAGTACTATTACTTTGTTCAGGTGTACCAGAGTACAATATATTATAAACAAACTCCTGTGTGATTTTTAAATTACACCACCATAAACCTCCATCCAAACCCTAAAAACTAAATTAAGATTTGTTTGTGAATCTCTACTACTACTAATAATAAATAATAATAATACACAATAATGGACAATTATTTACAGAATGTTTTTACCACTACACGCATCTCACAGAAGCTAACGTTAAATGAACTTAGCTTTAGCATTAGCTTGTTGTGTTAGCATCCCACCTGACCAGCTGCAGGCAGTACGCCTGTGAGTCCGCGGCCGCGCTGCTCGCTGCTCCCCGGGTACGAGCCCTGCTGGGGGGGACGTGTCTGCGGAGAGCGCGATACAGCGACGGTTCACTGCGTAACAACCCACGTTTAGCACTGATACCAGCTGCCATGTTCCCCTTCACCTTCCACCCCTGCGTCACAACAAAAACACTCCCCCGGACAACAGAGAGCGCGCGGATGTAAAGTTCCCTCCCATCGTTTGTTTTATTCAACGAGAGCTGCTGAAATATCTTCCGGTGAGCCGTGAAACACTTACTGATACAAACACGTCGATGTGTTGTGATTACGTTGAAAATAACACAATATTTAGAGAGACAGATCAATGGACTCGATCCACATTCGTAACAATACCGGAAATCTAACCATACTGCCTCCAGAATAAGAGACGCAAATATTCTATACATTTATTTATAAAGCTTAAACGCATCTGAATTGTTGCAAAAATTAAAAATAGAAATTGTGTTTTTGTATTTTATTTCCTTTGGATCTGTGGTAAACGACACTGTTATCAAACGAGGGACAGAGGCATCACAATGACTTGATATCTATAGTATTTTTATTCTGAAAAACGACTTGAATGGGTTTTATTTTCCAAATTAAAATATTTAAAATTCAATTAAATGCAAATCTACTTCGTATGTTTGTTCATTTCTTATGTAAAATGGGGGGAAACTAAAACATCATTTCACAGGTTTTCACTCATGTATTCTATAATTGGACAAAATAAGATAAGACAGTGTTAAACTTAAAGGAAGTTTTGTCCACGCTTGTCCACGTCCCGCAACCCTGTGTACAGGATAAGCGGTTTGCAGATGAATGGATGAATCTGGAAACATTGAACCACATATATACAGCCTGTTTTCTATTTTTCTTTTAAACAACGTTATTAAAGTTAAAGTGTAGAACTGATGTTGAGGTGAGACTAAAGCCACATTCAGAGGTGACGCTTTGGACTCCATTTCTCACTATTTATTTTCAATCAATAGTCAATCAATGAATGGATAACATAATCATCAGATTAATCAATGATGAAAATGAGTTCTACCACCTGATAAATTAGAATTCTACTTTAATAATCTAATCTATATAATCTAATGGTAAAATATAAAACAGAACAGTAACATATTTCCAGAAACACAACTTGCACCTTGCATCTATTAGTGTGTTCTGGTATTAAAACATCAGTTTCGTTGTATCATATATTGTGTATATTGAGTGTGACAATAATATTAAGTATTCTTTTGTACTTTTATAAAATCTCATTGGGAAAGCAACGTGTGTTCCAATAAAGTGTATTCCCACGTGTCAGTACACAGATGACGTGTGTCTTTGAAACAGAAGTCAGGTGATATTGTCATGTGACCGTATTGCATCAAGTTACTAAATTACGTCAAAAATACCAGGGAAGGCTGAGATTTAATTTAATTCAGAATAAAAGTAAAATATTGAAAGTTTTTCTTCAACATATGGGGATCGGTTATACATTGCATTCATTTATAAGAAACATTCTAGTGATAATATTGTCATTGTATCTGAATTTATTTTGTTAAACCGCTAATTCGAAGTCAATAACGTTTTTGTTATATATATATTGTTCAATAGTTTACACTAGAAGGGAGCACAGCCAAATTTTCCCCAGGTGATTAATACAATAATAATTTAACTTGTTTTCTGGTAGTTATCAATGAACAGAAATTGAACGTAGAAAATTAAAGAGTTCAACGTTTTTCTGTGAGTTAGTCCATTCTGAGACTATTATGTCTTGACTTATAATTATAATTTCATTCCAATAATCACTTAATAATTTCGTTTTATTACCTGGTCGAAATTTGGAAGTAATTTTTTCAAAAAACGAAAATACTTGATTTGGGTCGAACCGTCAGGCTTTTATTGTGGCAAAAGTAACCGGAAGCCACGTGTTTTACTTTGTGGCTTTGCGGATGTGGGGACCAGCGGCAGGAGGAGGAAAAGGAGAGGGGAGTGTGACAGGCTGGCTTCCCCTCCTCACATGGCGGGAGTGTCGGGAAAATATCAATTTGTGTGGCCGCTGTTGTGGGTCTGCGTCCGTCTGTCCGAGACCAGTTACACCGGGTAAGACCGCCGGTTGTCCGGTTCTCAAGCTAACCGCTAACGTTAGCCTGCTAGCCGAAACATTTAGTTAGCTTGAACGTTTAAAAAGAAGTGTGTGTGTGTAGACTTTATCCTTTTGCTTGTGGATGACATATATAACGTTTTTGGTACGATTTAGTTAACCTACAACCCTTTTAAACTACAATAATGGTTAAGATATCTAGCAGTTGTTGGAAATCCAGTGTTTATCTAACGTTAACTTGTTGAGTAACTTTACAAAGTTCCAATTTAACCAACTGACCACAAAGGCACCACTCCCCAAAGTAGTAAACAAACAAGTTCTTATTAACTAGTTCTTATTTATGTCAATAACATTTAACATTTGATTTGATGATTTTCAAGCCAGATATCAAATGCCAAACATGAGTCATGTTCTCGAGTTTTTGGTTTCATTCTTGAAGGAAACCGAGTTCCTGTAAAAGTGTTGCTGCAGCTCCTCCGTGTGTCCACCAGGTGGCGCTGAAAACAAAACCTTCAGGGGGAAATGGTTGAGCAGCTGTTGCGTACAGTAAAGAGTGAAAATACAAATGCTGGAATAAGAATTATACAGCAGCTACAAAACGAGTTAATTGTGAAACCAAACCTGTCTAGTTTCTATGATCCTCCAAAAACTAAAACTTTATAACTGATATTAAATGATAAACGGGTGACCTCAGCCGACCTGGTTTCTGGTGAGTTGACTGTATTTTAAATGAGGGCCAGAGGGCTCGACAGCGTCTCTTTGGTCAGCGCCCACACGGTAACCGGTAGCAACGAGAAGCACCAGTCAATAACACACACACACAAACACACACACACACACAGCTGCCGTAGTCCGTCTTGTCAGATGAAATAACTTTTTATTATGTTCCGCATTTCTTTGTCTCCTCGCAGCGTCTCTCTGGACGATGACGTCCTGCGGCCGTACGCCGGCGCCCACGGCCCCGGCCACTCCCACCGCCACGTCAGAGACTGCCAGCCCGCCGCCCACGGCAACCTCACCCACGAGAGCCTCCGCCCCCCCGCTGGCGGCGTCGGGCTGCCGGCGGCCGAGTCCACAGTGTTTGTGTCGGACGTGCCGAGGAGCTCCAGGCGGGTCTACGGTGAGTTACGGGAGGATACAGCGACTCTTATTGATCGGCTGAACTGATTTATTGATCCGTCTGTGTGTTTATCTGACCTCTGACCTTTTGACCGTAAATGTAAAAAGAGGACTAGTTTAAAGAGACCATAAACATCACCTTCTCTGCCCCGCCCCCTCCCCTCAGGTCACGTGACAGTCGTCCGCGACCCGCTGAGGACGCTGTCGGTGCTGGAGCCCGGCGGGCCGGGGGGCTGCGAGGCCAACCGGACGGCCACGGTGGAGCAGACGGCCGCTGGCGCCGGCTGCCTGTACGCCCAGAACGCCGGCTTCTTCGACACGGACTCGCACCGTTGCCTGGGCAACGTGGTGAGCGATGGGCGGCCGGTGCGGGACAGCGGGGGGGTGCAGAACGCCCAGTTTGGCATCAGGAGGGACGGCAGCTTGGTGTTCGGGTGAGAAGAGCCGGAGAGGGGACCGAGTGAAGTGAGCCTCACAGGGACGCTCCATGATGTATATTATATATGTAATATATTATATACATATAATATATGTTGTGGTCTCCAATGAATCATGTCGTCATAGTTTCACCAAGAAGCTTTCAACAGAATCTGATTAAAGCAAAATGTTAATTTTAACCTTTTGTTTATCAGAATGAAAGCTTCATGGAACCAAAGGTTGTTGTGGTCATTTATGGCGCGTTTCCACCGAGCGCTACGGGTCGGTATCCTTTTATTTGTGTCTCCACTGCCAAGAATGAGAATGGTACCAAAAATCCGAACCGTACCGTACCACTCTTTGGGTTCCCTTCCGTTGGGGCACCTGGCACAGTTGTTTGGTACTAAAGGGCGGAGCTAGACTCACTGCAGAGCGTTGATTGGTTGAAAGAGTGTCGTCATTTGTGCGTGTCGCAAGGGGAAAGTCAACACACGTAACACACCTGCAGCAAGTAGCTTTTGCTCAAACAAAGAGTGTCGTCTCCTTGTGACAAACAGCCACATATGGAGAAGCAGGAACAGGATCGGGACCCGACCCGTACCGTACCGCTCGGTGGAAACGTGCCATTGGGGTGAAGGTGAGGTAGAAATAACCCACAGAGGTGATAGTTATCTAACTGCAGTGGTGGTGTCCAGCCAGCTGTCGGTTTGTCCCTTTTCACACATCTGGATTTTGGGTTAAAGTTCTCACGAGAGACACACAGCTGCTTTTAAACCCACTGAAGGAACGTTCACACATCAGAGGTTGAAGCTTTGAATTCTCTTTAAAGAAGGATGTAGAAGCATGCATTTGGTAAACTGCATTGGTGAGGTCCTGATGATCTGTCCCCCCCCAGGTATCTGTCCCAGGAGGACGTCTTGGACCGTTCCAACCCGTTTGTCCAGCTGGTCAGCGGCGTGGTGTGGCTGCTGAGGAACGGAGAGGTTTACATCAACCAGAGCCTGCAGGCTGAGTGTGACGAGACTCAGGAGACGGGTGCTGTGCCTCATACAGTCAGCGGGGGCTTTTAGTCCGGGGGGGGGCACACAGATGTGTTCAAGTGTGATCACCTGTATCGTTATGGTTGAATGCACTTATTGTAAGTCGCTTTGGATAAAAGCGTCAGCTAAATGACATGTAATGTAATCACGGTTCCTCTTAACTTTCCAGCTTTTTAAAGTTCCAACCTGGTGTTGCACTCGGATAAATCTGCACACTAAACTCACAGATGTTTTATTTTGTCACCACAGCAACAGTTTAAGTGAACTGTCTTTACCTGATGTGGTCCGACAGCACAAAGCAACCTGGGATTATGTCGTCTTTGGGAAATGGGACAGGAATCTTTTACAATTGAGTTTTGAGATTTTAATTGAAGAAGTACCTCATACACCCACACTCATGTACTATAGATGTCACACACAATATCACTTTGTCGTCCTCCTCAGTCCTAATATGGTCACTTCCTGTAGCAACAATAGCCAAGAGCAGCATCCATTTCTTTCCACAGTTTATAAATGAGGATCCGTGGTGCTCGTTGGGTGAGAGGGTCCGACAGCACAAAGCAACCTGGGATTATGTCGTCTTTGGGAAATGGGACAGGAATCTTTTACAATTGAGTTTTGAGATTTTAATTGAAGAAGTACCTCATAGTCTCTCCACCCAGCACGCTTCCGCATGTACTATAGATGTCACACACAATATCACTTTGGTTCGTCACCTCCCTCAGTCCTAATATGGTTCACTTCCTGTAGCAACCAATAGCCAAGAGGCAGGGGGCATCCATTTCTTTTACTGTTTCCCGTCAGTTTAGTTGTTACAAATCTGAGGATCCGTTGGTGCTCGTTTGGGTGAGAGAGGACGCAGAAGCTAGAAAAGATTGCAACCTTTGTTTCCTTCGTTATATGTTTATCCTATGATTATTACATGTTAATATATATTCAGTACCTTTCGGCTGACTCGTCCCGTCTCTCCTCGCAGGGTGGTTCCGTTACCCTTCGTGGATGTCGTTGTCGGCGAGGTCTGGGGGTGGTTGTCACAACGCTGAGGGAGCAGTTGTTCCTCTTCTGCGTTCCGATGGGACAAGACTGGAGTGTAGGGGTAACCACGACTTGGTACTGTTGTTACACGTCTGGGTGTAGTTGTTACACGTCTGGGTGTAATTGTTACACGTCTGGGTGCAGTTGTTACACGTCTGGGTGCAGTTGTTACACGTCCGGGTGTAGTTGTTACACGTCCGGGTGTAGTTGTTACACGTCCGGGTGCAGGTGTTACACGTCTGGGTGCAGGTGTTACACGTCTGGGTGCAGTTGTTACACGTCTGGGTGCAGTTGTTACACGTCTGGGTGCAGTTGTTACACGTCTGGGTGTAGTTGTTACACGTCTGGGTGTAGTTGTTACACGTTACACGTCTGGGTGCAGTTGTTACACGTCTGGGTGCAGTTGTTACACGTCTGGGTGCAGTTGTTACACGTCTGGGTGCAGTTGTTACACGTCTGGGTGCAGTTGTTACACGTCTGGGTGCAGTTGTTACACGTCTCAGTAGGGGATTTTTTGTGGGTGAAGCCCAGATCCTCTTTGACCTTTGAGCCGACGGATTAGTGAGATGAACTAATACTTTTCACAGGCTCACGCCACATCCAACCCATTAGGATCTCCCCACCCGATTGAATTTATTGATCTGACTGAAGATTAATGTGCTGACCTCGGCGGTCACGACAAGCTTCAATCAAAGACCCGATCAATAAGTACTATGAATGTTGTATATTTACTCAGGCTGACGCGTTCCCCTCGTATACAGTGTCACCGTTAATCATTCAGCTTTATTTATATGGACAAGTGGTCATTGTGTGTATCTTTTTCTTTTCTTGCTGGTATTTTTGATTCTCCTTGCGTTGATAATCGTCATTGTTAAGTGACGTTTTGGGCCTCATGCAGCACCTCATCCACCAGTACATAATGTGTTGAAAACCCCTCTGATAAATAACAGCACATATGATGAGGTTAGAACACGCGTGATTCCATGGATCCTCGTCTACACAGAGGAACATCTGGGTGTGGGAGGACAGATGTTCGTGGGAAGGCTTCACCTTGCTGTCTTTTCGCAGCATGAACCTGTGGGAGGTGGCCGAGGCCCTGAAGGGCTACGGAGTCGTCAACGCCATCAACCTGGACGGAGGCGGCTCCTCCACCTACGTGACCGGCGGCTCACTGGCCAGTTACCCCTCCGACCACTGGTGTGTGTGTGTGTGTGTGTGTGTGTGAGAGTGTGTGTGTGTGTGTGTGTGTCATACATCTAACCTCTTTCCCCTCAGTGAGTCGGACAGCAGGTGGCGCTGTGCTCGGCCCGTCTCCACCATCTTGTGTGTTCACCGGCGGCGCTGCCGGCCAGAGGACTGCGGCCGCCGCCGCGTCTGTGCGGCCGGTGAGTGGGGGGGGGGGTTATTGTTTTATTTGACACCTCATGTTAAAGCGTTGTTGGTTTAACTCGTCTTATTTCAGACTCGTAGAATGAAAACATTTATTTTTCTCCGTTTTAGGTTTATGTCACCAAACGTCTCTTCTACATCACATGTCATTCATCTGACGCTTTTATCCAAAGCGACTTACATAAGCCACAATTTCCACCATAAGGGCAAGAAACAAGAAAGTTCATTTCATTAATAAGCCGATTTACAGTTTGCTAGAGATAAGAGCCGTCATAAGTACAATTTAAGGAGGTCGAGTCTGAAGAGGCGTCTCGATTCAACACAACATTTCAAAAACGTGTTATAGATTATAGAATAAATGTTCCTCTTATTTTGAAGAACCGGTGAAGTTCCCTGATATCTTGTTTGTGTTGTAGATGGTTGTGTCTGTGACGCTGGATGGAGAGGAGAGAACTGTAGCTTAGGTACACACACACACACACACACACACACACGCTCTTCTCTTGTTCACATACGCATGAAGCCACCACACCCACTGCATCCTCCATTTAACACATTTACCAGCTGCATTAACGAAAAGTCGCGTTTCACCTGCACAACGATTTCGCCTTCTTAGGCTATTTAGGAAAACATAAGATGCTAATTTACTACAAAAAACCTCCCCTGCAGCTTTAACCACACACACACACACACACACACACACCAGCATCTAAAACGGCAACATGTTGCCGATGTAAATGTCTGTCTCCTCCTCATTAACAGAGTGCCTACCGGGTTTCTATGGCGACGGCTGCAATCAAACCTGCGCTTGTGTCAACGGCGCCGCATGCGACCCTGTCCGCGGACGCTGCGCCTGCCCCCCCGGTTTCCACGGCGACACCTGCGAGCATGGTAGAGCGCGAACCTGCTGATTTAAATATTGTCCACAATATTAAAACACAATAACCCCCCTGTCGCCCCCCCCCCCCCCCCCCCCCAGCGTGTCCTCTGGGCTTCTTTGGCCCGTCCTGCGCCAACGAGTGTCGCTGTGACGACCAGTGCCCATGTGACCCGCAGACGGGAAGCTGTAACGCCACGCTGCGAGGGGAGAGCAACCGCACTTTACACACAGGTACACACACACACAGGGAGGAAGCTTTCCCTGTAGCCGCTCACTGTCACTGCTTCCTAAAATAGGGGATGTTCTTGACGATGCCTTCAGGTGCTAATAGCAGTCTGGAGGTTCCGCCGCTTTATGAAGGCGCTGCTTGGTTATTAAACTCTTCTTCTTCTGCTGCTCCACAGCTGGACGTTGTTTGGCCAAACAGATGTTTATCCGTTGGAGACGAGACGAAGCAGCCCGCGGACCTCGTCTCACAGAGTAAGGGTCAAAGGTCGCTCGTCTAAATGTTCTTCATGTTGTCTGGTGTGAAATCTTCTTCCTCTTAAACAAAAAAAGAAAAAAAATCCGCCTGGGAAGCTTTTCTTATTTAGATGTAATATTTAGGCGTGTAGCCCCGCCCTAAAGCGCCCCCTGCTTTATGGTCTGTTTGACTCTTAATTTACTAAATGAACATCATGTTGTGTTGAAGAAGACTTGAAACTAGAGACTGAGACCATAAACTCATGTTTACAATGTTTACTGAGGGAATAAATCCAGAGAGAAGTAGAGTCATTTCCTCATAGACGTCTATGGGAGCAGAGGAGTCGCCCCCTGCTGGTCACTACAGAGAAGTAGAGTCATTTCCTCATAGACGTCTATGGGAGCAGAGGAGTCGCCCCCTGCTGGTCACTACAGAGAAGTAGAGTCATTTCCTCATAGACGTCTATGGGAGCAGAGGAGTCGCCCCCTGCTGGTCACTACAGAGAAGTAGAGTCATTTCCTCATAGACGTCTATGGGAGCAGAAGAGTCGCCCCCTGCTGGTCACTACAGAGAAGTAGAGTCATTTCCTCATAGACGTCTATGGGAGCAGAGGAGTCGCCCCCTGCTGGTCACTACAGAGAAGTAGAGTCATTTCCTCATAGACGTCTATGGGAGCAGAGGAGTCGCCCCCTGCTGGTCACTACAGAGAAGTAGAGTCATTTCCTCATAGACGTCTATGGGAGCAGAGGAGTCGCCCCCTGCTGGTCACTACAGAGAAGTAGAGTCATTTCCTCATAGACGTCTATGGGAGCAGAGGAGTCGCCCCCTGCTGGTCACTACAGAGAAGTAGAGTCATTTCCTCATAGACGTCTATGGGAGCAGAGGAGTCGCCCCCTGCTGGTCACTACAGAGAAGTAGAGTCATTTCCTCATAGACGTCTATGGGAGCAGAGGAGTCGCCCCCTGCTGGTCACTACAGAGCAGTAGAGTCATTTTAGCTTAAAGACGTTTAGAACTTTGGGTTCATGGCGCCGTTAGATGGCTGCTGGAAGGCTCTCAAGCCGTTGACGCCCGTCCCGTCTTTCCTCAGACGTACCTGGCTCACCATCACCTCCACCTTGGCCTCCCTGCTGCTGGCCAGCCTGCTGCTTCACCTCGTCCGTGGGTGCGGCGGTGCGGTGGCGGCGGCGGCTGCTCGCCGCCCCGGGCGCCGCGGGGACTACTCCTACGTCCCGCTGGTCAGCCTCAACGGAGCCACTCAGGACGACCCGGACTCTCAGGAGGAGATCTGGTCCCCGGGGACGTCGTCGGGAAAGTCTCCCCCGAGGAGAGAAGGTCAGATCTTTGCTGATCAGAGATGCGGGCGTCCGGACCTCCAGCAGGAAGAGCAGAACTCTGGTGCTTCTGGTTCCGCTGAGCTGGTCAATCACCAAGAACCCTGGAAGGATTTTCCTCCACACGCACCATCAAATGAAAAACATTTAGTTGGTTTATAATGTAATTAAGATAAATGTCTCAAAAGCCGCTGAGTCTGAAATCCAGCGATGAGACCAAAGGTCCAAATGTTCTCAATACAGCGTTGACTTGAACACATCACGGCCATCTCTTCCTTTAGTTCTCACGTTGCCACGGAAACGGGCGACCTTTGCTCAAAACAAACTGTTTTTTTTAGATATTCTAATGCACAGAGCGCCATCTGAATGTAAAATGAGGTTCATACCGCAGAAAATAATAAAGAAGCACAATTTTCTTGAAGAAGCCACGAATCTCTGCCCCTTTATGAAAGTTCACCAAACTTCTCGTATGTGATCAAGTTTACTTTTGTTTCCTGTTGCCTTTGCTTTCATAGACAGCGTTGCTAGTAAACCGAGTTTTGGGCTGTTTTAATTAATTAACTCTTAGATCATCGTGATCATAGGTGGGAAACGGCTAACTTACTGTCACGCTAACATGTTTACCAGCAGAGTCAAGACCAGCACCAGGTAGTAAGTAGACCGAGTTCAGACCAGGACTTTGAGGCCAGTGAGGCTACGGCTCCATGACACCTTCCCTCCTCCCCCTGATTCCTTTCCGCTGGTACAACACGCTTTGGGATTATAAAACCCTTTTTTTGCCTTTTTTTGTGTCAGAGCTGTTTTTTCATTACATCACATTACAGGTCATTCAGCTGACGCTTTTATCCAAAGCGACTCACGTTGCCGTGGTTTTTACATTTCTGCCCGGGGAGCAATCAGGGGTCAGGTGTCTTTGCTCAGGGACACTTCAACATGGGACATGAAGCAGCCGGGGCTCAAACCACCAACCTTGTGGTTCCCAGCGCTCCCTCTCTAACCCTGCACCACACCGACCATTTTCATGCTGAGTCATCGGGTTTTCGTTTAGAAGTCGGCTGAGGTCACGGCCCCCGTGACCTCTGACCTCCCACTGATGAGGTCACGTGAAACTCCCTCACTTTGTTCTGCAGTTGTTTGAGCCGTTTGGTTCTAAACATTTTATGAAAATGAAAAACTCCACATTTTACAGTAAAATACTGTATTTACCATTAATGAGTGTTCGTACAAGATTCTTAATGATCTTCGACCACCTATATATATATATATATATATACATATATATATGCGCTGACCATTCTTCTTTGGTGTTTATTTTATCTGGTGTGTACACATGAAGTAAAAGTTTCTCAGCTTTTTTTAAAATCCTGGCTCACTATCTCTCAAGTTATTTGGATGAGTAAACCCCAATTATTATTGTTATTATTATTGTTATTATTATTATTATTATTGTTATTATTTTTATTCACTGACCAAAAGAAAACCCGTATTATGAATGTATTTTACTTTTCTTATTCCATCTTGGAAATACAGTTTTTCTCTTGTTAATCCATTTCTGGCATAGAAATCTTATTGATCATTAACGTTATTTCTTTGCTTCTCTTATTCTGAAACGATCCATTCAAAGTACTTTTACTCTGAAGTGCGTTCTGATGCCTTGTGTGCGCCAGTGATGCACAACTTCACTGTGGAGAACAAACACAATAGAACGTTACTCAACAAGTGTTCAGTGGCAACGACAAACAGGTCGATGACCCCCGCTGTGTTTACACAAGGTAGTGTTGTGCAGCACACCTACACACACACACACACACCTACACACACACGCGCGCACAAAGTAAACATTAACCCGATTATGTAAAGACGCCGTCCCTGCATTGTTGTGACAGGTGGATGTGATGTGATCACTTATTGTGGGACATTTTGTCCGTGAGACTCACACCCTGAACACAGTGCGTGTTCTTTGGTATTAATATGCAGTGTCATTATTTACAACAATAGGACTCACACGTCATGATTAGGAGTGTGATTTATTTGTAGCCCCCCTTTGTCTTAGTGGTCTCCTTGTGCCATTTGTCGTCTCCTTTAGTGTCTCCTTGGGTTTCTTTTTATTCTCTGGTTTTATTTTCGGCGGCGGATGAATCCATCGTTTGGTGCTTCGTTGTGTGTCGTCACGGCGATGGAGGAACATCAGTGATGAGTTTTTAATGGAGGACAGAATGTCACCATCAACATGAGACGGAGTAGGCCGGTTAAACATTAATGGAAGAGGAGGGGCGAGAGTCCCAGGACCAGGAAGTGGGCGCCGCTGTGATGTCACAGCCGTACAGGTGTGACCTTGTGTGGGATTGGAAGAATCCAGAGTAATGTCCTGTTTTTTTGCTTTCTGGGGTTTTCCCACAGTTTTTTGGGGGGAAAATGACTGACGCAACCAGCAGCTCTGCACACAGACACACAGTGACGGGGTCACAGGTTCGATTCCCAGTATGAACCGCTTCATTAAACCAAACAAAGCACCCGTTCTTTGTCATCAGTGGAGAATTAATCGCATCAAATAGGGTTTGGGAGTGTTAGATCACATGACAGCTTGAATTGTAGTTTAATAGTATAGTTGAATCAAATGCATTTATTGTGTTTTTCTGTTTGCTTCATTTAAACGAAATGTATTAATCATACTTATAATTAAGACAATGATACTGTACTTGGAGGTAGATAATGTACATGTTTACTACAACATGCTTGTGACTCTGATGCCAGTTGAACTTCACCTTTAATTTCTGCTTTCAGCTTCATCCTCCTCAAACCAGACCTTTCACCTCCAGCATGTCGTGGAGTTAATGACCCCACAAAATGTTCTTGCTTCGATTTATGAGAATATACACATACACAGAAATATTTACCGACGCACTTATACTTTTGATTGTATTTCTTTTTAAGGGATGTTTTAATTGGAATTTAATTACTTACATTTAGCTGAGATTACTTTTAAGACTTGGAGTATTTTGGGGTAATAGTGTTTTTATGTGTTCACCAAGCATGAGCTGTTAATAATTAAATAATAAATAATGTCCTCCAGATGATCAGGTCAACATTCAGTCTCTTTGTGATCGTGTCTCAACTTACATGTTGACATCGGTCGTTTTTTTGGCTTCTTGGCAAACAGGAAGTGCTGCAGCACTACCCGGATGTTCTGCTTATGTAACATGTGCGTGTGTTTTTAGGAGGAAAGAACCCAGATATGGTGCAGATACTCCTCCCAAAAGCAGCCGCGCCGTGCGCAGTCATGCCCGCTTCTGGAACACGGAGGGGGGGGGGGGCGGTCACGTGTGTTGGTGACAGGCCATAAAGTCGCGTGTGATTGGCTGAGCCGTTTTAAAGCCCGTCCCCGTCGATAGGCCGGCTTCTGTCTGACGTCACCTCGATCAGCTGTTCGCAGCTCCACAACAACAACAAAAGAAGGAGCAGTCGGGAGGAAACGGACTGAAGGAAACAACAAAAAAGGAGAGAGAAGCGAGCCGAACAGTTTCTCCCGACGGACAGTCCTCCGATCAACATTTTTTATACATATAGTTTTATTCTTCCACGAAGAAACGTAAGTTTTCTATTTTCCGAAAAGTAACGCGTCTACTCTTTTTTAAGGACTCTTCTCCGGCGCAGGTGAGTTCTTTGTTTTCCCCTCGGCGACCATCAACGGCCCCGGTGCCGCTTTATTGTGACGCTGTCGGTGTTTGTCGCCTTATCCGCCGCGGAGACACTTTACGGCAACCGAAACGGGCCCATATCTAAACGTTACGATGCTTCTTTTGCTGGGTTTACGACGCGTTTTGACCGCCGCAGTGCGCAGTGCTAGCTTGGTGATGCTAGGCTAGTCGAGCTAGCTGCGGCGTTAGCCGCGCTGCAGAACAAGCCTTAAAAATGGAGGAAACGCGTCCGTGCGCGTTTAAAAAAGTGCTGTCGCGCTTTATGCAAGGATGTCACCGTTTAACGGGCAGGTTTCGGCCCGGTGGGTGTAGAGTTACAGCCTCCACCCACTTCCCCTTTGTAACCAACAAACACCGTCTGCTCCCCCCCCCCGTTCTCCACCGGACCGGTTCCGCTGCTTCCGTCCGGAGCCGCACCGGCGGCTAATCGATCGGCCGATCGGCCGGTTGCTCCGTCGGGGCGACGGCAGATCGATGGTTCTCTGTGCAGACGTTGTGAGGAGATCCAAGTGAGGATCTGCTCCTTTTCTTAAACACGAACTTCGTGCTTCTAAAGAAACGAGGCTCTGCGATTAAGTCACACTATTACATGTTTATAACGCGTGAACAATGACTCACTCAAACATACTAAGGAAGTAGCATTACATTGATTATAAATGTTAGTGGCATCTTTCTGCACATATGTGTGCACATAGTCAACATTTAATCACTTGTCAGTTTCAGAAATGTAATGTAATGCCTGTTTTCTATCGTTCATGAATTAACCTCGAACCGAACCGCATGACGTCACGTAGAGTGATGCAATATTTCTAAACGGTATATATTTTTGTGCCTAAATCGTTCGACACTTAAATTGTGTTTTTAATCCCGCTCACTTGAATAAATGCTGACGTCATGACCCTGCGCGGTCTCCACAGAAGCCACGGGAATGACCCGGTGACCTCATTTAACGACATTAATCTCTTCCCTTCGTGCCCGCGGCTCGTTGCGACGGTCTGGACGAGGAGGTAGCCTCGTTGACCCGGTTGGGCGGAGGAGGAAGGGTGCAGCAGATTATCGGCCTGCTGTTAAGTTCAGACCTCCTCCAAATGTTTACAAAGGCGGTGTTTATTTCGTTCTTCGCTCGCCGCGTAATAAAAATGACAACAGAGAAATACGAGCTGACGCACCGGTGTTTAAACGCACCACGCGTCCTCTGTGTCTGGAGTACGTTCATGTGCTGATGGCGAAAAACAGAATTTGTGATTTCCATGAATATATTATTATTATTATTTTTTTTTTCCAAGGAAAAATACGAAATACAAACTAGATTAATGTAACCGTAACAGCGCAAATGTGATAAATCAACGAAGAAAGAGAGTAACGTTTTCTAACTTCAGTATATTCGGTACGAAATGCAAAGTGCATAACATCGATCTTTCTTTTCGACCAATCAGAGGGCAGAAACTCCCACTGAGGAACAGCGTCCTCTTGGCTTTACTCAGTGACCCCCCCCCCCCCTGCAGCTGCTGGACCACTTCTCATTCTGCCCACTAACCCCCCCCCCCATCAAAGACTGATCTGAGGTCAGGATGAATAACTACGGCGACGTTAAGCACTTCTCTACTTCTTTTAGAGCAGCTTTTGCTATATTGATTTTGGCATAAAGCTTTCATGTGAACACAGACAAAATATTTGTCTTTCTGTTTTTAACTCTCCTGATCCATTAGGGTCTAAGTCTGTCTTTAAAAAAAAAAAAAAATTTAAAATCCGTTCTGGACCAAACTGTCCGAACATGAACTCAAACGCTCCCTGACACGTTGATGATCTTTAAAGCTGCTCTGAAGCAGCACGGAGTCTTCTCGTGGTTACAGGGTTCATCTGCGAGGCTCGATTACCGCCGTCTGACCCTTATTCCCTTTTATAGGCGGAGACATTGAGACTCCTCCCCTTTGATGACCCACGAGCATCTGAACTCGCGTGCAGACGGTTTATTGAGGCCAAAGAGTCTTTTATCGTCATCATTGTTGTGACACTACGTTGCTCTGGAGCATTTCTAAGTTTGCTGCTCCTGTGTTATGTGGGTAATGCTGTTAAAAAGAGCCTTCTTTGTTTTGTGATGCAAAAATAAAAGTGTGCAATACACCACATTGGAGTTACTTATTACATTTTTTGATTAATCGCAATTAAAAATAATAATCGTAGCCCGCACTAGAAACCACGAGGTATGATGGAAAGAATCTGAGCATGTTTGGTTTGGCTGACCTGATACCTGTCTCTCCTCTCAGGGCTCCTCTTTACCTCCCGGCTCATCCAGCGATGTCCGGCTGCAGATGATCCGTGACCTCGCCTTCTGTTGATGCACTTTAGCACCTTTTCCGGAGCCCCCACCGACCCGCGAGCCCCACAGCTGATGACCAAAGCCAGCGCTGCCCCGCCTCCCCGCCGTCGCCCCGAGCAACGCGCCTCCTCCTCCTCCCCCAGCACCCCCTCTCTTGTCCTCGAGTCGCTGTGGGGCGTCCAAGGATGTTCCAGAGGTTCACCAGCGCTCTGTTCGGGGATGACGGCGAGGAGCTGAGTCGCCGCGAGGAGGAGGAGGAGGAGGAGGAGGAAGAAGAAGAAGACTGGATCCTGGTCAACTACCTGGGTAAGAAATCAAGTGAACTGAATGAAAGAGACTTTAAAAGCTCAACTGGTCTTTAACCTGCATTCGATCCGCCGCTTCCCTCAATGACAGATAAACACTCAACAACAACAACAACAACAACTAGTTCAGACTTTATTAACACCAACGTTGTTCTGTTTGAACAAACACTGCTCACTTATTGAAAGTGGCTTCGGATAAAAGAGTCTGATGAATGAAAACGTAAATGGAATGTTAAGACACACACACACTGCACAGACACACACACACTGCACAGACACACACACACACACACACACACACTGCACAGACACACACACACACACACACTGCACAGACACACACACGCACACACACACACACACACACACACACTGCACAGACACACACACGCACACACACACACACACACACACTGCACAGACACACACACACACACTGCACAGACACACACACTGCACAGACACACACACACACACACTGGACAGACACACACACACACTCACACACTGGACAGACACACACACACACACACTGCACATACACACACACACTGCACAGACACTCACACACACACACTGCACTGGACAGACACACACACACGCTGCACAGACGAACACACACTGCACAGACACACACACACACACGCACAGACGCAAACACACACACACACAGAGACGCGCACACACTGCACAGACACACACACACACGCACTGCAGGGAGCTCCAGGACACTCGCAGCTTCACGCCGGCTCGATCCGATTCCACAGGCGTGTGAATACTTTGGATGGGCTGACTCACCCCCTCACCCCCGAGGTGGAAATAGACGGAGGACATGTACGGCTCCTTCCCCTAAATACCCCCAAATCCATTTTTAAATCACTCCTCAAGTTCTTCATTTACTTCACTGATTTGTCCGTTTCAAAGGATTTCTCCTGCGCATAAACGTCACAGCGCCCCCGCGGGTGCAGAGGCGGTATTACACCACAGGAACAACTGCAGCTTCACTACATTAATTCATAATATATTAAGAGGTTTTTCACTAATATCTTTCAGACTCGTGGACGTTATCGTCACATAACGCCTCATTTGCATACATCAATATAACATCACAGATTCCTGCAGCACACGATATCTGCAAACCACAATGTCGACATGAGAACATTGGCTCCAGCTGTCCTCTGAAGGTGGGCGAGCACCAGGAAGTAAACTCCACTTCCTGTTTGTGTCTGCAGCCGAGGCCGGTGGCGACGGCCTCTCCGCATCCACCGCTGGTCCAGAGGAGGAAGAGGAGAAGGAGGAAGAGGAGGACCTGGTGATGATCCCCTCCCCCGTGGACAACCCCCAGATCCGCTACGCCTCCTGCACCTCCCTCAACTCCACGGCGGACACGGACGGCGGCGCCGAGGAGGAGGAGGAGGAGGAGGAGAGCGGGTTCCTCCGTCTGAACGCCTGCTCCCTGGAGGAGAGCTGGTTCGTCACGCCGCCGCCGTGCTTCACGGGGCGCGGCGTGCCGCCGGCGCTCCTGGAGGCCAGCCCTCTGGAGAACCTGCTGATTGAGCACCCCAGTATGTCTGTCTACGCCCACCGCAGCCCCCCCAGGATGACCCTAGACCCCCTGCCGCGCTCCCTTGACCTGGAGCTGGGCTTGTTGCCTGGCAACGTGCCCGCCGCCATGACGCCATCTGCCGGGAAAGAGAAGGGAAGACGCACGCTGGACGGCCCTCGACACAGGTAACGTCCTGATCCCCCATGAACCAGGCTCAGTGTAGTCCTGATCCCCCATGAACCAGGCTCAGTGTAGTCCTGATCCCCCATGAACCAGGCTCAGTGTAGTCCTGATCCTCTATGTGAACCAGGCTCAGTGAAGTTCCACAGTAACCTTGTTGTTCCTCATCTCCCCCCCCCCCCGCGTCCCCCCAGCCCTTGCAGGCCGGAGGTGGCGGTCGTCCCGCGGCGCTCCACCCTCCACTCGGCTTGCTACGCCGCGGCGCTCTCCGCCCGCGCCGGCCTCCTGCAGCAGCGGGACAGCAACGCCGCTCAGCGCAGCAAGCCGCTGTCCCGCAACGCCCTGCGGCGCCTCAACATGCTGCGCCCCCCGAAGACCAGCTCCGCCCACCTGCACCAGCCCAGCCAGAGACACCTCAACTTTTGAGGGCTCCTCATCGTCACCACCACCACCACCACGGGAAACTAACCACCTCTTCTTCTCAAGAGCTCAACACCAGCAACGTGTCCTCAGCCACGCCCCCGACCTGGAATCTGATTGGTCATTGAAATCTGGAGTGATTTTAGGTTTTATGTTATTGGCTCACGGGGCGAATCATTTCGCATCATCATCATCCCTCATGTTGAAGCTAAGGAAATAAGAAGGCGTCATCACGTGACGACCTCCCGTTGTCACGGTGACGACCTCTCTCTTCTTCTTCACGGACAACTTAATGAGTAGAATCAATGCTGTAGGTCACTTTACTCAGAGGCAGGTTCGTCAGGTGCGGCAGATCACGCTCACGTGATGTCACAGCGGGGAGCCGTGACATCACGCGCTTCATAATCAGATGTTCTTTTCTAAAATCCGTCTTTTATAAGACCTCATTTTATGGAAGTTCTTTTACTAGTAAATATTCAACATGTTTTCAGTGGGGTTTAAAAACGGTAACTAGATGGATGTAATTCAGGCGTGTTGCCTCACGTGCTCTAGTGACCACGTCAAAGGAAACACGACACTGTAAAAACTTGGATGTTTCTGCCTTTTAGAGTCGGCGCTGTTGTATCGCGGGTCCGTTAGCGTCCGTTAGCTCGCCGCCAGCTGAACCTGCCTCTGACTCCGTAATTCAGTACTTTTCACAATATTTTTTTGAAAAGAAAAAAAAAAGGAATAGAAATACTGGGTTAAATATCACTAAACGCCTTGTTTTAACGGTAGCTTTGAGATGAATAGAAATGTTTAAAGATAAAAATGTATTTAAAAAAAATTCCAAAATAACTTTTTTAAAAGAAAAAACAAATTACATATCAGTATGAAGTCTGTATACATGAGTGTATTTCTTGCTTGAGTGTGTTTGGTTGTGTCAGTGTGCGATCTGTTGCATGGTTGTACAGCTGTGTTCCTGTGACGGCAGAAAAAACAAATGTGTTTTTATAATTGTGTTTTTTGTTCTTAAATGAATCTGCAGTCTTCTTCTCAGGGTCACAAACAATCACATTTACTCTCCAGGAAAATGCAGATTTACTTGATGGCTGACGATTCTCTTTGTGCGCTCAGACTTTTTATTTTGTCGTCTCCGTCCCTTTTGCGAGAAACGAGTTTTAGTTTTAACTGAGAATTTGGAAATCCTTCGCGATGGAGAGAAACCTTGTTTTGTAAATGTCCTTTATGCTTTTTAACTATTCTATTACGTTAACTTAGTTACATTACCTTAACTGTTAAAATATTTAACCAAAAAAGTGTCAAGGATCTTCAGTCCTTCCACTAGTGTCACCACACTGCAGGAGAGAATAAACAATAGAATCCTAAATAAAAGACATGAGAATGGGACAAAGTTACAGGACGGAAAGTCAAAAGGATAAATGAATATATGTAATGAGGAAACACTCATTATTCGTGTGTTTGTGTCATTAGAAGCCGTCCTAACCTGTGATTGTAATTTTAATCAAGGCATCAAATTCTGAGTAAAATCTTGTAAACGGTGCCGTCACATCTCAGAACTGTAACAATTTCTTATTATTTCTCACCTTTAACCTCCAAACAGGGAAGGTGAAACAAATTTCACATGTCTTTTTACTTATTTGAGCAACACATGCGCAGTAAATGTTTGGAACGGGTGAATTAGTTGGTTACGATTCTAACTTTGCAGTGTGGTTTGTGAATAACCTTCAGAACGCACTAACAAACCGTAGATAATCCACAGTTGAGCCTTTCTCTTCTTACTTATCGAGCTCTGCAATCACGGACAATGATTTTTGGGAGCTTTACGTTAAAGGGATCGGATGTGATGATCTGTCTCTTCGGCTCTCGGGAGCCTTTTTTTATTTCTTCGGTTCGTCTCTCCATCATCAAACTAACAGGGATCTGTAATGTTCTTATTTTGTTTTATGTTCAATGCCTTGAAATTTGTGGATCTCGTGCCTTCCGGGTTTTGAAATGTAATGACAATGCATCGAAGAAGAACTTGAACTCCCGATTTTATTCTTTTGTTTGTACGTAACAAGTTAAAATCCCAGAAACGGACGTCAGAAACCAGCTATGCACCACTCGAAGCAGCCAACAGCGTTTGCTTATTTCTTTTTTTTTAACTATGACTCAACAAAAACCAGACAGAATGATGTAGCAGAAGCCCTTTTCTCCTTGTTTGTTTTAACAAAAAAAGTCTGAAGAATATTTTGTGTCATTTTATTTTCATTAGTGTCAGATGCTTTTTTTGTTTTGTTGTATTTTACTGGAATAATACAGCACGTTGCCAAAAAAGGGAAAAAAGGTGTAGGAATTATAGGGTTAACTGACAGAGAAACTTTTTTTCTCTGTCTTTTGTATTTTTGGATGTATGGCAGATCAATTCACTCGTTCTGATGTTGAAAAAAAGAGCTAATTCTAAGTAGGGTCATCTGTCTTTTAACTGTTCTAGTTACTACATATGATCTCTCGTTAGCTTTAAATAATAATAAATGTTTTCATGGCTCGCTCGTCTCTGTTTGTTCGGCCCAAGGAACCGTTTGTCTCGAAGTTACTTGAGCTCATGGGTCATAATTTAATAAGTAATAAGTGAAGTGAATTGTACAATATCTGACTTTATATTCATTTATGGACTTTCTTTCTTTTAGCATGCAGAAAGTCCTTTTAACAGAATTATAGATTGTATGATTGGGTTTGCAGAGAAACTACATGTTTTTTTTATGGATTGGGGTAATAAGCTGGAAGCTTATAATCACAACATTTAGGAACAGGTCACTGTTTGGACCAAAAGGATATTGCATAGTAATTATTTAGTTACACAAATAATATGTTTGTATTATTATTTTTGTGGAGCAAAGGGCAGTAGACAAACTGCTATTAACATGATGAAATAAGAACAGCTGTTTGACAGCAGCTCCACGTGCTCCTTCTGTTTACATTCTGCCGGGGAAGCACGCGCGGCTCGCATCTCGCTCTCCTATTGGTCCGACGTCATCAAGGACCCTCCCACAGGCGGGACTCGCATGCGGAAGCAGATCCGATGCCGCGTAAACAACGATAAATAACCCCGTTATGGCGACGTTTTGACACCAGTTACTGTTGCTCCGTGATTCATGCGCGTGCTACGAGCCGTAAAAGTGTAACCGCAATGACCGGAAAGCGGCGTTTACTTGAAAAAAGCTTCCCGCGATCCGGCCTCCGTTAGAGACGAACGCGAGGCACGTCGGGAGACGGGGAAGAGCCCCGTTAACCGCGTCGCATCGGGTCCGTCCCGCGGAGGAGTGACGCGGTCACGGTTCCGCACTTCGGCTTCGCTCGCTCGACGAAACGTCCGCCGGGACGTGAACGTTTAGCGCGTTCCTGTGGAGCCGGGAGCGCGCATGCGCAGTGGGCAGCGGGGGTCGAGGCGGATATAAGGATTGGCGCCGGCGCCACAGCTGATGCATTCATTCATCGATCCCCGAGGAGGTAAGAGCCCCCCCGAGCCGAACGCCGCGTTACACGCGTAGATGTGCTTTATAACATAAGTTACGCTGTTATCGCCTTTGTTACGTCGCCATCGTTCGGTTGCGTCTTAAATACGCGCGTTTCACGGCGTAGTCTGGTCTGGTCTGTATGGGAATCCGTGCGATCGAAGGTCCTCAGCCGTACAGTTTTAGTTTAAGCGTGTGTTTGAACCTTAATTAAAACGTTTCCCTCCTCTGTTTCGACCCGGTTTCGCTCGTTGGGCTCTTCCATGTTATTCCGGATGTGTGGCTCCCGGTGATTTTATGTTTTAGTGGCGTTAAAGTGTTGAACTCTCTCTGCTAGTTACCGTAGCTTCCCTCCGCCTGGCGGTGAGCTCCGTTTGCCCGACTTTAAATGGCGCTAAATGCCCTTAAACAAAGATCCGCGGTTCCCAGGAGTCTAATCTGCTGCTCGGGGATGTTTTGGAGCCAACGCGGTTCCTCTGGAGGCATCTTTTCTGCTACTTTCCCCGGAGAATGATGAGGTTTGATCGGGTTTCAGGAGCTCAAATCCTCCCGCTTCTGAGCTGCACAAATTGGCGCGTCTTTGAGTTTCAATCCCCCAAATAAAGTCCTTATTTTGTAGTTTTCCCGCATTCAAACTACACCGAAGTCGCCTCGAAACGTCCCTTTCCTCCCTGGGGGGGATGTATTTAGGTTGAAATGCAGCATTTTGGAGGTTTTTTTGTCTGAAATCGAGGGAACAAACAGCCCCCCTCTTTTTTTCCGCGAGCCGCCGCACGAGCTCGCGCAGGGTGACCGGCTCGCGCGGCCTTATTGATACTTGATCGATCTGATGGATCGTTCACGTTCACCACGGTGTCTTCAGCTCTGTGAGGAACCCGTTTTATTATATACCTTGTTTTACTGGAGCTACCAACCGCTAACTGCGCATACATGACGCCTCTGCTACATGTTGGGCCCCTGTGGGCTCCAGGGGCCACACAGGCCCTTAATAACACGGTAACGACACTGTTACAGTGGTCTAACCTGCTTCAGGGACCTCTAACATGGACGTCTACCGTTGGGGGCCCAGAGGCTCCTCGGGACCCTCAATGAGGCCCTCAAATGACTCCAGATTCAGATGAATCCTCTTTATACACAAGCTGCGTGTGTGTGTGTGTGTGTGTGTGTGTGTGTGTGTGTGTGTGTGTGTTAAATCTCACCTGTGCTTTCTCTACTTTGCAGCAGAGCCATAAAGTCACTCGACACAATGTCCAGACGCAGGTAAGAAGCAGCTGGTTTGATAAAAGCCTCTGACACGTTGGAGGTACTTTTATGAAGATTGTCTGATGCCCCAAAGCTTAGATCATGTAAATAATGACCCCCCCCCCCCCCCCCCTCATTGCTTTCAGCGGTCGCATCACTTTGCAAGCCAGAGACTCGAACACGCTGGATCCGACCGGCAGAGCGCTGCTGAAGAGAAGGAAATCAGAGGTTGGTTTCTGTTCTTCTGTCAGATTCCAGGTGTTTTTATTTGAGTCGTTGTAGAAATGAAGAGTTTGTTTTCTCCTCCAGCCCTCAAAGAAGAAGCTGCAACCTGCAGCCAAAAAACAAAGCTTTGAGATTCAGGTCAGTGTGTCTTTGTGTCATTGACTCCGCGTGTGTGTGTGTTGCTGATAAGAGATGATGTGTGTAACTACTTATCTGTGCCCCCCCCCCCCACCCCCCCCCCCCCCCCCCATGTGCCCTCGGCGCTCTCCGCCCTGTATTTTAAAACTTCAGTTTTATAAGAATGTTACTCTTTAAATTCCTCCCCTATGATGAGCGTCCATTTTGTTACACTTTACTTGATACACAAAACGATTGTTTTCACTTGTGCACCCCCCCCCCCCCCCCTCCATCGTTTGTCTTCCACACATCTATGTTTTTAATGAAGAAACTAAATTTAGTTCTTGTATTATATTGGATTGATTGTGACCTGTCTGAGGGGTCGGGTGCAGTAACGTGGTTTCACCACAGGGGGCACCAGTCAGCTGGATTTACCAACACATTTATTTACTTTAATCGCATACAAACTACACGTTTTTTTTAAAGTTGCATTGTAAGCATAACAAAGAATATACATTTACAGTAAATCAAGAGTATCAAACTTCAGAATTAAGAGTTCTTTGTCTTTTTGGGAGACGTTCGTTTTCTGCGTCTGGACCTTTTGGACTCGTTCAATCCGACTAACAGAATAACCGTGAGTCCTTTTCGTTTCCTCTCAGAAGTGTTGGTCGGAGGACGGAGCGAGTCCGTGCGTCCTCATCGAGACCCCCCACAAAGAGCTGGAACCAGCAGACCCGTCCAGCTTCAAGCAGTACACCTTCAAGAACCTCTTCATCCAGCCCTCCCCCATCCCCCGCCTCAGGTGTGTGTTCGCTTTGCACCTCAGTGACGCCGTCGTTAATCAACGCTTCATGCTCCGCCCGCCTCAATGGCCTCAGTGATTTAATCTTCTCTTGGAGACAACAGTCTGTTTTTAATCCCCCACAAAGAAGAAAACCGCTTCTTGATACTTTCAGTAAATATTAGAGAACCTCAAACGGTGACCTGATGCATTCAGTTAAGAAATGCTTCATCTTCACAAAGCCACCTCAACCTAGGACCCCGGTGTAGCTGACCCACCATGTTAGCTAATGAACTAATAAAGCCCCCCCTCGCCCTGCAGCTGGGCCAGCTCGGACGACGTGTGGATCAAAATGCTCAACAAGGAGCTGAAGTACGTCCACGACAAGAGCTACCTGCAGCGGCACCCCAAGCTGCAGCCCAAGATGAGGGCCATCCTGCTGGACTGGCTGCTGGAGGTGTGCGAGGTGTACTCGCTCCACCGGCAGACGGCCTACCTCGCCCAGGACTTCTTCGACCGCTTCATGCTGACGCAGGAGAACGTCAACAAGGACTACCTGCAGCTCATCGGCATCTCCGCGCTCTTTGTGGCCGCCAAGATAGAGGTGAGTTGTTCCCGTGCTAACGGGCTAGCAGGCTAACGGCGGGGAAATGAACTGTGTCCCTCCGGTGACGAGCTGTGAGAGTCTTTTGTGTGTCTTCTGTTGACCTCGTCTTCCCTTGCCGTCCTCAGGAGATCTACCCTCCTAAAATCACAGACTTCGCCTACGTCACCGACGGCGCCTGTGACATTTGGGACATCCAGCGCACGGAGCTTCACATACTGAAGGTGCGTTCAGGAACCACGAGGACACGGTCTGCCTGGGCCGAACCGAGCGGTCTGTGAAATGGGACGTTTCACCGCCACTGCTCCCGTTGCCTAGCAACCTGCTGCGCTCGAGTTAGAAACCATCAAACGCAGTTAGATTGTAATGTTCTTATTTCACTTAATTTACAAAGTTATGTATTTCAGGCTGAAAGAACATTTTCTGTTCTTTTAAATTCAAATTAAATCTGTTAAGCAAAGAACTTTCAGCTAAAAGTAATATCGTTAGGCAGAAGAAACCAACTAATAAAAACCACTGCAGCAAACTCCTTTATTAACGTGATGCAGACATGAGCTAATTTAACTTGAGATGTTACAGAATACAACAACTAGTATTTTGGTGCTGTGATCATCGTAAAACAAACCGTAAATTGCTTCTTCCAGGAAGATGTGACATCTATGTGACCTTATAGATCAGTGATGTCATTGATCATCTCCTGCTCACTCGAGTGTTGATGTCCTGCTTGTTTCTATTTATTTCAGAGAAATCACAAGTCAGCTGGAAACGTTTAAGAGCTGAAATCTCCATTTATCAGGAGAGTCTTGTTGTGCTACTAGCCATTAGCTTAGCGAGCTAACAAGCTATGGCTATAGTGAGCTTCTAGTCACCTTAGAAAGGAGTTCCATGTTTGAGGTCCAGACATCCTTCCGTCCCGCCTCCGTAGCATAATAACCTCCATTAAATGCGACTCGGGGGTTTTGCTCGTTGTTCCCGTCTCTCGGCGCTGACGAGGGTCCTTGTGTCTGCTTCGGCCCCCCAGGCGCTGAACTGGAGCCTCTGTCCCGAGACGCCCATCAGCTGGCTGAAGCTGTACGCTCAGGTGGAAGCCCAGACGGACCAGGAGAACTTCTTGGTTCCGCAGTTCTCTCAGGAACTGTACATCCAGATCACGCAGGTAGAGACACACACACGCGCGCGCACACGCACGCTATGACGGGCAAAGAACACAACAAGTCTGACCTTTGACCTGTGTGTGGCAGCTGTTGGACCTGTGCATGCTGGACATCAGCTCGTTGGACTTCAGCTACAGCGTTCTGGCTGCAGCCGCCTTCTGCCACTTCTCCTCGTTCGACGTCATCCACAAAGTCTCAGGTGAGCTTATCGATTTTCTTTTCACACATGATATGTTTGAGAAGGTCAAACGGTGTAAATCTGACCTGAGAACTGTGAGCCGTGCGTTAACTCGGCCCGTGTGCCTCCGTCAGGGCTGACGTGGGACGGCGTGTCTCCCTGCGTGCGCTGGATGAGTCCCTTCATGGACGTGCTGCGATCTCAAGCTGCGCCGCAACTCAAGAACTTCCCCAAAGTGAGGCCCGACGCGCGCCACAACATCCAGACGCACGTGGCTTATCTGGACCTGCTGGTGAGCAAAACAAACGCTCCTGTTACCTGTTAAAGGGTTAATCACTGATCAATGGTTGTTGCTTATTAAACTGGACTATTAAGAGCTGGTGGACAAATGATCCATTAGTGAAAACACTCAAATGAAACTTTAACACATTTTTAGTATTTTAGCCCAAATCTGTACTTCTAATCTGCGTAGAAGATTACGACCGACTGAGTGTTCGATTCTGAATCAACGTTCTTCAAACGCGACCGAAGGATGAGCGAGGCCTGACTGCTCGGCACCTTCTTCTGTGGTGTTTAATGGCGTCGTCTTCATTGCCGCCTCTGACCTCCGACTGTTGTCTCTGCAGAGGAAGTCTCAGGAACACCAGCTGGACAGCCTGGACAGTCAGCTGTCGCCTGTCGCCGTGGGAACCGTCCTGACTCCGCCCAATAGCACAGAGAAGCCGGCCAATCACTGATCACGGCCGCCCACCTTGACCTGAGGTGACCTCTCAGCCGAACTTCATGTAGCAAGTTGTTGTTGTTGTTGTTTTCAGGAACACTAAATGAGGAGATGTGAGTCCTGTCCTTTTTTATTTCTTTTTAATTGATTTGGTTTTAATTTAACTTTTAGAATACTTCACGGCCTCCATATTTAATGTTGTGGTCGGCAGGTGTAGAGGGAGGAGGCCGACGGGCTCTTGAGCTGCTCTGCGGCGCGTCAGTCGGTTTCTCCAGAAGACGAGTTCATTCCGCTCTGAACTGAGCAGCTTTAAGTTAAATGTAAAATCATCTCCACTCAATTTTAAAATGTGCGTCGTCTCCTTGAAGAAGCTGTGACGCTTCGCTCCGTTTTTTTTGCCTCATGAGCCGTACGAACAAACGGACACTTTATCTGTGACCTCCGACCCCTCCGCGGGTCCTTGAACGCAGCGCGACCCGCCCGTGTCTTCACCCGTTCTCCGGCTGCTCGCTCTCGTTACATTCCTGGGAAACTTGACTTGCTTTGAGAAACGCTGCATGCGACTATGCGGCGTGTTTAAGTGCTGGTATTTATTATTAAGCCTTCGTGCGTGTGACTAAATGTTTATATGTACAAACAAATCTTCGGTTCGATTGCTGCCAAATGCAAAAGCTGTGTATGATGATGACGACTGTTCACCCTTAATGTTGTTCACTTTGTGCCTTTTACAATATGAACTGCAGCCAACAAACATGTTGAGCAATGTGTGTTTGTAAATGGAGCAAGAAACGTGTAATTGTCTTTTATATTGGAATGTTTTAAATAAATGAAGTCAAGTGACACTTCACGGAGTCCTGTGATGACATTGAAGGAAAATAACTCGTCTGATGTACATTTAGGGACTTGTTTGTATGACTTTTTATCTTCGACAGACTGAGACTTTTTCAGAATTAAGAAGAAAAGGAAACCATCAAATAAATAAACTGGAACAAGGAGGCAGAAACGTGTTTGTCACATAGTTCCAGTTAATAAATCACCATCACGTCTAAACGCAGCGCAGCATTTTGCGGCTTCATGTCACGCCCACAGATGCCCTTATATAGTCTGTGGAACGCCCACAAATTAATATTCATCGATTGCGAAATCACGACAAACACTGAGAGGAAACGAAGAGACGTAACTTCACTCAGTGTGAAGTGGAGATGATCACTGGGAGGTGGAAGGAGACGTAAGACGCTCTTTGGAGGACACGGTGTGGACACCGGAGCTGTCCCGGTTGTTTGAGGATGAATTGCATAACATGCCGATATTATTGCAGAACATATTTCATGTGTTAATTAGTATTTGTTTTACGCTGCAGATCCGACTGGTGTTCGTGTTCTTTATGAGGCAGTGTTGGCATTTCTCTTACACACCAGTCGGCGTGCGCCTTCTTTTGTGCGTACGCAACGTTTATAAATGAGGCCCCAGGTCGTAGGATCCAGGTAACAGAGGAATCTGCACCTTCCGGTACAGCAGGTGGCGCCAGGCACACGGTTGAGTCAGGTGGCGATCCGCTATTTTAAACCTGCAGACGACGACGTGCGGGAGAGTCGCAGAAAGTCACCAGAGCTCCACTTCAACCCCTTAAAGTTCACATCCTGTGAGTATCGCCCGTGATACACTGTGTGTTTAGTGTGTGTCTGTGTGTTAACGGGCCGTGGCCCTTTGCAAAGTTCCTTTTACCGTTTAACCGATAATAAAACACGGAAATTCCAATCTGTTGTACGTTGTTTCGTTTTGAACCAAAAACGACAAAACGGAAATAGTTGTTCTCGTTTCGTCGTTCAAATTCAAAAAAGATGTTGACGTAATTCTTTTTAATGCTTGTAAAACAAAGCGCAGAAGTACGTTACGTCCACTTTCACTTTCTGTCGCGCACGCGTGCGTGTGCACGTCAGGGCGGAACTTCGGGGTAAACAGGATGTCTGTGCAGCGAGTAGGTTCACAGACGCGCTCCTTAGCGCCATCTATCGTCAGCCAGTTTGAAAAGGAACGAACGCGCTTCGACCCAAAATCAGAATTTGTTTTTTTTTTGCCGTGAGAAATTGGTTGTGTGGCGTGAGTGCGTGTGAAAACATGCAGAAGCGTGTGTCACACGGGGAAACCGTGTTGGCAGCTCTGATACCGTCCAGTTAAAATAAGAAATGGTGTGTGTGTGTGTGTGTGTGTGTGTGTGTGTACAAAAAATGAATTAAGTCTAAAAATAAATGTATAAATGAAATTACTATACAGAAATAAATTAATGCGTAAATACAATTTGATAATCAAACAGGTCATAAACAAATGCATATCATATACTTATTTCTCCATTTATTTATGTGTGTGTGCTAATGAGGCGGGAGGTCCTAACCTCTGTCTGAAGCAGGATTGGTCACAGGACCGTGATGCTCCTGGTCTACTCTCTCTTGGCTCCTTAGCAGAAGTTGTTGTAGCATTTGGCTACATGGGTTTGTTTTTACAAACCATTTCAAATCAATTGTTAGCAAACGATTCGGAGGAGCAGGTAAGAAGGACGCTGTTCAGTGTCGGCTGGATAAAGTGACGGAGGACTTGGATCAGCTCACTGAGACACAGACGTGGAAGTTGACCAAACAATGTCGTCCTGGAACCAGAGGAGCAACACATGGACGTCATCGTATATTTCATTCTCCTTTGGGGACATTCTGCTTGGGCTGGTGTGTGTGTGACGTTATATATTCGCTTTAAAAAAACACATACATTCAAATATCTGGTTGCGCATTAGGGACGCCAATAACAGGAAAAGTACAACGAGACATAACTACTTGTATAGGTAATTTATTTAAGTTTTAAACATATTTAGACCGCAGAGATCTCGCTCGCACACACACACTGTGTCTCTCTCTCTCTCTGCGCAAAGCAGTTTAAATGAACGACGATAACTAGAAAATGCATTTTCAGCTATTATCTTGGAATGCAAGAAGCTGAAAGCTGAAATGAACTTCAGAAAATTGCTGAAATTACAGAAAGTTGAAGGGAATTTGCATACATTTGCTGAAATTACAGATATTAGAAAAGCTGAAATTAATATGAAATTGCTGAAAATACAGAAATGGGAGAAGCTGAAAGGAATTCCAATAGATTTGCTGAAAAAGCAGAAATGAAAAACAACTGAAATGAATATTTAAACAATGCTGTTAATACAGGCATAAGGAAAGCTGAAATTATTTTAAAGAACTGGAAATACAGAAATGACAAAAGCTGAGAAGAATAAAAAGAGGTTTGAAATTGTTTGTAGTAATATTAGTAGTACTAGCAGTAGAAGTAGTAATACTAGGTTAAGTATCAATAGCAGTAGAAACAGCTGGAATACTAATATTATTAGTCATAGTAGTATTTGTAGTAACATTACTAGTAATTGTAGTATTAATACCAGTAGAAATACTAGTAGTACCTTTCCCTAGTTGTCAGTTGCAGAGTCACTACTAGAAGTAATATTTGATTACTACAACTAGGAGTCATTTTAATAGCAGTAGAAATACTAGTAGTAGTAGTAGTACTACTAGTTGTAGTAGTAAAATTAGTAGTTGTTGAAGTATTAATAGCAGTAGAAATGCCGGTAGTATTATGTCTGCATGAGTCAGTGCCACAAAGGCCTTCAAAGACAGCCTAGCTAGCTATCTAAAGACATGAGACATTTTCACTGGCTGTTTGAGCCACTCGGTACTGTTAGTGATTGTGCAATGCTAGCTGGCGCCGTGTTAGCTGGCGCCGTGTTAGCTGGCGCCGTGTTAGCTGGCGCCGTGTTAGCTGGCGCCGTGTTAGCTGGCGCCGCGTTCTCCCCCCGTAGGCCTGTGTGTCTGTCAGACTACGTAGGGGAGGGAGAGTGAGTGAGGCAACGAGCCTGTGTGGTCGTCATGGAGACGGCGCAGCTGCTGTTTTCGGAGTAAACGGATTTTACACAGAATCCACACCTCAAACAAGTGTTTTTTGGCAGAGGTTGTGTCACTCTAACACTCCTTAAACCAAAGCTAAAGAAGTCTGGGATTCCATGAACACATTAATCCAATCAGCACAACCATGCCATCATTAATCTGAAGAAATTAAGCATCAAACGTTGGCTCTGAGGACAGAAGTTCCATATTTTTTTAACCAGATTCTGGCGCTGCCTCACACTCTAGCGCTCAAGGTCTCACTCTAACAAACGCAATACACACTCATGTAAAACTCAGAAACGGAGCGAAGAACTGTGTGAAAGGAGGTGTGTGGATGAAAGATTGGCGAAGCTGAAAAATCTGATAGTTGAAGTTTAAGAGGATTTGAAAAGCGATCATTGCAAAACCATGTTAAAATATTACTGATTATTGATTTATATCAATTCAAGCTTAAGAGGTAGAAAGCTGAAAAGTCATAGCCCTCCTCCCTCTCCGAATGAGCTGAATATGAGCTGAATGAACGGTTTTAATAGCTGTTGAAAAGGTGCGACGGAAGAAATAGAAGTTGAATAAAGATTCAAAGAACAATACTTGGAATGCTTAATGCATTCCAACAATAAAGGCTGATCAAGAGTTTTGTGGAAGCAGTTTAATGTCGTGATTCTCGTCCCACATACGTCAGGCTTCATTCAGTGATTGAAACTGAAGGTTCTACAGTACCGACACTGAACGCTCGGAGCGATCTGTGCTGAAAACACTTTTCATTGGAATGAAACTGCAAATAGTCAAAGCGGTGCATGAAGCTGTTGTAGCCGATCTGGTCTGTTTTATCCGTGCGATATACAGCCAGCAGTCAGGCGCACGCCCGCTAAGCAGACAGTCGCACCGCCGCCTTTTTTTTTTTTTTTTACATTTGAATATTAATTTGCACATTTGAATAGTTGTTTTTAACTATGTGTGTGTGTGTACCGAGGGTGTCAGACACTGCAGGAATTTGCAGGAATCTGAGAGGTTGCTGTAACGCTATGACAGAAATAAATTACATGGAGGAGATGAACATTCCATCAAATATGAGGCACGTCAAAATGAAGTTGCCTCATAAGTTGTGGGAAAGATGGAGGTCTGCAGCTTGCAAGGTAGAAGAAAGGTGGGGCCACGGGGCTGTTTCCAGACATGGTGAACTTTCTGAAGAAGCAAGTCAAAATCTTGGCTCATCCACTTTTTGGTGATATTTCTGATCCACAACCAAACACCTTAACAACTAGGGGTGGGGGAAAAAATCGATTCTTCGATTTCTCTCTAGAACAATTCGTTCTCGATTCAGAAAAGTTAATAATCGGAATTAAAAATAAATAAAAAAAAGTGTCTCGCGCAAGATATTTGCTCGCTCGCGGAGCGTGAACTTCCTCGCTCACGAGGTTAGTCTCTGCTTACGCTCGAAGGTGTTTTCTACGCGCTCGCTCGTTTTCTTTTTGACAGTAAGGGGGCGGAGCCAGTCACCATGGTCTCTACACCTGATTGGTTACAAACCCTGTCTTTGGATTGGCTGGAGTGATGCATTCACACAACTATAGACAAGTTTCCCGGGCACTTCCGGTTTACTTCCTGTTTCTGCCAAGAACTTCCGGCGCAGGCTGAGTAGTGGCTTTGGAATTCAGAACATTAGACCGAAAATCTTGTTAAAAATGGTGTTTTGACCATTCCGCATCCAAGTAAGGTAACAATTCAGCGCATAGCGCCTGGGTTTTGGTTACCAAGACGGGAGATGTGGAGACTGCAGGCTGTACCTGTCGCCATGCAGTCGCCGCGCTTTGGAAGGTACGTTAGCCCATCTTATGCTTGTATTAAGATGTTTGTATGTATCCGTGTGTTAATATATAACAGAACACGAAGAGTAATAAAAAGTAAAA